GCATTGTTCGTTGGGGGGTGTGGTTCCCCATGAAAAAGGCAAAACAAAAGGGAGGCCAATCTCTTAAAACTCATGAAGGATAATGGTGCCGATAGGACTTAGGTTGTAAAGGGTCGCTTTATCCTAATTATGTTGAGATCTTTAGTCATGTGCATGAGAATTAAGAACCTAAAGAAATAAAAAAATAAAAAAAATTGTTTGTCATGGCATTGGTGAGAGTGATGATTCCATCACCATGAATGATTTGTGTTTCAATTGGGGACCATTTAGGCTTATTCTATTTGGCTAGCTTTAACCACACTCACGTGGCTCCATAACAGCTTCAGTCTCCTTTTTCCTCTTGACAGGAACACACCTTTTTCTTATGTTTTGGGGTCTTCCGTAGGGACATACCTGGAGTTGGTAATTCTTGTCAGTGCTGTTTTGGGACAGTGTTGCATTGTTGTTAGGGTGCTTCCCCTGGCCCATCTCTAGGTTTATGCTGGTTGGTTCAAACTTTAGATTCGCAAATTAGGCCCAATTTATACTTAAGGCTAAAAGCCCAATTATAAGTTTTGGAAATAGATTCCATTGTTTGGTTTTCTTCCTTCTTCTTCTTATTGAGCTTCTCCTCTATTCCAGCCTTCTTGTGGGTTTTTTTGTTTTTCAATGTTTTCTTTGAGGGAAAAACACTTTTCGTGTTGCATGAGAATTGTTTTTTCATGTTATGATCATTTGATTTGTATGTAATTTTTTTTTAATAAGTGTGAGGCCTACTATTAATTGAGTTACAACATGAGAAAATAATTCTCATGTAACATGAGAAAATCAAAACCTTTTCTTTTAATGCAATAAAAGATTATTAAGCAAGTAAACAGATTTCTTACCACTCAAATTCAAACTTGAAGTGTCATAATGTGGCAAGGTTTTTCATGCTATGCAATTAGTAGTGGCTGCATTGTTAGGAAGCTTCACAATGGCTCAATAGTATATTAGGAGATTATGTCCATCAAGAACCCACTTCAGATTTTTTTGTCTGGGTGGTTTTATTGGGATTCTCGGGTTCCAAATTGTTTTCTCCCTCCATGATACCATTCTTGCTAAGCATTCATAAAGTATATGAAAATGAATTATAAGTAACGTGAAACATTAGTACCAAATTGAAACATCTATCATGGGCCTATTTTTTCTTCTAATAACCATATTATCAAGCAAGTAATAGGTATCCAATTTTTGAAGGGAGAATATGTTTGTTGAAATTTGAATTTCTTTCTCACTATTTGTATGGTGTCCAATCTCTTTGGTGAGCGGCGAACTAATCAATTAAATAGACATACCTCAACATAAAGAGTTTGAAAGGGATATTCTGTACCAACTACTTTAATTTTGTGGATAATGTTCTCTGTTAATAAAAAATAACCCAAATACCTTGATCAAAAGCAATCCTTTAAGCGAAATTTCACCATTTCTATTCCATGAAAATAAGACAAACAAAGCCATAAAATATAAGTAGAAATATAATTTTTCATTGTGACAAATTTCTCATTGATAAATTTCCACAAACATTTGATGGGTCCACTTACTAGGTAACAACGCAAGATAAAGAACGGGGCATCTCTCCATAACTTTATCAATCCTTACCATTGTTAGCACTCACATTACATACCCCCAACATATTATTGGTTCCAATTCATGCTCTAACCGAGCCATGCTCCTGTTTTTCTAAAACGTTCATGTACAATTTCCAATAGATTACTCTTGATTTTACCACAAAAACATCAAGAGACACATGCATGACTAGTGACTACTACACCACTAGCACAATTTTTGGGGGATGATACAATAATCTATATTAATATTTTTTAACTTAAAATACTAGAAAAAGCTGAAACCCAGCATGTAATGCACCAAAAGAAAGGTAAAGTCCATATCCCTCAAGTGGAACTATATAATATATATTGTATCATCTTCATAGCAAGTAATATTTATAGATATAATGAGTCAGTCACATGTTTATACCTAACATTAGAAATATTATTTAAGGCGAAGGGGAGTGAGTGTTACGTCAAAACCTAAACAAAGCTAATAGAATAAACCAAAGCATAATGATGAACTAATGCAAATTCTAAGCATGCCGCCGATTAACTGGGAAAAGTGTTAAGTGTCACATACTCTCAAGGCTACAAGGATACTTAAAAGCAAAAGGCATGATCATAATTGGATAAAGATTATTATTTTATATCAATAAAAGTTTTATTTTCAATCTTGTTTGTTGATTATTTTTAATTTTTTAGTTATGTAAACTATTATATACAAGTAAATCAATGACAAAAAATGAATACAAAATTTCTTATTTTTATACTGCAGTTAGAATAATTTATCTTATTATAATTTAGGAAAATTATTCTCTCATTTTATATAACATAATTTTCTCATATTTTTTTTACATAAAAAATTGTGCCATAATTTTTTCTAATGGATGGCGGACCTTATTACATCATGTGTCTATGATAGAAGTTACTTATTTCTAACAACATAAGAAAATAAAATTCCTATAATTTAAGAAAAAAGTTATATTTATAAAAATTTTGTTTACAAACAATACTGTATAATAGAGGTAGTATATTTCAGTATACAATATACTATCCCTAATATATAGTGTAATTTGTAAAATCAAAATAATTGTAAATATCAAAAAATTATTTACTTTGTTTATATCGATAACAAGGAGACGTAAAAGGGGGGAGGGACTGATTTAATGATATGATTTGGTTTGTCGAGAAAGGAAATTTGACTTCTGATATTTTGTTACTACGTATAGATGAGTTCATGAGTGAGGTCATAACGTGTCACAAAAGTAGACAATTGAAATATTTAGTTTAAATCAATGGATGAAAGTTATTTAATTTAGGGTTGAGTTAACTCAAAAAATATATATTATTTAATTTAGCAATGATATAGATTGCGAAAAAAAAGTTATTTAATGAATGAGGTCATTTGACTCATTTTATTGCAGAAGAGTCAATAACTGAGAAAAAAGAAGGGAAGAAACTATCGTTGCTACAGTCAATTTATTTTCATATAAATTGCGCATTCCTTGAACCACGTTCTGTTTTCTGAGTGCTAAAATTGATGTTTGACCAAGTATGAGCAAGTGACAAACGTTTCAAGGAAGCAAACGTAGCATACAAATTTTCAAACCTTAAAATCTTATGTTTGGGTCAATTCAAAAGGTAAGTTGGAATTAGATAAAGGTTCTCGTCCAAATAATGCTAAAAATCTAATACTAAAAGAATATAATTTTCTTCTCGATAAATTTACTTAGAAAATAAAATTATGTAGGTATTTCGTAAAACTTCCAAATAAAAACTCTATAGTCCTCTTATTAACCAATTCAATTCCCCAAAGTACAAAAATAAACTTGCATTACAATAAAGCTTGATTTTGGTTATTCTTAACAATCTCGATGATACAAAGGCTAATTAAACAAAGAAATAACCTGTGTAAATTAGTAAAGAAAGGAAATCACATTCTTGAGTGAAACTTATATTTTTTAGTGATTTCTTAGGATTGAAACATTAACTGTTGATTTTCACATTACGATCAAGTGCTGTCAAGAAGTGGTATACCAAAAATACCCTAGATTAGGAAATAGTTTAAGAAATATCCTAATTTTGTCGGTTGTAAATGTACTCTAATTATTGGTCAAACAGATATACATATGTATGCAACCGAGTCATTTGAAGTATCTAATATATTTGAGTAAATTCCTTGAATATTAATCGGTATTGTTAAAATCGAACGGTTATTTCGATAAGTTCTATCTCAAATCAGATCATCAACCAATCCGGTCCAACTAACAAATTGGTTCTAGAGATTGAGTTTAAAATATTATAATGAACACATGTGACATCAATTACTGAGCCAGAACAATCTATTGGCCATATTGTTTCTTTTATATATTAGATATGGTTATACTGCTGATATATTGACCCAATATTTTGACCGAATTAATCATCGGTCCGTAATTAATAACACCCAATTTTCTTATAATACAGTTACTTTGTAATTATTCTTAATTCATGTCCCTTACTCCGTTGGCACTTTAAAATTACAAACAAACCCAACGTCAAATTTTGTACATTACACTTATAATATAATAAGACTTGTCTACGTAATGTTAATGTTGAATTCAATTTTCCATATCTAATACGATAATGGATGGTGTACAAAGTGAGAAGTTGTGCAGAGTGACTAACAATTAATATATCTTATAATTAGACACTGAATCCTTCATTTCACATAATTTGGTCATAGTAATTTTTGTGTATATCTCTTTTTTTATAAATTTTAATTAAACCCCACCTATTCAATGTTAATAAAAAGAGAGATATACATAAAATTTTCATAAATCATATAAAATTTTAACATGAGAAATATCTTATTATTTTCAAACTTTTTGACCAAGAACATAATGACCCCAACATCACAAAGAAGGAGTCCCAAAATGATGTAACCAACCAAACTCCTTTGGCACAGGTGGTAAGGAGCCTGGGCTCCTTAACCAGAGGTCTTGAGTTTGAGCCCTGAGAATGAAAAAAAAAAGATTTGGGAGAGCCGCTCCCGAAAAGATCTGACAGTGCTCAATAGGGATTAGTCTTCTGATACGGCTGGAGGATATCTTTGAATTTATTCAAAAAAAAAAAAAAAAAACTGATGTAACCAAACCCTAATTTCTGTTGCGTCACTAATATTAATTAACGCAAGTTACATCCCGGAAGCAACCTCTCCTTTAACATTAAATTTCTCACCTATCTCGATCAAAGAAAAGTCAAATATTGAACACCTTTCCCTGGACCAAAGACAAGTCACTATATATACACGTACATATTAAAACCAAGCTTATTCTTTCTTTCAAGAAAGGAGAGTCTTAAATTATATGTGGGGAGTGATACAATCAGTCAATCACTATACACATCCTCACCATTTAGTCACCACATCCCAAATTCAAGAGTGATACCATGATTGCTACTTCTGATCAGTGGATGCAGTTCCATCAGCAACCACCTCTCATGGATGGCATGGCTACTCTGGCTACACCAATACAAGGATCCTTAGAAACATCTAATGTGACAATGAGTCCCACCAAATCACCAGAGGGTATCTTTAGCCCAATCAATTCATACAATACAAATGGCCATTTGACTCCAAAGGGAAATTCATTCAAACCAATCAAAAAGAGATCTAGAGCTTCTAAGAGAACCCCCACTACCCTCCTCAACGCCGATTCCAATAATTTTAGGGCATTAGTACAACAATTCACTGGGTGTCCTAGCACAGTCATGTCATTTGGAGTCCATAAGGGACCTATTACCTTAAATTTCCAACAAGGAAGCAAACAGAAGATTCACCATCACACAACTAGATCAATGCCACCTTTTGGCACTAGAAGTTCTAACCAAGTTCATCAAGTAGCTGCTTCACTTCCATGGCAGGAGCAACCACCGTTGATGCAAGAGCAGCAAAGTGGTTATTCTTTAGACCGTGTGAAAAGCTATAACTACAAGCCTTGCATGGAGGTCTCTCATGATGGATTGCTCATGGATAATGATTTTAGTTTGCACGAACTAACCGTGAATGCTTTCTCCAATGATATTTATAATAAGGACAGTTTTTTTATGTGATGAAAATTAATGTCTATAGAGTTATCTTAGCGGGGAAAAAAAAATAATAGACTCGATCCTCTTCGGTCAACAGTTGTGTGAATGTTATGATAAAAAACAATAATTTATGTTTGCCAGCCTATAATAATATGCATCGATTTCTTGTATCAAAGGTTTGTCGTTTTTTCGTTGGTGAGTTCTCCTTGCTTACATTATTGTTCTACAGAAATTTCATTGGTTATTTGTAATGTAAGCAGAAGAGTTTCCGTTATCCAGCTACCAACTTTATATATATATTCTTTATTTTTATAGTAGTTTATATAGAATGCTATGAAAAACGTCATTCATCTTGAGCTTTGAAGACTAAATAATTGACTGGACTCGTATTATTTGTCCACACGATAATTTACGTTTTAAATTAAAGTTGAGTATTTACTCCCGGTGAATAATTGATCGTTATGAAGTTGAACCTGGATTCGTCCAATCCTTCAGAGAAAGAGAAACTGGAATAAACTAAATCCACTAGGCCAATTGCCAAAGGACTAAACAAGTCTATGTTTTGCACCTAATTTTATCAAGGTTAATTTGAAAAAAAAAACATTAATTAATTAAAATTTGAAATATATATATATATATATATATATATATATATATATATATATATATATATATAGGTAGGATCCTTTGACATCATTGTCAAATTTCAAATTTGACACTTCATCTGAGAGCCGTTAGATCAAAAAAAATCAATGGTGTCACATACTTGCAAATCAGAGTCATTGGTTTTTTTTTTATCTAACGTCTCTCAGATGAGGTGTCAAAGGATCCTGCCTTTTATATATATATATATATATTGGATATATAAAACACATGTATCCTCCACGGAAAACAATCTTATTCGGGGTGGGTCCAAGATTAAGGCTTTAAATCACATGTATCCTCCCAAATATGGTACTCCTGTGGAGAATTAAACTCATGCTCTCACTCCACCTGCTCAACTCTCATGCGCCAACTAAGTTGATGAAAATATATATTTTGTTTTGGTTTGAAAAAATAAAAAGATATTTAACCTCGTTTAGAGAGAGAGACTATTTATAATTAATTATTATTCTATTATGTATGGTGTCGTTTTGTTTGTTTTGGTATATTTTTCCTTTGTTTTTCTGCTGGCGGGAGAAAAGGCAAACTAGGAGAATAGAAAGAAGCATATATATACAAGGAATGGAGGTGTAAATAAAACAAAAACAAAAGATAAGAATGGTGGGAAACTGCGAAGGACCCTAGGAATGACCTTTGTAGCCACTCACGTTGACTTAGGAGGATCTCCTCCGAACGCATTTCTAAGAAGTTGAACCATTGAGATTGAGAGAAGCGGGGAAGAAGTAGAATTGGAGAGTGAGAAAAGAAGCAGGCTCTGGTTAATATATATAGTGTCATAGTCAGGTAAGGTGTCTAACCATCTATGTGAAATTGATGGTTTTGCTACTGTGTTATGATATATCTGATTGCAATATTGTTGATTGATTATGATATTTGGCTATATATATAGTTGAATTCCTCTCACATAAGGATAGTCATTTTTTCCAACTCACGTAAATCATAACTAATGCTCTATAACTAACTCTCATAGGTTCCATAATAGAGAAAATGGCCCCATGAAATCCATTTAACTTCAACAAACAAAACGTCAAATCTAGTGGTGGAGCAACAGAGGGACAAGGGTGAACAATCACCCCCTTCAAATTCATATATATTTTTATTGCAAATACCGAATGTTTTTGTTCATAAATAGTTATACATTATTATAAAAATTGAGTTTCCTCAAGATATCACTGGGCCGAGAGCTGAAGACTAATCCTTTAACTTGCAGTTTCATCTCCTTTCATAAAATTTTCTGGCCCAATGTCGTGATGAACCACCACGCCAATTAATGGAGCCAGCCTCGGCAGTGCCACCAATATTGTGTCACAAGCCTCGCCCTCGTGCACATATATGTTCTTGTTGTGCACTCATTGGAAGTTAGCGTCTATTAGGTTAGATTAGTTTGGGTGAGAATATATATATATATATATATATATATATATATATATATATATATATATATATATATAGAGGTAGGATCCTTTGACACCCATCTGAGGGCCGTTAGATCAATGGTGTCACATGCTTACAAATCAGAGTCGTTGATCTTTCTTGATCTAACGGCTCTCAGACGAGGTGTCAAATTTAAAATTTGACACCGGTATCAAAGGATCCTACCTCATATATATATATATAAAAGGGAGATTATATTTACAAATTACAAATTCTTAAAAACTAAATGATGTATTTCGGGAAATACACTCTTAAGTGTTTGTACTCCCTAAAATATATAATTTAGTTTATATATATATATATATATATATATATATATATATATATATATAAAATAACTACATGAACGGCATTAGATAATAAATAAAAAAATAAGGATAAAGACTCCCACTCTCAAACATATTTTCCTAGGTTCGAACTTCTTGTCATAAATGGTTTTACTATTGCTTCAAAGCTTGTCCTTAATAAAATGAAAAATAAAAATGATAATTTTCTATAAAAAAATGTATAAAATCTAATAATGCTATATTAGAAATGAAAAATGGAATCAGAGATCGAATTTAATTAAAAAAATTTCTTTGATTGACATTGTCGAACTGTGGTTGCTTACTAATTTAGCTTTGTTTGTTTCATCTGTGGATTGATGGCGTTTGTTTTGTCTTGTTTGCTGGCATGATAATTTGTCTTATTTAATTCATTTTAGAATAAATTTTATTTAAATCTTTTTTACTTAACTAATATTAATACGTTTTGAAAAGTTATGTAACTTTAGTTCCTATTATATTTGGAAATGCGTAAAAATGTACGTCAAATTAAACAATAAATTTTCTTACTTTTTAAAAAAAATTATCTTAATTTTGTTGTTTTTATTTTGTTAACTATTTTGTTTCATCTTTATTTTATTTTATTTTTTTGAGTAAACATCTTATCTTCTCTTTTGAAAGTTGGTCTTGTGATTTTTTTTTTCTTTTAAATATTTTAATTTATTTTTTATTTTCTTAAAAACATTAAGATTTTGTCTTTTTATTATTATTATCTGTTAATATTTTTTAATTAATGATTTAAATTAAATATATTTAAAATTAGTTAATTAATTTGCACAATTAAGTTTGAAATAGAAAAAAAGAATGCATATGAATACCCGTGGAGTTAACTTTTTATCTTTCTCTATATATAACTAGCTTTGGAATTTAATTAGTTATCATAAATTAATTTTTATTTTTTTAATCAAATAAAAATAATAATGACTTCTCTTACTATTTTTTATTTATAAAATTTTAATTATCTCTTATTACGATCATGGTCGCAACCGTCGTTATAAAGCACGTTTGACATTATATTCACTTTGTCCCTCTTCTCTTCATATGCTTCAATTCACTCCCTATTCTCATTCTCAGATCCTTCAATATAATCATGTTCGTCAAGAAGCTCGTAGAGAAAGCTTCCATAAAGAAAGTAAAACAATTTATTCGTCTCTTAATGTCCGGGACCCCTTCAAACGGTGTCTTTTTACTTGCTTTTATGCTATTGTAACGGGCTCTAGGGCTGGTGAAGTCCCTAATATAAAGAAGCCCAATCGAGGAAGAGCAACTAAGTGTCCAGCATATTTGAAAGACTTTGTTTTGGGCTGAGCTGTGACATGAGCCCATTAGCTTAATTCAGTTTATTATGCAATTCTGATTATCCACTGTTATTCATGTTAGGTTTCAAACATCCATTGTATTACAAATAGCCTTTGCGGCTTCAGAAAAGGATATGAAAAATTCGGCAAACTCTCTCTCCTTTCTCTCTTTCTCCCTCTCTCTCATTTCTGTTATAACTTCCCTGTTACATTGGTGCTTCCATTGAGGTGCTATGGCAGAAAATACCAGACTCAAAGATCTTACTACCCAAGTTCAAGCCCATGACTTACAATTTTCTAATCTGGAACACGTCCTTGACAACAGGAAGCACGCGTTTGATCTCTCCCAGACTCAACGGCTGGATGAATTTAGCAGGCGGTTCCAAGAAGTGTTCACTCTGCTTCAAAATATGCAACAGCAGATGACAACCATGACCACCAACCCACCAGTGGGATTACTGGGTGCCTCACCCTCTCGTTCCCCACAGCCGATTAGATCTATGAAAATAGATTTTCCCAGATTCGGCTCAGGAGACCCAGGTCCTTGGCTTTTTGCAGTGGACAGGTACTTTCGTTACTATCAAATTCCAGATCAAGATCGTTTGGATCTCGTTTCTTTTAACTTGACATGCCTGCATCTTGCTGGTTTGAGGCACTGTTTACACATGGCCATTTTCCAGATTGGCACACTTTTGTTAGATCTATTAACCAACGCTTTGGTCCTACGAAATTCGAGGATCCGTTGGGCTCTTTGGCTAAACTACAACAATCTGGATCTGTTGTTGAGTTTCAGACAACATTTGAACTAATTGCTCGTCGTACTACAGATCTCACTCCTCTCATGAGAAAGAGCTTGTTTATTGCGGGACTGAAACCTCAAATCCGCAGAGCGGTCTTGGTTCATAGACCGCTTGATATGTCTTCCGCATTTGCTTATGCAAAAGTTTATGAGGATCAATTTACCGAAAACCGTGCTACTAAACCGTGGCTCTCACGCCCCACTCCAAATACATCACCAGTTGTCGCCCCCTATTAATACAGTACCTCCATTTCTTACCCATAAACCTATTTCAGTGTTACCACCCATTCCCATTAAACGGTTATCACCTGCAGAAATGCAAGCCTGTCGTGACAAAAACTTGTGTTATAATTGTGATGAGACATTTGTCCGTGGGCATAGATGTAAAGGAAGAGCTACTTTGCTGTATTTAGAAGGGACTGATGATGAGCCCCCTGATATATCCCCAGAACAAGTAGAGCCAGTGGTGGAGTTACCCGAACCACCTTCCCAAGAGGTTTTTCATGAAATTAGCTTTAATGCTTTATTGGGCCATCGCTCCTCTAACTCATTCAGGATGAAAGGTAAAATTCATGGCCAACCAGTTCAATTGTTAGTGGATGGAGGTAGTACTCATAACTTTATCACAGCTCGTATGGCTTCCCATTTACATTTAATTTTACAGGTTGTTCCACCTTTTAAGGTTCGGGTGGGTAATGGGGATGCTTTGTTATGTTCTGCCTCTTGCAAGTCAGTTTCTGTTGACATTCAATCCCATTTATTTAGCATCGATGTGTATGTCATTGCTTTAAAAGGGGCTGATATTGTATTGGGGGTACAGTGGCTTTCCACATTGGGCCCAATTGTAATGGATTTTGCTGCACTAACCATGTCCTTTACTCACAATAACTCACAGGTGTTACTTCAAGGGGATCTGGACACAAACCTCAACCACATCAGTTCTTCCCAATTGCACAAACTTATGAGCCATGACTCCATATCTTCCTGTTTAATGTGTTTTGCTTCCCAATTGAACGTTCACAATGACACAAGGGACACGGAAGAAACCATTCAGGGGTTGCATCACATGCTCCAAGAATTCGATGATGTCTTCCAGGAACCTTCCTCTCTACCTCCGGATAGAGATTATAACCATCATATTCATCTTTTGCCTAATTCAAAACCGGTGCAAGTTCGACCCTACCGTTATCCACACTGCCAAAAGAGTGAAATCGAGCGATTTGTGATTGAAATGTTGCACACTGGGGTGATTCAACACAGTCACTCAGCTTTCAGTTCACCAGTTTTATTGGTTAAAAAGAAAGATGGCACATGGTGTTTCTGTGTAGATTATAGGGCCCTCAATGCCCTCACGGTGCAAGACAAATTTCCTATTCCAACTATTGATGAATTGCTGGATGAGTTACATGGCGCAACAATTTTTTCTAATTTAGATTTGCGCTCCGGCTATCATCAGATCCGTATGCACCCAGAAGACTCTCACAAGACAGCCTTTCGCACACACCATGGCCATTTCGAATTCTTGGTAATGCCATTTGGTCTATCTAACGCACCCTCCACCTTCCAGGCCACTATGAACACTATATTCGCTGCTTACCTTCGGCGTTTTGTAGTCATATTCTTCGATGATATACTGGTGTATAGTTCTTCCCCAACTCAACACCTACATCATTTGCGGGCTGTTCTCACTACCTTAAGAGCGCATTCCCTATTTGCCAAAAAGGAGAAATGTTCATTTGGTTGTTTCGAGGTTCCTTATGTAAGCCATATTATTATAGGTGGTGGTGTATCCCCTGATCCAGATAAACTGAAGGCTATTCTGGACTGGCCCATTCCATCCAACACCACACAAGCGCGGGCCTTTTTGGGTATTTCAGGGTATTACAGGAAATTCATTAAGCGATATGCCTCTATTGCTAGTCCAATCACTTATTTGCTCTCTAAAAATGGGTTTGTTTGGTCTACGGAAGCGGATACAGCATTCCGTGAACTCAAAAATCATCTCATTACAGCCCCCATATTGGCCCTACCCGATTTTTCCCAACCATTTGTAGTTGAAACAGACGCTTCTGGGGTGGGAATCAGTGTTGTCTTGTTACAGAATGAGAAACCTTTGGCCTTCTACAGCCGCAAGTTATCGCCTGCAATGCAGCGACAGTCGGTATATGTTAGAGAAATGTTTGCGAATACTTCCGCCATTAGTAAATGGCGTCAGTATCTCCTTGGTTCCCCATTTACCATACGCACAAACCACAAAAGTCTTCATAACTTGATGAGTCAAGTCATTCAGACTCCTGAGCAGCAACAATTCTTATCCAAATCGTTGGGATTTAACTATACGATCACGTATAAGGCCGGTAAGACCAACACGGTGCCCGACAGCCTGTCCCGTTCGTCTACAGGGGGTGCAACAATTTCCCAACCCCACTGCATGGCCATTTCTGGCCCAGTTCTTAACCACACAACAGTTTTACAGTCCGAGTACAAATCTGATCCCTACTCTACAGCTCTGTTACAACAAATTCAAGACAATCCTAGTTCTATAGCTGACTGGAAAACCCGCAACGGATTGCTCTTCCACCGTGACCACATTTATCTGCCAGCCAAATCGTCACTGATTGCAACCATTCTTCATGAATACCACACTTCTGTTCAGGGGGGTCACTCTGGCATCCAAGCTACTCTGCACAGAATAAACAGAAACTTCACTTGGAAGGGGATCCAAAAAGACATCAAAGAATACATACAGACCTGTGAAACTTGTCAAAAGCTTAAACCCCCAAATCACCCTCATTTTGGCCTTTTACAACCATTACAGATACCAGATACATTGTGGGCACATCTCAGTATGGACTTTATAACTCACTTACCTTTGTCCGGAGGATATACGGCCATCTTGGTTGTTATGGACCGATTTTCAAAAGCAGCTCACTTCGTTCCTCTACCCACACACTATTCAGCTTCCAAGATTGCTCAACTTTTCTGGGATTTTGTGGGCAAGCTCCATGGGTTACCCGAATCCATCGTGACAGATCGTGATCCGATCTTCCTCAGTGACTTTTGGCGTTCCCTGTTCAGATTGCAAGGTACTAAATTAAATTTTAGTTCTAGCTATCATCCTTAAACTGACGGCCAGACGGAAAGGGTGAATCGTTGTTTAGAAAATTACCTGAGGGCATTTTCCCATCATCATCATGCGTCGTGGTCGAAGTTCCTCAGCTTAGCAGAGTATCACTACAACACTTCCTTCCACTCTTCCACTGGCGTGGCCCCGTATCAAGCCATGTTTGGTCGTAGCCCACCGAACCTTTTGGCCTACTGTCTTGGTGCTTCCACCAACGAAGTTGTTGCCGCTACTCTCACTGAGCGCATGTCCCTCATGCACACATTAAAAGAAAATTTGTTCAGAGCTCAACAAGTGATGAAAGCTCAAGCTGATAAAAAGAGAAAAGACTGGAACTTTACCTCAGGGGACTTAGTCCTTGTCCGTTTGCAACCGTACCGACAGCTGTCGGTTAACCGCCGGTCTTCGCAAAAGTTGGCGCTACGGTATTACGGTCCCTTTGCAGTGGACGAACGTGTCGGGTCTGTGGCTTATCGTCTTCAACTCCCAGCCACCGCACGGATCCACCCTGTTTTCCACATCTCCCTACTGCGACCCTTCAGATCTGGCCGAACATATAAGGTTCACTCCTTTCCCACATCTGTTTCTGACAACCCTCTGCAACACCATCATCTGGCCATCGTCGGATCCAGACACATCTGGCGAAAGGGAGTTTTGGTACCTCAAGTGCTGGTGCAGTGGAAAGATCTACCTCCAGAAGATTCCACGTGGGAGGATGAGACTGACTTGACCATGCCAGGGACTCATACACGAAACAAGGAACAGCAACCAGTCAGCCGGGGATCCACAGCGTCTGCAGCTAAGGGGAACAACCAAACGACTCACCACCCCCACGACACAGAGAAAGAAGGGACTAAAGAAGAAGACCTGGGACGAGTAATAGGGAAGACCGTCGCTTTGAATGAGGTTAATGGAAAGCAAACCACTCTCCTCGAAAACTCACTTATGTCTGGGGACTTTAACTCAAGTGGCCAGTATCTACCCCTTGATTCGCTCCCTACTGCAACGGCTGTGATGCATCCTCAGGTGTCGGTGCAATCTCAACCACACTTGCACGCAACTGGTTCCCAGTTGGCACCCATTTTGCATTCCCAACCAACGGCTATTAATCAGCCCACGTTGACTGCTCCTTCAACACCGTTGATTGTGCGCAACAACTGTTTCCCTTCAACGTCTGTGGAAGACCACAAGTCTTTGGACCCTCTGGAAGCTTCACCCATTTTACCTACCCAAGTTGCTGACACGTATCCTAGACTTGAGGACAAGTCTAATTTGGATGGGTGGGGTGATGTAACGGGCTCTAGGGCTGGTGAAGACCTTAATATAAAGAAGCCCAATCGAGGAAGAGCAACTAAGTGTCCAGCATATTTGAAAGACTTTGTTTTGGGCTGAGCTGTGACATGAGCCCATTAGCTTAATTCAGTTTATTATGCAATTCTGATTATCCACTGTTATTCATGTTAGGTTTCAAACATCCATTGTATTACAAATAGCCTTTGCAGCTTCAGAAAAGGATATGAAAAATTCGGCAAACTCTCTCTCCCTTCTCTCTTTCTCCCTCTCTCTCATTTCTGTTATAACTTCCCTGTTACAGCTATCATTACTTTTTTTTATTCCCTTCATTCATTGTGGAAAGTGTTGATAGTTAAATTGTCCAAGAGTTTCGATTCATTTTCCTATAACATATATTTGGTCTCCTGTTTAAAATACGAGTTAAAGTGTTGTAAAGAACCTTAGGATACTTACAAGTGTCGAGAGTTTAAATTTCTTTTCTTACAGTGAGTTTGATGTCTTGTTTAAAATATCAAAATAATAGTTTAGATCTCTAACAAAAAAAATATATATATATAGTTTAGATAAAAGTTAAAAGAGACTAGTTTTGGTTCTAAACCATGATTTGAGACTTGAAAGAAACAAAAATACACTACTAGGTGTCTAGGTTAGATATTTCAGATTTTATAATTCGTGAAAGTAATGATCCTTACTGAACCCTTCGGTATATTTTACTTCATAATTGATTAAAATCCTAAAGCTCAAAGCGTATCATCTCCCTTTCTCTCTTATCAAATTGCTATCCGTTTTGTGTTTAAGAGAAAGAATAAAACAGAAATGGAAATGAATGGATACCGGTGAACATAATAATTTTTTGTTGTTGTTTTTTTGCCATATCATGATTCAAATTCCTTATGGTAATTTCATATATATATATATATATATATATATATATATATATATATATAAGATATATGAGATATGATTCTTTAATACTGGTATCAAATTAAAAAAATTTGACACCAAATCCTAATCGTTGATTTTCATCAATCGACGATTACAATTTATTAAAAAATACTAATTAATTAATAAGTTTGATCCATAGGATCGTGTTATACTTTAATTTTTATTTTTGTGTTGTTCATATTTTCTTTTAAATTCTGAATGTTATTCCATTTCTTGTTTTGCTAATAAGAAGCAGGGTTTTCTTTTATAATGCATCTTTTCAAGACAAAAATTGCTCGATATGGAATGTTATTTTTAAGCATGTAAAAATGCTATTACAAATAGGGGTGTTCGCGGTCTGAATTGGATCAGTTTTGAAAGCAAAAATCATCTGATCCAATCCCTTTGGTTTCATCATGTAATCATCTATTTGGTTTGATTTTTTTTCAAATCCGATCTCATCCAATCCAATTTTTTTCGGTTTGGATTGGATCGGTTTTCGGTTTTTTGAAAATTCTAAAATTTGTTTCATGATTATTGTGCAAATAACATCTTTTGTATATATTGGTTTTGTAAAAAAAAAATCGAAATATAAAAGCATCAGTAAACGATAATATAATTTTTTTTTGGCAATAAGATATGAAGCTCTATACAGATGAAATTTTGTTGATGAGATGTGACTAGATTTTTTCTTGGGTTTAGTTGATGCGTCTTGGGTTTAGAAAATTTTGGGCTATGATTGGGGAAAGACCCAAGTAGGTAGAGGGGAATTAATATATTGGATCGATTTGGATTGGATCTGGTTTCATCAACCAACTCGAAAATCGATCCAATCCAATTAAAAATTGCGGATTTTTTTCGGTTTTCGATTTTTTGGTTTTTGATTTTCGATTTTTCGGTTCGGTCACCGCGAATCGGTTTGGATCGGTTGATGAACATCCCTAATTACAAATATTATAGTTTCAATTGCTTTTCCTCAATAAGTATAATTGTATGTGATTCAGAAATATCCAATAATTAGAAGATCATGAATCTTTTTTTACTGTTTTATGATGAAAGAAAAATAAAGAGCAATTTAATTTTATTAATCATAAAAAAATGCCTAGTTTTGGTTTGCAGGAAAGGAAAATCTATTGTATATTTGGTTAAATTTTAATGAGGAAAGTGTTTGTATGGACCTAAGCTATGGTGTAGAGTAGGGAAAAATCTAATATAATATGGATGTATGTACGACAGATCAATAAAAGCGCGTCACCTTAGCTTCTAGTTTACTGGAGAGAGAAAAGGAAAAATGGTTTTTTTTGTTTTACATTATATAGTATATACTATGGGGTTGCATTTTCTCATGCAACATGAGAGGAGCTTTTCTCCTACACATACAATTAAGTGGGCCCACTAGTTTAAATAAAAAAGGAAAATGAAAGAAAATATTAACACGGAAATCGAGCTCTCACTAACATGAGAGAAGGCTATTCCTACAACATGAGATTTATTTATCCCATATACTATCAGTAGTATATAGTGTAAAATCCAAAAGTCACACTCAATTCCATGCAACAGATGTACTAAAGATGCACTCCTAGGGTAAAGATGAAATGGGTCAAACAATTTCTCATAGACTTATTGTCGGGCCTATGTTACGCCAGTCATAGCCTAGCATATTTAATAAAATAAAATGAGCTAATATCTTAAAAATAAACTTGTTCGAAAAATGGTTCATAAACATATTTTTAGAAAATCTAGCCTACAAGCATAAAGGTCAATATCGTATTACTTATTTTAATTAAAATAAAATAAAATAATTGTCTATATATTTTAATTAATACAATTGTAATTTGTATTTTTTTTTAATTCTTAATAGGTATTCAAAATTTCAAATTTAAATAGGTTAATAGTTCTATATTAGGCATGTTGTGTTTAAAATATAGGTAAGATTATGCTCATAATTTAGCCTACATCATGGTAAAATGTCATGTTAGCCTTAAAATATTTTATATAAAGTTTAATCTAATCCAACCCAACCCATTTATACCCGGAAAGCTTAGACGAAAGGAATTTCGGAAGTCAAAACACATAAGGGAAAAATTGGCCTTTTGACTCTTCTGATGCAAAATCCAAGACATATTATCGATTTAATTCTTTTGGTAAACTATTTATCAGTCTAATGCCAATGAAACTCGTATGAGAAATGTGTTCGTTTAAGTGGCGCATCACCTCCACGAGCGATTTGAGTGAAAATGCAAAACATGCATTCTAGTAGAGTGCATTCAAATCGTGCACATACCCCATGGGTATCTTGCTGAGCGCGAAATGTGGCAAGTGCATTTTAACTTTTGCACAAGTCACATATGTGGATAATGTGTGACTTAAACGTGCATCCTTCCCATGTGCGTTTCACTCTCATTAAAAGAATTAAATAACTTAATATATCAGTAGTTTTGGATCAGAATGGTAAAAAAATCCGAAAAAATAATAGTGGCAGTGTGGCACTGCAAGTTTTCCTAGTTCTAATTTATTGCTTGGTCCTTTATTTTTTTGAAAATAATTTCATTATGGATTTGGATCTTTCATGTACTTCATTAGTATTAGGCTAGTGTAAGATCCTTCTGCATAGCTCTTCAATAAAAATAAGAAATTTTCCTATTTAACTCTTTTGGATTAATTTATTTTAGAAAAAAATAATATTTTTCTAAGCTTTTTAAAATTTTAAACAAACAAATATTTTTTAAAAAGTAAATGTTAAAACAAACATGCACTAAATAAAATTTTCAAAACATTGTAACAAACCCAAGACAATACCATTTCTTATTTTCTTGCTAGCTCAGTCACAATCTCTACACTATCCCCAACACGTTCAAATAAAATTCACTATTTTCAAGGTTATATATATATATATATATATATATATATATATATATAGAGAGAGAGAGAGAGAGAGAGAGATAGGATCCTTTGACACCAGTGTCAAATTTGAAGTTTGACACCTCCTCTGAGAGTCGTTAGATCAAAAATATTAACGACTCTGATTTGTAAGTATGTGACACCATTGATCTTTTTTGATCTAACGGCTCTCAGAGGAAGTGTCAAACTTCAAATTTGACATTGGTGTTAAATGATCCTACCTCATATATATATATATATATATATATATATATATATATATATATATATATATATATATATATATATATATATATATATAGAGAGAGAGAAAGAGAGAGGTAGAATCATTTGACACCAGTGTCAAATTTGAAGTTTGACACCTCATCTGAGAGCCGTTAGATAAAAAAAGATCAATGACTCTGATTTGTAAGCAAGTGACATCATTGATCTTTTTTGATCTAACTATTCTCAGATGAGGTGTCAAATTTCAAATTTGACACCGGTGTCAAATTTTAAATTTGAGGTGTCAAAGGATCCTACCTCATATATATATATATAGGGATGAGATCCGTTTACAAACTTTTTTTGCAAATTACACTAAGTACGACTGGTCGTACACTGCATGATTAAAGTATGACCGATCGTACTTAGTGTAGATTGTAAGAGTTTGTAAACAAAAAAGTTTGTAAATATAACCTGCCCTATATATATATATATATATATTTATAAAAGATCAAATTTGCATAAATATTAATATTTTGACAGACAGTTATTAATAAATAAACTTATAGTGAATGGAATTTAATTCCCATAAATTTTATTTTTTTATTTTACTTTAATTGCTCTTCCCAACCCAACTTGAACTATAGAAGCATTTGCCACATTTCGTGCTAAGCAAGACCCCCATTGGATGCGTGCACGACTTGAATGCTCTCTATTAGGATGCACGGTTTGCATTGCGCTGATTTTCACTTAAATCATTCGTGGAGGTGATGCATGACTTAAACACGCACATTTCCCTGTGCGTCAACTACATAGAAGCCCAACTTGAACTATAGAAGACCTTTTGCCAGGCTCAATGGATGAGTCTTAAAAAGAAAGAAAAAAGAAAACGACAACAACAACCTTGTACATGCACAAATGGAGCATGGTTAAAATTTTGTGGTGTTATTTATTTATTTATTTCTATTTTTTCATGTAGTGGAGAATGGAGCAATGTATTATAAAAACGTACATAACTCATACTTAAGCATAGAACTAGAAAAATTGGTAAACTTCATGTAGGAGCATAACAACCAACTAGAAAACTAAAAATCACAATTGTGAATTTTCCTGGCAGCCTGGTGGAAATTCCTCAGATGGATTAAAAGCTATTGATGTAGATCCACGCCTGATATTTCATCAAGGGGTACCATCGAGTGGTGCCAAGTTTGCCTATGACAAGATTCAGAACATATTGGCTCTTTCTACCAAGTATGTTCACCCTTGCCATTTGTACAAGTCCTTGTCAATTTTTTGATGTATACATTGTTCTTTCTGACATCTAATTGGCAGATAAACTGTTATAGCTTACGTATTTTTATTGAATTTATGTTTGAAACTTATTTTTGTTGGGACTTTTTTTAAGGGATGGACGGATTAAACTATTTGGAAAAGATAATGCCCAAGTCCTACTTGAATCTAGTGAGTCAGTGCCTAGCAAGTTTTTAAAGGTTATATTTTCTTTTCTTTTGGTGGCCAATTTTGTCTTTTAATTTCAAATGGTTGATTGATTTCCTTGATGTTGTGAAGGGTGTTCTTTTTATAGGAATATACTTGTCTATTATCAATAATATGATATTTAATATATGCATGCAGTTCTTCCATAACCAGGGCATCCTTATAAATGTCACTCTCAATAACCATATTGAGGCAAGTAAACCTATGAACTTTGCTAAAATTTGTTATATTTTTCAAGTTGGTACTAGCAACTGTTCTGCTATTAAGATTCACCATGTCAATATTTTATCTAAATCATATCATAAAGAAAGTGTTGGGGACATTTAGGTTTGGGACATGGACAAGAAAGTGTTGGCCGATGTGTACATTGCTAAAGAAGAAATCACTTGTCTTGCAATCATTCAACATAGCCTCTTTATGTAAGTAATGTGTCTACTTCGAAATAAGATATCAAGAGATTACATTTTTAAGGAGCACCAAAATTTAGTTATAAGTATGTATCTGCATTGGCAGGTATGTTGGAGTTTCTAATGGTAACATTTCAGTTTTGAAGTTTGATCAAGAACCATGGCATGTGGTACATATGAAATACACCATACCCCTCTTAGCTTCTTATGGTGAGATACATATTTTGTCCTTCCTTTTTTTGGGAGGGGTCCTTTTCCATTCACTTGTTCCAAGTAAATCTTGCCTAGAATACACACCATTGATTCTCTAAACCAGCATTTTGATTAGAACAATAAAGTAAAGAACACGCACTCTCTTAGATATAGCTTCTTGTCATTTTAAATTCCTTAATAATCTTTTTCAGGGAATTCAAATGAAGTGTCTGATGACACTGTTGTGACACACATATTGCCTCAACCAGAAGCCGAAAGTAAGAGGTGATATGTACAAAACCTTCCTCCCTTTAGGACATTTTTATATAATTAATTTGGAGTTTGTTTTTACTTGATCATTTTTTTTATTTAAAAGTTCCAACTTATGTTTCCTGTTGGGCAAGCGGCTTCTTTAATAAAGATGCGGATGAACACCTAGAGGGAGGATGAATAGATGTTCTAGGATTTTTAGAAAAAACCTTTATGTCAAGTAAACTTTAATATTTGATAAATCTAGAATTAGAATCACCAAATTAGGTAGATGCTTTATCTTCAATTTTAATAGAGTGCAATTGTTTCCTATATGCCCTAATATACTAGAATGAAGTAAGAGAACATAATATGGTATCTTGCATCGTGCAACTTCCGTGCGTAGCTAAACTGTCAAGTATATTAATACAAATTACTTACCCAACACCTTTTTTTTATTTGTGCAGCAGAAATACACAAATGCAGATTTTTTTTTAAAAAAATGTAAAAAAAAAAAAAAAAAACTTGAAATTGGGCTTAGAAATATATTTTTTGTAAAAGCCAACAAAAATGACAGAATATAAAAACAATATCTATTCAATGGAGATAAGATCTATATTTCAAGCTCTATCAGTACAAGACTTCAACAACTAATGAACCAACAGATCTAGTCACTAACACTTTCACATAGTTTACAACAAAAACAAATCAGAGTTTTATATGTTTTATGACTTATACTGAAACCTACAACATAGATGCTCCTTTGGATATTTTGACAATGTAGAAAATAGAATTTAAATCTGGAATATATCAAAGAATACTATTTCAGTGCAATTTTAGACCTTATATAAAATTCAGAAGAAGAAAATTTTTGCTCAAAGAAAATGTACTATTCTTGAAGAACAACTTTTTGGAGAGAGATATATATCAGGTTGTGTAATCTGAAAGAGTTTATATATATATATATATATATATATATATATATATAGGAAAAAATGTGTGTCATTTTAAAGGATGTAAAGTTGTGTCATTTTAAGAGAGAGAAAGAGATAGATAAAGGAGGAGAGAGATTTGACAAAACAAAATAAAGGTGTGGGTCCTATCTCTTGGTGATAGTGAAAGGATATAAGTTGTATCATTTAAAAGGATAAACACTTTTTCCATATATATATCTCAATTAAATGAGTTATTATGGACAACCTTATCTTGAGCCCAAAAAAAAAATTGCCATCAGAATTTTATCAAGAGGCCCACATGATTCTTACAAGACAAGTGTTTTAAAAAAATGAGTATTAAAGTAAGGGTTTTATTTCTCTCATGTTATAGGAGAGATGTTATCTTGTGGACTCCACTTAATTTATCTCACAACATGTTGTGAGATAAATTAAGTGGGGTCCACCAATTTTTTTAAAAAGAAAAAGAAAAAAAGAGAGGGGCATATCTTTTTATGTGGGTGTGTGTAACATAAGAGTATAATTTCCCTTAAAGTAATTGCTAAACTGAGTTCAGTTTATTTTATTATTATTATTAACTAATTCTAGTGAAATATCTACACAGCCTTTAAATCATTACTGCTTTGTTTTTTTTATTTTAAAAAAAATTAATTGAATGAGCTATGCTTATATGATCTGTGTATGATTGGAGCAAGATATGACATTTTCAAGGCCAGAAAAAGAAAAGGTGTCACATACCATCTAACATATTTGACACTAAGCTCCCAAAACTTTGTTTCTTCAATTTGAGATAGCTTTGTATCTTCAATCTCTTAGGCATCATCAAAACATTATAAACTTTGAGCTCATGGGATGTCTTCATTCTCTTGTTTGTTCAATGCAGAGTTCTTATAATCTTTAGAAATGGCCAAATAACATTATGGGATATTCGAGAAAGCAAATCCATAGTCAGAACTGGTGGAAATATGTCACAACCACTGTATAATGAAACAAAGAAAGTGTCTTCTGCGTGTTGGGTGTGTCCTTTTGGAAGTAAGGTGGTTGTAGGGTACAACAATGGAGAGCTCTTCATTTGGAGCATCCCTTCTCTAAACATAGGAACTGGTTCAGCATTTAATTATAGTAATCAAAACACTCCTATGTTCAAACTTAACTTAGGATATAAATCAGACAAAACTTCCATTGGATCACTAAAATGGATTTATTCTGAAGGAAAGGCTAGTCGACTATATGTCATGGGAGCTTCGGACTACGCCCCTTCAAACTTGTTGCAGGTATATTTGAATACTTTGCTTACATCATTTAAGGATACATCTTGTTCTTGGACAAGTCATTGAAAGTTTCTGTATCTATATTTTACTTCATAATGAGTCATTTATGAATGATAGGTTTTTTTAACAACTAATCTGTATTAAATGTTTACTGAAATGATTATATGTAGCAGGTAGTGTTGTTGAATGAGCATACCGAATCTCGAACTATAAAGTTGGGACTTCATTTATCTGAAAGCTGTATTGACATGGAGATCATATCAACCTCAAGAGAGCAAAGCAAGCATAAACTAAATTCTTTCCTTTTGCTTGGGAAATCAGGCCATTTATATGTGTATGATGATAGTTTGATTGAAAAGTATCTACTGCAATGCCAGTCTAAGTCCACTCCCTCACTGCCAAAGGAAGTGGTTGTGAAGTTACCACTGCTAGATTCAAGCATCACAACAGCAAAATTCATCTCCAACAATCCCAATGTGTTTAATTCTAAAGATGAAGTAATAGGGTTGTGAAACTGTTTTTTTTTTACTGGACCATATTCTTTTTTTTTGGACAATCTAATTCTTCTATATTGTTTTATTGATTTGACATTTATTTTCTTTTTGTTCACATAGTATTACAGTCAGCTGGTCAAAAATAATCCACCAGTTATTCCCATTGAAACAAATCACAAAGATGGGATTAACTTGACTTCTGCCAGCTTCACTGGTTTTTCAAACGTTAAAAACTTGTACATAACTGGACATAGCAATGGAGCCATAACTTTTTGGGATGCGTCATGTCCCTTTTTCACCCCAATTTTGCAATTAAAGCAACAGGTAATATTTTTATCCGAAACTATTAGTTTGTGTCCAAATGTTGGCTTTATTACTATGACTGGTTAACTACTACTTTGTGCCCAAATATTAACACTATTACATTCCAATTTGTTGTTGGACAAAAATTACCTATAAAATGGGCATTTTGTCTTCCCTTTATTGATAAAGATAGCATTAGTAAGAGTATATATTTCAGTTTCAGAAATAAAGCTGCTTTAATGTATGTAGTATCCGTCAACTTATATATGCCTAGTTAATAAAAGGATCTTGATTGTACTAGCTAACCGAGGCAAGCTGGTGTATTGAAGTCCCATTCAAGAAAGTAGTAGATTGATAAGGACATACATAAATAGGATTAATGTTTCTCATATTGTAAGAGATAATTTTATCTCCTACACATATATAAAAGCGTATGGGACTCATATGGGGTCATGTGAATAGAAGAGAGAAAAAAAAAACATGAACCCCACACATTTTTATGTGTGAGTAGGGTTCAGAAGTGCCTACGTTGAAACGCTCGACCGCTTCAAGAATCAATGACTATCCCCACATACTAACACGAGACTTTTCAGTGTGCTTTTTCTCACTCGCATACTTTCCGGGAAAACTTTCCAGGAGGTTACCCATTCCAGAATTGCTCCAAGTCAAGCACACTTAACTGTAGAGTTCTTCTGATCCGGGCAACCGAAAAGCAGATGCATCTTATTAACATAGATAGTACCAATTAATTCTTATAAGCTATCCCAAACTATGCAGTCTTATACCTGCACAGTCTTTGGAATCCCTCTCTTTCGGGTGTCGATTCGATTCATTCATGCATGTAACCCCCCGCTGGAAGCCTGTCAGGAGCCGCTCCTTGTCTGTGCCTCTTTGCACCGGCGATCACTCCCCGCCCTCGTCAGCGCTCGGGATGTTACATACGTCAAAATAGTTTTCGACTTTTGAGTACTCGAGTATGTGTTGTATCTCGAGTCATTATTAGTTTTTTGAGTTCAAACTGTAAGAGGATCAAAGGCGGTTATTTTCTTTCCCATGTACTTAAGAACTGTAGGGAGCATTTAATTTCTCTTTTGCATGTAATTATTCTTTTATTTGTTTCTTCAATCTTAATGCAGAGTGAAAATGATTTTTCTTTAAGTGGTATACCCTTGACGGAATTATATTTCGACAGCAACTCTCCTCTCCTTGTTTCTGGTGACCAGAGTGGAATGGTGAGCTTCATTCAATTATGAATTTGGTGAAATGTGATATTTTCCTTGTTTTCTCTTTTTGTTCTTACCACCCCTCCTTATTTTTATAGTATGTGTGATATAAACATGATATACAGGTTCGCATCTTTAGATTCAAACCTGAACCATATGCCTCCAACAGCTTCATGTCTCTTACTGGTATTGCATAGCATATTACTTAGTTTACAACTTGTTGCTTAGTTATTAAACAACTAGCAGGCTCCTCATTTTAGTTGATAGTAACTTGCATTGCCATTCCTCTTTTGCAGGAGGAACAAAGAAAGCGACTGATCATATAATCCAGAGTGTAAAACTTGTAAAGACTAATGGTGCTGTAACTTGTATGAACATAGATTACAGCTCAAGGCATCTAGCTGTTGGTTCTGACCAAGGAAATGTGAGATACTTTTCTAGCTTTTTTCAAATAAATAAATAAATAAAATGGGAATGTGTTTTTAGTTTCCAAAGAAACGAATATAATGTGCAACGCAATATATTAATTATCTGGGACGCATTGATTAACCTGGAACTAAACTATCTTTTAACTTTAAGATCCATTGCAATTACCAAGGATCTATTGAACATATTAACTAACACCAAGGATCATTTAGCAGAATAAAATGAGAGTATATTGTGTCCATGCTTTAAGCACCTTGCTAGTGGTTTATGTGACACTCGGGTGATAATTACTAATCATATTGTTGCTTCAGCTTGATGAATGATTATCATATAGTGTGTGGAACTTGAACTTGCTACATTAGGCTCCTTTTGCTTTATAGTTGTGTTTATTATCTTCACAGTACTAAAATGTGCAATAATTTACCAATTGGTTACAGGTTTCAGTTATCAACATGGATGGCCCATCTCTGCTATACCAGAAACATATTGCAAGTGAAATGTCTACCGGTATCATCTCTTTGAGGTTCATAACCTGCAAGTTGTATGGTTTTGAGAAAAACATTTTAGCAGTTGGAACAAAGGACTCATCTATTCTGGCACTAGATAATGAAACTGGAAACACACTGAGTGCTGGAACCATTCATCCTAAGAAACCCTCTAAAGCTCTATTTATGCAGGTGTTGGGTAAGTGTCTGCACAGTTGACACAATTATCCGTTGTCAAAACACATTATCAATGATCCGAATGCTTATTCTGTTTAGGATTCAATGTCAACTCTATTATGTTATACAGAAGGATCAATTATAAAAAATGGCTTAGACTTGAGAGAAGGGAATCTAGTAGAGGATGCAACAACAAAGCAATTAAACATTTTGCTGTGTTCTGAGAAGGCTTTGTATGTCTATTCTTTTGTGCACGCAGTACAGGTAATGTGTTCTTTACTTCTATCCTTACTAATGAGTAGTCATGAATAACCAGCTTGTTAGCTGATGCTTGCAATAACTCTTTCTCTTATGTTTCAGGGAGTCAAAAAGGTGCTTTACAAAAAGAAGTTTCATTCTTCTACCTGTTGCTGGGCATCAACATTTTACTGCCCCTCTGATATTGGTCTCGTACTCCTTTTCACCAATGGAAAAGTAGAATTAAGGTGGTTTTTTTCTTTAGTCTTCATATACTTTTTAGAATATAATTTGATGGGTATATAACATACGAGAAGACTAACCAACATTTTGGTGTTAAAATAATACAATCCCCATTTGAGGATTAATTTTTCAATTAAAAAAAAATGCTACAAACAATCCTTATTCCCAGTTTCCCACAGGTGTTGGATTTATAGATTCTAGCACGTTTTGTGCTCGATCTCTAATCATATATTCATGAGGCCACATGTATCCTATATCCTTCTTAATAGTTACCATCATGTCAATTCAAGATGCATTCTTTTTGCTTTTAACTTCTTTTTTAATGATTTAACACATACATATGTAATAATGTTAGGTCTTTGCCAGAGTTATCTCGGATAGTGGACACTTCAATTAGAGGCTTCACTTACTCTCCTCCAAAATTGAAGTCATTTTCTGAAAGCCAGATATGTTGTTCATCCAGAGGAGATCTTGTTTTTGTATGGCTGTATCTTTCACTAGTACAACAGGTTTCTTTAGATATTTGTAACATCAAATTAACTCACCATCAGTTTACAGGTTAATGGTTACCAGGAAATTTTTGTTGTCTCATTGCTGGTCCAGAGGAATATTTTCAGGTATATATGGCCAGGGAATGGCTACAAAAAACTTCTGCCTAACAATATTTCCCACTGGGAAAGATATTTAGAGCCTTTTATCTTCTTTATTATTTTCTTTTAGAACTGACAAATAGTGATAATTCTAGATTAGTAGTCTCATATTCCATAATTCTTGACTTCATTTTAGGCTTTTGGACTCTGTTAGCTGCATTTACACGAAGGAAAGGATGCTATTGCAAGAAGAGCTTGTTCCTGGCCCGGTCATCCACAAGGAAAAGAAAAAGGTAAACAGTAACATTTTTAATAACTCATACAACTATATCCATAATCTTTGTGACAGAAGGTATTTGATCTTGTTTTTGGGCATTCCAGGGTATATTCGGCTCCGTTATCAAAGATTTTAGTAGCAGTAAAGGAAAGCATGCACCCCTCATGGAAAAAGATCCTAAAGAAAGAATCCGAGAACTCTCAGCAATGTTTTCAAATGCAAATTTTCCATGTAATGCTAACAATAATGATAACTCGACCGTGGATGCAAATCAGCTTGAATTACACATAGGTATAACAATGCCTTAGATATATGGTACTGAATATTTACTTGAAAAATGAAACGTTTGGCCTTTAAGGCAGCAGAATGATGAAATTTGTCAGTTCTGCTGTCTGTGTCTACTATTTATGTGATACATTTTCTAACGTGGATACTTACTTGAGTTTGAGGTTATCAATTTGATTTGTTCCCTTTTCCTCCTATATTGATGACATTGATCTAGAGGATGATGGAGAAAAACGCAAAGAGCAAAGCATATTGGGAGCTCAGAAGAAATTGGCTGGCAAATTTCAGGTTCTGAAAGGTTTGTGAGAATGAGTTCACTTTTATGCATAATTACTTTGGGTTTTCCTTTTATCCTTTAACATAACACAACAAATTTTCCTACCCTCACAACATTTTGTGGGGCCCACACTTTTTAAAACAAAAAAATAAATAAAAAATTAAAGCACGCAAAACGAATCTCTATAACATTACACAATCACTTTTCCTACAACATAACTCTTATAAAACCCAATTACTTTTTCTTATGTTCACCATTTGACCTAAGAAATAAGCACTAGAACTACTGTGGATGGGATAAAACATGAGCCAATATAGGGGATTTATATTTTATACATATTTCAGGATCTCATTATGCATTCCATTATGTTAAAATATAAAATAAATGTTTTCTGATAGTAATTACAAACGTAAGACTTTGTTTCGAGGAAACACCGTGCATAGAGTTGTCTCCAAAGATTTTTGTAAGTTTGTCTTCTAGGTAGGTTGTTCTTGTTCTTTTTCTGCATGTAGACACTGCCTTAAACCAGCATAAAGGAACAAATTAACACTACTGTAGCAGAAATTTGAAGTTGAAAGTAGGGTAAATGGACTAAAATCATAATAAAGAAAATTTTATCCATTATTTCCCATCTTGCTGCTTTTCCAGTAATTTGTATACCCTTATTTTGTGAACATTACCTTCTTGTAACTAAGCAACTCTTGCAACCAAAACTGCTTTACTAGAATTTAGTAAACTACAACTTGCGACCAAACAGAAGCATTAAGCAATGCATTTTAAGAATTTTCAATCTCCTAGCTACCTTCTGATTGGACTGAAAGTTGACTTAAGGGTCTTCCAAAACGCTAGCTAATTTAATTGAGCATCCAATATACAGGAAGATTGAAAGAGATGAAGGGTAACAACCAGAAACCATCAGATAAAGAAGAGCAAAAAGATGAGAAAGCTGGTGCGCTTGATCAAATTAAGAAGAAATATGGATTTTCTTCTTCCTCCAGTGTAAGAATATATCCATCACATGCACCCTTGTCATGTTTGACTTGCATTCCACCATATCAAGAAGATTTACAAAGGACTTATTTGTTCAAATATCAATTTTTTAATTTACATAAAAATATAAGGTACTACATCACATGTAATAATACTTTATGATCACTATATAATTAGGCATAATTTTCATATATGTAAAACTTTAGTACTTTGATCCGAAATATGATTGCAAACATGAACCGATCATGAATCTGGCGCTATAGGAAACAGGCGTGGCTACATTGGCAGAAAGCAAGCTGCAGGAAAACACAAGGAAATTGCAGGTATCTTTTTATGTTGACAAATTTCCCATGCCCATGTATGCAACAAAAATTGGAAAAATAAAAAAAATCCAAAATTTATTTGTTCACATATCGTCTTCTATAACTTGGCAGGGTATCAATCTACGTACTACAAAGATGCAAGATACAGCAAAATCATTTTCATCATTGGCAAAACAAGTGCTGCGAACAGCTGAGCAGGATAGACGAAGTTGATAAGAGCTATAGCTAATCTATTACACTTAGGTCATAAATTGTTTTATATTTTAGTTGCATATATATTCTAATAATATTTTGTGTATGATAGTTCATTAGTTTGTCCGCAATTATGTTGTATTTACACTGACAGCAACGCTGAAATGATGCCTTGATGCTTTTGTTTTGGATTGATATTGTGTTTACTTTGTGATCATGTATTATATAGATTGAGAATTTACAGTTTCTTCCCAATCTTTCTTTCCCCGATGAAGAAATTGCCCAGAAAACATACATGTCTTCCATTCCTCTCTTATTTAAGGCTCAATTAACTCACCAACCTATAATTTTTCTAAAAGAAAAACTAATTTTGCCCTATTTGTTTTGTGCTAGTTTTGTTTCTTTTGGCGTAAAACTGCTTCATTACTGTATTATGAGTATTATGTTGGACATCAATATTCTATTCACTTTCTTTCTTAAACACAATAAAGTTAAAAGATGACACACAATTTGCTGTCCGATAAGTGTATTGATGTCTAACATCTTTATCGTATCAGCAATGTTCATTTCAGTGAGTAAAAGAGTTTAACAAGCTCATTGAGAATTGCTCTTTTTTTCTTCACTAAATAGAGTACTAGGCCATCATGATACATTTAGAACTTGAAGAAAATTCCGCACAGTATGAGTTTAGACAACAATCTTTACAATGACCAGTGTTTTATCAGAAGTTCTTCTAATAATGAGCGTATTTGTTCTCTCACAGTATCTCTGTTACTAACACTCAATGTAAAACAAGTTGCCCCTGCATGATTCCGCAACCTCGCAACTGCAGAAATTGACTACATTAGTAACTTAAAAGTTCAGAAATGCAATTAGCCAAATAGTGGCTCCAAAATCCTCAAAACATCTTCAACAGATCTTTGAGCTTCATTCGTACCAGGCCATGTGACAGATTTTGTCCTATCTCATTTATTTAAAGAATCAAGAAAAGAAAATTGTTTGAGAAATGGGGGAATGTTAAAGTACTGAAAAAAATTACCTGCAGGTATATCTCTGCCAAATTTTGGAACTGGAATGGAAGCCAAAATTGGGATATTTGACTCCAAAACTTTTAGTACTGCAGGGAAGAATGACGAACTGTATAACTCCATCTTACCAACTTCATCAATGATGAAGAGTTCAGTGTCTTCTCTAACCTAGTCATTGAACGTGTCTTCGAACATCAAAGACTGATGTAATATATAGGCAATGGCAAATAATATCTTTTATATCCTCAATGACAAATCTACACTCAGAAAATGAACTCCACCAATAGTTTAAAAAAGCATGTGAGCAGTTCAAGAGCATCATACCACATTTTCGATAAGAATTGAAATGCATGTAAAGATGGTGATATATTTGGCATAACGTGCAATAATCTAATCTCCTACAACGGCACTAAAAACAATAGTGCCCTCTTCATTCCCTTTACTGTTTTCACTCAAGGAACTAGTTACTTGAAAATATCAAAGGACAAATCCCCGTGCACATGACTCCTCTACTTGCAAGGGTGACGGTAACGGTTAATTGTACGCGTTCTTACCCTTACACTCTTGCAAAGAGATGGTAAGGAACTAGCTACTTAACTTAAGAAAAAAAAAGGCATAAATAAAACATCTCTGACAAGCAACAAACAAACTACAGAGAAAGCGAGCTCACCTGCAATTCCGGCAGTGCTAGTGACTCAAAAGATGCAATATCAACTTTATACTTCCCAACGCTAGGCCATGTGAGAGACTCAGGGCTGCCAATGCAATTATTAAATAACACCCTTTAATTAAATAAGCAATTGACTATGGGATTAGCGTTTGTAAGAGATAATTTTATCTTTTACTTATGCATAAAAGTGTGTGGAGTTCATATTTTATTTTTCTTTCTCTTCTTTTCACACGTGAGCACATACACTTTTAAGTGCTTTTAGAAGACAAAGAAATATTAATCCCATTAACTATCACATAAAAACCTTTCATTTGTTAGTGCTTGAGAAATGAATACCCTTTAAGCACCATCACCAAGAAACACAAATTACAAAACATAAAAACACAAAAGTTGGGATCTTTATGTGAGAAATGACCTTGAAATGTTGGCAGAGGCAAGTGGGCATGTGCGACCATCTAGAGTGACCACTTCGAAACCAACCCTCTGGCCTGCGTGTCTAACTTCACCTACAAAACCAACCACCAAAACCATTTTGGTTTTGGGAACATAGGAGCTTGTGAAAGAATAAGAAGGGATGCTTACGAGTGTAGAAGCCCTGAACCTTGAGGGCGGGATTAGAGGCTTTGAGGGACTCGAACACTCTCATAATAAGAGTGCTTTTTCCCACGCCCTGATCAATGAAAGGATAGTAAATTCAACAATCAAGAGTGACTAACCATGAAATTGAAATTGGAAAGAGAGAAGAATCACTCACAGGAGGACCCGTGACCAGGAAGCATTTGCCGGGACCAGCCATTGTTTCTGTGCCTGTTCTAATGGGATGAAGTTTAAGGGTCGACTTTTTTAATTCGAGACTAATTTTTATTTTATTTTTTGATACATAATTCGAGACTAATTTTTATTGGAGAATGAAAGTTTCTTTTTTTGTTTTATTTCATTTCAATTTGGCTAAATAGATTCGTGATTAGTTGTAAATTATTAATTAAATTAGTTTAAGAAATGATTAATCAAACATTTTTATTGAAAGACAAAACTTTCTTATTTGCCAAACATTTCGAGCACTCTGCCATTTTTATTTTTATTTTGTCATTGCCTTCAAAGTCCAAGAGCAAACAGCCAAGTTGAATGCTTAATAAAAATTTGTATGAAAAGATTAAAGGAAGTAGAGACCTAAAAAAAAAAGGAAGCAGGACCATCGTATTTGAAAATTCAGTTTTGTTTTGGTTAAAGGGAGGAATTATTATCACATTCTTTTTTTTTAGTACAAAAAAATTTAAGTGAAATTAATATCGGTATCCCACTAAAGTCAGAAAAGACCTCAATCTCTTTGAAAATTTGCTTAAGAGATATATCACTCACCAATAAAGTCCGCTAGCAAAATTTGAGATATAAATCAAATCATTAGTCAACTCTGCTCACCATTATTATTGTATTCTAAGATGACACATTTCAATGAAACTTTCAAATTGTCCATAAAAAAAAAATAAAGTGTTATTTGTTACTATGAGAGCTATATATCTAAGCTTTGCAAACTTAATCTTTACCAGTTAAACCAATTGAGGTTGGCCATTAAAAATATAATTATGCTGTCATCACTCATCCGTAGGTTCCTTCTTTATTCAACTTAAAATTCACAACGTATTTTCTTTTCTTTTCTTTTTATAAACAACTGACACTGCCAAAAAAACTGTTTTTTTTAATAAAAAAGTAATGTTTTTCTGGGTATTATTATTATTATTTAGCCATCAGAATTATAATTAAAAAATAAAACGATTAATTTCAAACATTAACTACAGAGTGGCACTGCATGTACAAGCTAAAATTATATAATTACTTTAAAACCACAAAGTGAAAATAGGAAAACATCTGTGAAAAGCTTGGTTTATTCAAGGATTAACGAAAACGCAGAACATAACAGCTGCTATTTAAAATCCTGAATTGATAAATCATCAACTTCCATAAACCACAAAAGACAAAATAGCCATTCAAATCCAAGGCATTTAACAGGATTATCAACGGACAGTCAATTCAGAGCTTACCAAGGAAGATGTAATTTTATGCATTATTCATTCATCAATGTCAACTTGATCTGATTAACATAATGGTCCGTGTGATTATTAACTAGCCGAAATAATATTAAAATTGAGATTATAATTTCACTCCTACGGTTTTCTTACTCGCTGATAAATTATTCTCTTTTTAATATTGATTTACAAGCAACTATATTCTAAAACCAATGAAGATTGATAGTCAACGATACCATGGAAAGATCCAGATTGTTTAATCACAAAACATCCTTAATTATAAATAGTGAAAAGATTCATAGCACGAGACAGACAGACAAAAGGAAAACTCATTTTTTGAGAATATAACAGCACACGACATCTTTTTTTTGTATAGAAACAGCACACAACATCTAATACCACTTTATGATTTCAATTGTGGGTTTACCTTTCTCTTTAATCTGAACGAAATAATAAAGGCATGCTTCATCCACAAAAACGACTTTAAAAAGGAGATTCAAAATAAAATTACAAAAAAAAAAAAACAGCTATAGCATTTCATCAAACCAAAAAGGTACGCGAATATGACACCAATATTCAATAGGAAAATGCAAATCCATGAAAGCAAACTGAGTCTTTTTTAATGATAGCGGTTGACTTTTAAGTACAGGATCATATAGCTAAATGTAAAATAAGGATTATGCAACTAATCTAAACCTAAGAATGAAGAAACAAAAGCATCCATGGATTGGCAAACAGTCTACCAAATTCTAAGCGGTTTAACCTATGCATAATGATTATATATTCCAGTTACTCCTAAAGCTTCTTCCTTTGTACCAGCAACTTTACTCGTCATCCTCTTCATCCTATCAAATAAAACCAAATCAAGCATATTAAAAATCAATATTAAAATCAATTTAGCAGGCACCTAACAAAGCACAGAACACAAGCAATGAAAAGAATATTACATCCTCTTCGTCCTCATCATGGATTTCGGACTTTGACTTATCAGACCCTTCTTCCTCTGAACGGTTTTTGCCCTCAGCCTAATAAATACATCAAAACGAAGCACAATCAATTATAATAAAAGAAAACGGAAGCAAAAATAAAAACGCACAAGTAAAAAAGTGGGTCGAGAGATAAAAAGGAAGTAATCACCAATGCAGTATTGTAGGCCCGAAGAGTCTTTTCATACTCCGCTTTCTTCTTGCCTGCCTTAGCAACGTAAGGAGCCTTTTCCTGAAACGCATTTAAAACACACAACAATTATCATAAAAGCGTTCGTTAACATTGAGCAATTTTTCAGAGAAATAAAGCGCAAATCACTCACCGCATCAGACAGCGATTTCCATTTACCACCTCCAGCTTTACCGACCTAATTGAGTTTCACAGTAAACCGCGAATTAGAATTCAAAACAGCTTTGAAATTTCAGAGATTCGACAAAAAATAAATAATAAAAAAATAGGTCACTCACGACAGCGACAGATTTGTTCTCTGGATTCTCTTTCTTGAACTGCTCTCTGAAATCAGACCTGCAACCACCACGAAAACACGCATTAGTAATCAGAAACCGTAATCGAACAATTTTAATCACAACAGACTCGTTTCGAAGAACGATAAATACAATCGCAAAAGAAAAAGACTCGAACAATTTTCAGCACAAAACCATACATGAAAACGAAGAAAGCGCTTGGAGGCCTCTTCGGCTTGTTTGGATCCTTCGCAGCTTTCTTCGACTGCTTCCTCCCGGTTCCAGCTCCCTTGCGCTTCAACCTAACAAAATCAAAACAAATCGAACAACAACCACAACGAATCAAACGCTTGATCGCAATAATTAGATCTAATTCTAAAAAAAAAAAAAACGAAACAGATTCTGAGAAAACGAGAAATGCGGAGGAAACTCACCGGTTATCGGCGGGTTTGGAGTTAGTGGTAGCCTTCGGCATGGTGATCGCAGAGAAAAAGTTGTGAGTGAGAGGCGTTAGGGTTTCAGCGTTACCTTAGTTTGGGAAAAAGGGAGAGATTAAAAATGAAGAGAGAGCGAGGTTGAGTTTTTATGTTTGCGAACGCTAGAGAGGGATAAGAAGGGGAAACCCAAAAATATGAAAATTGCATATTTTTGGGTTTTGGCGGGATATCGAAAATCTATTGACACATCATCAATCCGTGTGATCTCGCGCCATTCACTCTCGTTTCTTGATTGTGTTTCCTTTTTTGTGTGCTGTGATTGTGACTTGTGAGAAGGGGTGAATCCCTTATTATTATTTTTGGAAAGAAAAATAAAATCATAATTTATAAAGCATTATTAGAATAATAGAACATATATTTATAATAGAAATAAAATATAAATATGTAATTAAATATAATTATATTTTATTAATGTAAAATAAATTAAATTAAATATTAATATTCTTTAAAATATTCTAATATTATATAGTCAAATTCTATTATGTTATTAAATTATGAGGCAAAGAATATATACTATAGAAATGTTAATTATTAATAGAAACTAATATGAATATAAAAATATTATACTTCATGCAATCAAATATTCTATTTAGAGAAGAAAGATACGTGGATATAATATATTTATATTTGTTCGGTTCTGTTAAACCGTATAATGATACTTCAAGGGTATGCGCTCAGAGATATCCGTATCTTGGTTGGCTTATAGCCAATATCCCCATCACTGCGCACAAGCAATAGGCTTATAGCCGAGACGTGGGTGTGTGCACAGTGTGGGCAGAAGTAGTAAATGAGTTCAGAGTATATACCTAGGGTCTTTAACCTCTTATTTAGAAGGGTTACCTCAGGGGCTTGTGTAGATCTCCCAGTTGTAGTAGGATTTAACGTCCTTTCTGTTGGGATAGGGACTCTATCCTTAGCTGCCTTACTGTTTTATATTGTTAGGATAATTGGAGAATTATTCTTTAAGGGATCCTTGGGTAGGTGGTTAGGATATGGAAATATTCCATAACAGTTGCCCCCAGCCCGACAGTTCGGAAGCTCGGACTGCTGGGGTGCCTAAGTTTGATTGATAGATCGACCCTACCGAGGTACTATGATCCTGCCTTGGGTCTGGTGTGACTACCTCTTATGGGTTTAGCTTTTTATATTGGCTTTTTTTTTCTTGAAGTCTCTGAGTGGTGAGGCGGTGTTTGCCTTTTTTTTTTACTTTTTTGGAGTTACCCAACCCTAATTATCTCTTTGAGACGAGTTGGCTCCCTCCGGTATCCCCACGAGCTTCGACTCTTTGAGCCGGCTATGGGACTAATCCGGAGTGCGGGGGAACAGTGATGGCTAAAGGTTCAGCCCCCTCCCCAAGAATGCATTCAGCGGGAATCGAACACATATCCAACCCCACTAACTCAGCGCCAAGTTACCAACTGAACTGCACCCATTGGGTCTTTTTTTTTTACTTTGAGCTAGGCTTCTTATACCATAGCTTTCTTTAAATTGACTTGGCTTTTGCCTTGTCTACACTTTTGAAGGCAGTATATTTGCCTTTCTGAAGCCCTTCATTGGGCTTAGTTGGAGCTCAAAGCCTAGGCCGAGCTATTAACCTTGAAGCCCTTAGTTGGGCTGAGCTCAAGGCTATGGTCGAGCTCTTACATTTGAAGCCCTTAGTTGGGCTGAATTGAAGCTCAAGGCTGATGCCGAGCTTTTAATCTCGAGGCCCTTCACTGGGCTGAGTTGGAGCTCAAGGCTGAGGCTGAGCTCTTAAACTCGAAGCCCTTCGTTGGGCTGAGCTCAAGGCTATGGCCGAGCTCTTAAACTTGAAGCCCTTCGTTGGGTTGAGCTCAATGATGTGCCCTTCGTTGGGTTGAGCTCAAGGCTGTGTCCGAGCTCTTAAACTTGAAGCCCTTAGTTGGGCTGAGTTGAAGCTCAAGACTGATGCCGAGCTTTTAATCTTGAAGCCCTTTGTTGGGCTGAGCTCAAGGCCGAGGCCGAGCTAATAAATTTGAAGCCCTTAACTGGGCTAAGTTGAAGCTCAAGGTTAAGGCCGAGCTAATATATTTGAAGCCCTTCACTGGGCTGAGTTGAAGCTCAAGGCTGATGCCGAGCTTTTAATCTTGAAGCCCTTCATTGGGCTTAGTTGGAGCTCAAGGCCGAGGCCGAGCTATTAAACTTGAAGCCCTTAGTTGGGCTGAGTTGAAGCTCAAGGCTGATGCCAAACTTTTAATCTTGAAGCCCTTCGTTGGGCTAAGCTCAAGGCCGAGGCCGAGCTAATAAATTTGAAGCCCTTAACTAGGTTGAGTTGAAGCTTAAGGCTGGGGCCGAGCTAATATATTTGAATTGTGACGACGAGAATCTCTGTCAAATCGTCATCTACTTGGATCTAGATCTCCATTTTAGAGTCTCTCGTAGGATCAAAAGCCCTTTTACGGTAGGGTTTGTCTCCTCTTATATATGTGGTTTCAGCAATTTCAGGGCGCGCGAGGTAACCTTTTAATCTGTGGCTTCGTGCTATATTGCGGGTGTCCACCATGGATGGGAGTCGAAATTTGCCGATTCCCACAGACGGCGCCAATGTTCGGTTCTATTGAACCGTATAATGATACCTCAAAGGTATGCGCTCAGAGATATCCTATGGATAGGTATCTTGGTTGGCTTATAGCCAATATCCCCATCACTGCGCACAAGCAATAGGCTTATAGCCGAGACGTGGGTGTGTGCACAATGTGGGCAGAAGTAGTAAATGAGTTCAGAGTATATACCTGGGGTCTTTAACCTCTTAATTATAAGGGTTACCTCATGGGCTTGTGTAGATCTCCCAGTTGTAGTAGGATTTAACGTCCTTTCTGTTGGGATAGGGACTTTATCCTTAGCTGCCTTACTGTTTTATATTATTAAGATAATTGGAGAATTATCCTTTAAGGGATCCTTGGGTAGGTGGTTAGGATATGGAAATATTCCATAATAGTCTGCGCGTGTCCACCATGGATGGGAGTCGAAATTTTCCGTTTCCCACAGACGGCGCCAATGTTCGGTTCTATTGAACCGTATAATGATACCTCAAGGGTATGCGCTCAGAGATATCCTATGGATAGGTATCTTGTTTGGTTTATAGCCAATATCTCCATCACTGTGCACAAGCAATAGGCTTATAGCCGAGACGTGGGTGTGTGCACAGTGTGGGCAGAAGTGTTAGATGAGTTCAGAGTATATACCTGGGGTCTTTAACCTCTTATTTATAAGGGTTACCTCATGAGGTTGTGTAGATCTCCCAGTTGTAGTAGGATTTAACGTTCTTTCTATTGGGATAGAGACTCTATCCTTAGCTGCCTTACTGTTTTATATTGTTAGGATAATTGAAGAATTATCCTTTAAGGGATCATTGGGTAGGTGGTTAGGATATGAAAATATTCCGTAACAATATTATATCAGACATATGGATATAATATATTATATAAAGATAATATATATTTTTATAATATATAAATATATAATATATTTATATATTGCAATATTTGTAAAATCCTTATTGAAGCCCCCAACTCGCGTGATGTGTTCATTATAATTTAATGGCATCTTTGTAGAATCCCAAACCATTAAAGCTTATAATTTTTTTTGTCCCTTCGGGGACATCCGATAAAAGCTTATAATTTTTTTTTGAAATAGATTAAAGCTTATAATTAATGGTCATTTAACTCTGCCCACGTATCGTGCAATATATTTAATGGTCATCCGGTGACTCGGCTCATTAGTAGAAAATTAAACTTGTGGTTAGTCCGAGCATCTTATTGAATGGATATGTAATTAGATCGATGAATACTAATTTAACTAGGTTAGTTTACGATGAAGTCTATGACTTGACTTGTTGAAAGAAAATTAATTTCGACAATATTATCAATTCTGCGTACATACAAGAATGTCTTTAATTACTTCCAATTTGCACCTTGACATAATTTCCATATAGATTCATATCATGCTTCTTCTTCTTCTTTTTTTGATACTATTCATATCATGCTTCTTACTTGGTCACAAATATAGTTGAAGCTATTATTAAAGGCTATCCAACCCAAATAGAATCTAATTATGTACATGCGGTGTTATATGACGCTGTCAAGTCATAACACATCAACACATAGGCCAGAATTATCCAAGACAATTCATAACACACACATTAGCACTCCAAATGCTACATAGCTCAACATAACTATGAGCTTGAAGTACAATATACTCGGGCATTACAAAACAGTCCATTTCACATGAGTATCAATACATAATAGGTTTACAGAAAATCATACATAGAACATGAAAATAAAAATCCGAACCACCAACAAAACATCCTCAATTACTTGAACTTGACCACACATTCTAAACATAAACTGTCGATAAACATGATTTTCATATATTCTCTTATCCTTTTCTTAAACTTTGGTACTTGAAATCAACAAATTTCATAAAGGGTGAGATTCATCTCAATAAAATTAAGAATGCTCACCCTTTTCTTACCATTATTCGTTCACATGTTAAGAAGCAACTATTCTAAGACCATTATGCAAAAATTAATATAATTACAATATCCCATCTCTATATATACAAAAAATCGAAGGACCAATTTGATTTGTTCTCTTTTCATCCTATATAGATGACATTGATCTAGAGGATCATGGAGAAAATCGCAAAGAACAAGGCATATTGGGAGCTCTTAATAAGAAGAAGTTGGCTGGCAAATTTAAGGTTCCGAAAAGTTTGTGACAATGAGTTCATTTTCATGCATAATTACTTTGGGCAATGCAATTCTCATATTATTGGAAAGGAGGGGACTTTTCCACACATTCAAATTCATGGTGGGATCTACACATAAAAAAAGAGAACAAAAGAAAAATTATTGCACGTAAAATGAACTCTTACTAACATGAGAACTCTTTTTTTCCAATTACTTTTTCTTACGTTCACCATTTGACCTAAGAATTAAGCACTATAATTACTGTGGATGAGATAAAACATGAACCAATATAGGGGATTTATACAGATTTCAGGAAGAGGAATTGTAGTGCTTGTGGCCCATGAATTTTTGGGTGCCCCTTCTCTCAAAACAGGGGACAAAATGAAAAAAAAAGGACAAAATTCTCTCATGTGAGAGAGACCACCAAATAATTAAGTGAGTCTGGATCACTTAATTATAAAATATAAAATAAGTATAATGTTTTTCTCCTTTCACATGATACGAAGAATTTTCCTACAGACACATAAAAGTGGGCCCATCAACTTTTTTAATTTTCTTTTGTTTTAAAAATAGTGGACCCCAAGATTGATTGTCTCTATGATATGATATGACCTAAGAATTTTTACTACAAGATGATATTTATTTTTCCCATAAAATAAATGTTTGGTGATAGTAATCACAAACGTAAGACTTTGTTTATAGGCAACACAGTTGATAGAGTTGTCTCCCAAGATTTTTATAAGTTTGTCTTCTAGATATGTGGTTCTTGTTCTTTTTCTGCATGTTGACACTGCCTTAACCCAACATAAAAGAATAATTAACACTACTATCGCAGAAATTTGAAGTTGAAAGGAGGGTGGATGGACTAAAATCATAATAAAGAAAATTTTATCCATTATTTTCCATCTTGGCTCTTGCTGCTTTTATGGTAATTTTCCCCCTTATTTTGTGAACATTTCCTTCTTATAAATTAAATTTATTAAATAATATATAATAAATATTAATTTATGTTGAATAAATAAAAGTTTTTTAATCCTCAAACATGAGAACTCAAGTTCAAATCTTCGTTTCTTGCAAAATGTATATATTTTAATTGATCCTATAACTAGCTTAAACCGGTGAGGTGAGGGCACCGAGTTTGTTAGTATTTTGGTTTATATTTTACACACAAAATAAAATCTCTAAAAAATTTCATTCCTAGAAAAATTTTAAAAAATCTTTCGCCAAATATAAATAAATGAAATTATCACCCTCATTTTGCTTGGAATCTGAAAATAAAACTTCTACCAAGGTTCTTTCAATGTTTGTAGTACGGGTTAATTGTTGCGGTTTTGTAGTTGTTTGATGCAGTTTGTTAGGCCTGATTTGGACTACGACCCAAAATGCTTTGCGGGCATGATCCGAATTCCAGCCTAAAACAGCTGGTATGATTGTTGGGCTTAGAAGGCTAGTTGATCCAACTAAAGGGAACTTTCCTAGCCCGAATTCAATGTTTTTCATTTATTTTTTCCCATTAAGATAAAAAAGAAGAAAAACAATAACTAACATAAAACAAACGTATCGAAAGCCATTCTGCATTGATCTTCCTTAAAATCGAATGACGGAGGAGAGTGAATTATGGGAGACGAAGAAGCAACCCATGAACATCAAAAGTCGTTAGCAGCTCTTCTCATATTTCTGATCGTTGCTGCTTTTCAGTGTGCATACCTTTGGCTCGATCACTTGAAGAAGGTATCGTTCTAATGTTAGTCATTAATTGTAATCATGCTTATGAATCTGAAATTTTTTTCACCATAAACTAATCAAAGGATTGCAAATCATTTTTCATTCTTTTAATAATTAAGAATTTTTCAACCTCACCTAGCTAGGCCTAGGATCTCTCCATTAATCAAGGAAATAAAATATTGTAGCATGTATACGTAGGAACGCAACAGCTTGAGATATTGTGATAATATTAATTTCTTTTAGTCATATGATTTTTCTACAGAGCGGATCCGATAATGAAAAAGATATTCAGTTGCGTGGAGAAATAAAATACCTTTCGAAGCAGGCAAGCTTATTGTCGCAGTAAGCAATTCATATGCATGGGTTATGCTTTTTTTATTTTTTTTGTTGATTATTTCAAAAGCCCTCCTCCACTTTGTTTTGAGCAAATGTTATCATTCGATGAGTTTTCTTTGCTCGAGCATATTGCTATGTGATATACTTTTGTTTTTTTGGCCTTTCAATGCAATACAATTTATGAGGAGGAGAAGGAATGAGGGGCAAGACATAACTATCTATAACAGTTAATCATCTTTTGGATCTTGAGTTTTCTATATTTCAAAATGATAAAAAGTGATTATGTTTGGTCATTGGAAGTTAAGGGGTAAATCTACAATTTTGTCAAAAAACCCACTATTACATGTGTTACAGATTTTTGGCAGTAAAATTAATCACATGTCTAAATAAAAGAGAATTGGGAGTGAAAATATTGAAGTACATGTGCAACAGAGAAGTATTAGTAAGGAACGTTAATTATTCACTAAGACATTGAACTGAACTTCTATTAAAAGCAAAATACACTAATAAGAAATATTTAGCATTGTTCAGACATGTAGAATAAAGATGCAAATTAATTCCCTTACCGGTATAGAACATTAATATCAACTTGGGGAAATAAAATAAAGAAATTAACATGGGTAGAAATCACTGAAAAATAGATGACTGTAAGATGTGATTGCAAATTTATGTACATATGTATTATATTTGTGTGTGTCTGAGAGAAAGAGAGCATATGGGTCACTTCTTTATCCTCTCAGGCCATCAACCTTTGCACAAGCAGCAAAACTCAGAAGACTAGCAGCTGCCAAGGAGAGGGAACTTGCAAAGTGTGAGTTTATTTCCAGTTGGAAGCTGTTTTACTTTTACATATTGTATTGTATGCAATGTTGTGTAGAACTGACATATTGCAAAGCCACCATTTCAAATTTGCTTTCAAGACAAACATGATGTGTGTGTGTGTGTTTTTGAACTTTGCAAGCACCATATAGTAACCAAAGATGATCATATGAAAAAAAGATGATCATATGCTGACACTAGTGATTTGAACAAATTTACTAAACAAGGTCATCTGAATTTAGCTGGTAAATAACTAAATATATTCTCTGTATTTATGAAAGATTTAATTTTAAAAAGGGGAATCATTTTCTCCTGCTATTGGAGAAAATGACCCCTTCCTACAAATACAATCATAAATGGGTTCCATTTTAGATTTTTTTTTTCTCTCACCTTAAATTTTTCTCTCACCTATTGTCTTGTGTCAGCTGCATGAGAGTAGTTTTCTCCTATAAAAGGAAAAAACTAAACTCCTTTTAAAAAATATTAAGGAGTAAAAGAAACTTATCCCCTTGAAACCAAAACAGTACAGAAGAAAATTCAATTCAATTTGAAGGTGTTTGAGCTATAAGTGTAATTAAATATATTGTTGGAGAGGAGTATATTTTAATGAGGTTAAAATCCTTATTTAGTATGCATGTTAAATATTGAATAAAGTGGTTACAGTAGACACTGTTTAAGCAAGAATTACTTGCTGCATTTGATGCGCTCGCCTAATTAGTTGTCCACTGTTTGTGCAAGCAACATTTCTTCACTGCACTTTTTCTCCCTCCATAAATATTATATTTATCTTCATTTTTCACATCCTTATTTTTATTCTACTGGTTTATTAATTAATTAACAATTGATTTTTCTTTACCCACGAGTTCGTAAGAATTATTGTCTAAACTAATCTGCAGATCAAAATTTAAATCACAAAGATACTGCTTTGTATACGAAAGTGCTGCTTGCCTCAAAGGTATCTACAGATATAACATTATTCTTTAAAGTTTACAGATTTTCTTTGTGGAGGCTTATATTATGAGTTACTTTTCCTGTGTTGCTTTGTAGTATTTAACATATGGATTGATGATTATCTGGTTCTGGCGTGTTCCTGTGGCTGGCATATCTCAGCAACTTGTGCAACCATTTGGTAATGCAACTATGATTATATAATACTTTAATTTTACTTGGTTACGCCATAAATCAACTCACTCATATGGATTTATTAGCAGGCCATACAAAAATCAACTTTTCTTATTTTCTTGGAATATTTTTACTATTTCCAAATGAAGCCCGATGAGACAAATACCATGTCTCATTGCTTCTTGTTACAAGAGAAAGAGGAAAACAATAAGCTTTTGCTTTGAGTTCTAAATATTTTACACTCTTTGCAGGGAGATTTTTATCTTGGAAGTCTGGAGGAGTTCAAAGCAACGATGTTATGGTAAGTAAATGCTTGTTTCTTTACTTAGATATGTTATTGCCATAATTTTTCTTTTTGGGCGAGTCATGCAAGTGCCATGATTAACCCTTATATTTAATCTAAATAGATTAGTTTAATTATTGGAGAAATGTGTTTATTGTCTTTAATTACTCGAATCTGAATTTGAATTTAGTTTCTAAAGGAATTAATTATCCTACATATACTTAATCACAGTTGATGGATTTTTTCTCTCAAGATCAATATTCTCATCGTTAAAAAAAAATAAAAAATCCCTTATATTAATGGTAAACCATTTAACAAAATTCAAATGTCATCTGAATATCCTAGGAGCTGCTTAATTTTTAGCCCATTGTAAAACAGTTTTAACCTGTTTTTACAGACATAGGATTTTAATCATTCTTCACTAACATTTTGCTCCTTCGCCTCTCAATTTCTTGTTTTAATCTTCACGATTAAATTTGTAAATTCTTACAATTGTCTGCAGCATTCTAATTTTTTGAATTTGAATTGAGAATTGTTTCTAACTGTCTTTCCATCATTACAGATTGGAGTAATATCTTGGTTAATAGTATCAGCCAGGGTTTGCAGATTTGTCCGTCGAGCTTATAGCAGATAAATAATCATGATTTTCATCGTGCAATAACGAAAATTGCTAGTTGCTTGGAATCTTAGTTTTAAGTGGAATGAACAAGATGTTAATGCTTAATATATATATGTTACTTTTGTAAGAAAATTGTTCTTATATATTTCTCTCCTCGGTCTGGTAAGTATTCCAATTTTCTGAGATCCACTTTCCATCATGTGCTTGTTGTGTGATAAGCATTTAACTAAAAGAAATTTATTATTTGGTAAGGAATTTTATCATTAAATTTAAGGGAAAACTTCAAAAAACCACCTATGAATTTTGTTAATTATCATTTATCCTCTCACAAAATTTTTGAATCATTTACGCCCTTTTTTAGATCTTTTTTATCATTTATCACCCTGACTTAAAGTTTCTTTATCACTTAACCCCCTCACTTAAAGGGGTAAAGGATAAAAAAACTTTAAGTCAGGAGGTAAATGATAAAAAAATTTAGGAAGAGGGTAAATAATTATAAAAAAAGTTATATGAGAGTTTTTGAAGTTTTCCCTAAATCTAAATTGCTAGATTGCGCAACGCTGTAATCTTGTTTATTTATTAAATTAAGTAAATGTACATATACCTCTTCAATTTAGGTTAATTAATTGCATTTGAATCCATAAACCATTTTTTTCTTAATCTCTTCAACGATTCATTCTTCGGAATAATCCTGTTCGAGCATTGTCGGTTGTTATAACGGGGGTGGCTCTCCCAAAATTATCCAAAACTTTTTTTTTTCATTCTCATAGCTCGAACACAAGATCATTGTTTAAGAGACAAGCTCCTACCACTTGTGCCAATAATATTTGGTATCGAATTCATAAACTTTTTTTTTCCAGTAAACAATCCATAAATTATTTAAAGTATAATAAGGAACTTTCAAATTTAATTTTAATAAAAAAATATTACATTCAATAATTCAATGTCATATTATTTAACAAATTTAGCATCTTTTGTCATTTTTAACAAACTTGTTTATGACTTATTTAGAAAAAAGAATTATTTTTTAAAATTCTCTTAAAACACTGCAAAAAAAAAACTTTTCCATCTCAAAAAAACTTTAATGTTTTTACGGTGAATGCAGATAAGTTATATACATTTACTCCCCAACGATATTAATTTGGGTTGAATGATTACAAAATTATAATGATAAAGACCGTAATAATCTTGGAATTAATTATAATTACAAAAATATCTTAATTTTCGTTCCAAAATGAGATCATTTTGGACTCAATGTAGATAACTAATCTATATTCACGGTAGAAAAACCCCAAAATAAATAATGGGTTTGTGTTTTCTAAAGTTATTTTAGATAACTTTATCTAATGTTCATCAAAACGATGTCGTTTGATGAACATTAGACAAAGTTATCTAAAGTAACATTAGATACTTTTTTTCCATAAATAATCTAAATGCACACCTTTGATGCACGAAAATCCTTTTTGAAAAAAAAAAATGCATGTCGGACAGCTACATGTTTCGATAAGCAGTCAATGCTCCGACACACATTCAACGTTTTTCGACACGTGTTCAACATTTTTTGACTTTTTTTTTATATCCAAATTTTATTTTATTTTTATCTTTTTAACTAAACATGAAAAATTAATTTATAAATCAAATATTTTCTATTATGAAATTTGACTTAAAATAAAAAGTTATTTTTTTTTATATTTATGTTATGAAATTTGAATATTTAATTGATTATCAGATTATATGACTTATTATGAGCTGCTATATGTATTAAATATAAACTGTATTATATATATTAAAATAGTATTTAATATTAAAACGTGTCTTAACATGTCAAAATTTAATATTTCTTTAAATTAACATAGATGCGTACTTTGTAAAATACTATTTTTATTTTTTTTCTCTTTTTTTATTTTTTTTGGTTTGTTTTGAATGTAGCCCTAACAACGTACATACGGGAGTTTCGGCTCGCAAGTCGCAAATATTTACAACAAATTTTTTTGTTAATAAGCCAAGTGCGATGAGCTGGGCTAACGTAAAAGTTTTAACATAAATGAATTGGCCCAATTTAAGAAAATTATCGGGTTAAATTGATTGGGCCAAAACTGATGATGGTGGTAATTCGGTAATTCCACTAGCAATCAACTACTCTATACTACTTTCCAACTGTAGCTAAAACGACAAGGTCGTTTGCTTCAGCACCGAACAGGCAAACGCTCTTCAATTTGCCACCTATTTATTTCACGGCACAGGTGGCGAATAACCTGCACGCGCCGTCAAAGCAATGAGCGAAGCCGAAGAAGCTTCGTCTTACCCTCTGATTGACCCGGCGAACTTCGATCTCATCATCGTCGGCACCGGTCTACCGGAATCAGTCATCGCCGCTGCAACATCTGCCGTCGGAAAGACTGTCCTCCACCTCGATCCGAACTCCTTCTACGGAAGCCACTTCACTTCTCTCTCCCTCGACGAACTCACTTCTTACCTCAATTCTAATTCTATCCCTGCAAACACAGCCGCCGCCGCCGCCATATCTGGCGATTCCGATCACGTCGTTATAGAGCTCATCCGGCAACCGCTGTACTCCGACGTGGAGATCGTTTCATGCGCTTCTGATGATGAAACAGTGGTTCTGCGAGAAAATTCGAGAAAATTCAACCTGGATTTGGGAGGGCCCAGGGCATTGTTTAGCGCCGACAAGGCCATTGATCTGTTGTTGAAGTCAGGTGCTGCACAGTATTTGGAGTTCAAAGGGGTCGATGCGAGCCTCGTGTACGAAGCGAATGGGGTTTTGGTGAATGTGCCAGATTCTCGTGGGGCAATTTTCAGAGACAAGAACCTTTCCCTCAAGGAAAAGAACCAATTGATGAGGTTCTTCAAGCTTGTTCAGCAGCACTTGGCTGATGATAATCAGAGTGAAAGAATTTTGGAGGAAGATCTGGAGAGTCCATTTGTTAGTTTCTTGGAGAAAATGCGGTTGCCGCCCAAGATAAAATCGTATTGACCATTTCTATTTGCTAGTGAGAATTGATTTTTAATTTATATGCCAATTTTCCTTTCCGCCCTGTTTTATCTTTTTTGAGCATAGGGGATTTTTCCTTTGATTGTGTTATATCTGATTCTTGTTTTCGGAACTTTTGAAGTTATATAGCAATTTATTAAATAGATAAGTGTGTATATATGTGTGTGTGCCAATACAAGTCTTCAGATTAGTGCATACACCATACACCATTGTTGACTTGATTAATAGTTAAGGGTGTTTTGTTACCTGATAATTACCAACATTCTGGAGATGGCAGTTTCTGCAGTCCCGGGTTACACTCAGCACTGGTCCTTCAGCATTTTAACACTTGCTAAGACAAAATCAGGGGATAATATTGTTCTGTATGCTGTTTCTTTATTGGCAGTGAAATTTGTGGCTTGTAGTTTGATATTTCATTGCCATACTTTTAAGGTATGAGAAATTAGGGGTAAGAATTTTAAATGTTGTGCTTTGAAAATCAAAATCACACAGAGGTGACTTACACTTTAAGAACAATAGAAGAGACTCTTCTGGACAATTCTGAATATCCCCCCTTTCCCCATTGATTGGTGAATTGATTTTTGACTAGCTTTTGAATTCTATTAATTGTTTCTCATTCCTCGAAGAAGAGGGCGAACTTGGAGCAGTGGTAAAGCTGCTTTGTAACTAAAAGGCCATGGGTTTGAATCCGGGAAACACTCTTTTTACAAATATGTAAGGGTAAGATTGCAAACAAGGATTGTCTTCACCCCTACCTTTGCAATTCGGGGTTTAATGGGGAGTGGTTTGGTTTCTCTTTCCCTGAAGCTGTTGTTTTTTATATTATAAGTGAAATCTGATGATTGGATGAAACAATTAAAATCTTGGAATGTTTGGTAGTGGCTCAGTTTGTTTGCTTCTTATGCTTAACACAGTGGGGTGTTAAGTAAATTTTTCTTTGAAGTTGATCACCTTCTTGTGCAATGAAGAGAACTATATTCTTTCCTCTTTGATTGGCATTTTTGAATAAAGTATGTCATGCCTAACTGTATATAGAGACTGCATAACCTGTTAACCTGCATGAGTATGCTCAGGTAATACCTATTTGTCTTCTACAGGATTCTTTTATATGCTATAGCCATGGTAGATTATGACCAAGACAATGACGAGGTTTGTAAAGATTTACTTAAAACAAAAGATGGAATAGATCGTTTAGCTCAATACAGTTCATCTGTTGGAAGGTAAGCTCTTATTCTTATTGTTTCTTGTGCTATAATTACCTTAATTTTTTATTTAAGAGATCGTGATTAATTTATTAATACATACTTATCTTGGTTCTCTCAGGTTTCCCAATGCACCAGGGGCTTTGCTTTATCCTATTTATGGTGAAGGAGAACTGCCACAAGCTTTTTGTCGTCGTGCTGCTGTCAAGGGTTGCATTTATGTAAGTTTCAATGGATTTATGATACTATTTGGGAAAATTTCTTACAACCTTAAGGCTTAACTTCATTCTCTTTGAAACTTGAATGCTTTCGTTTAAATATTGTTTTGTTTCTATCAGAAAAAAGATAAAAAGAACTTTGTTTTATACGTGGACTCTGTATATAAAATGCTTCTTGTGTGTGTCTCTTTCTTCCATTTTTAGGTTGTTGCTTTTTTAAGTGTCTTCATATCGTATGTATGATAGAAGGAAACTTGGGTTCAGCTATCCTGTTGTCATGGAATTTGTCATACTTGGCATTTCCTGGATCTTTCTTTCTGAATGCCGGGACTGTAGTTATGGTTAAAGGGATGAAATTCAAATGTTGCTAGATGGGGATACTTTTTTTACAATTATTATTCAATTTAGTGGAGCCATTGACTCTGTGCTGATTGTTGTCATCATAACAATATTTTTGCATTAGGATGAAACTCATTTATCTATGTTCTGTTCATGTTAATGTTGGGACGTTTTCTGATATTTTCTTGGCTAACTAAATGACTTTTTAACTATTTTCCTGTATACATATTTTTTTTTTAAATTTTTTTGGTTGTTTTGTTGAACGTATATGCTTATTTACATCTTAAACTTTTTTTATTCAGGTTCTCAGAATGCCAGTTGTTTCTCTGCTTATGGATAAGGTGAAAAAATACATCTTTGATCTGTGTTTAATACTTTTTTGTGGGAAGAGATGAGGTTGGATTGCCTCAAGTGCAATTTCATCTTTGTCATTTTTAATCAACATTGCAGGTTACTGGGTTTTATAAAGGTGTTAGATTAGCTTCGGGTCAGGATTTATATAGCCATCAGCTAATCTTGGATCCATCCTTCACGATTCCATCACCATTGTCTTTGTCTCCTAGAGATTTTCCCAGTGAAAGGCTCCAAATGTTGAGTCAAATAGATATTAAAGGAATAGTGGCTAGGGGAATATGTGTCACCAGGAGTTCAATAAAGCCAGATGTATCAAATTGCTCAGTGGTGTATCCTCCTAGATGTAAGAGAGATTTAATTACTGCATTGTGTTAACAAGCGGCATGTAAAAACATGAGAAATAAATTAACTTTTTTCTCTCTTCCCTCTAGCTTTGTATCCTGAGCAGGTGACATCAATCAGAGCTCTTCAGATAGGATCAAATCTTGCTGTTTGTCCTGGGGGCACGTAAGTTTTTTACCTTATATACATTGGGATGCTCTTATTTTGTAGTTGCTTTTGCTTTAAATTTCATTTCTCCCTTTTCTAAATCTTATATTTTGTACTTTAAATTTTTTCTGTCATTTAGTGTAGGTTGGGATCTGGTAATCATTAAGTATTCTGTAGTGACTCAAACAACTTATTTTGCGAAACATAGTACCTCTGGTTTATATATTTTGTAACAATATGAAAATATTTTACAAAAATTTCCGGGTCTTGGGTCCACTTAATAAAAAAAGATACTTTTTTCTTTGGTTAAAATTATAAATATATTTGCATATTGTGTGAATTACCCCATAATAACATACACCGTTACTGCACACCAAACACTCTAATCTCTAACTGTAATTCATGCCTCGAGTTTTCTAAATGATATGCCCATGGCCTATCTAAACATTCCAATTCCTCTGAAGCAAACTCTGAATATCAATAACCAAAGCATTATAAGGCTGATAGGGAGAGCATCCCCTTAATAATATGTAGAAAATTAGAATTCAAACATGTTTCCGTTTTTATTTCCTATTAATTAGGATTGATTATGATTGATTAGGATTGATTATGATTGATTAGGATTAATTGTGATTGATTAGAATTGATTGTGATTAGGATTGTGATAGGATTGATTAGTCATCGCTTAGTCATTCTTAGCGATTCTTTCTTGTATAAATACTCACTCATGTAATTTATTCAAAATCAATATACAAAAACTTCTTTTCAATATGGTATCAGAGCGGGTTCGTTCCTACCCTAATTCAAATCTGAAATAACCATCCAAACACTTCCATCACCGTCAAACACCGCCTTGAATCTGTCCAACACAGAAACCTAGTTTACTGACCTCCGATCAAAAAAGTGAGGTGACCATTCGACTCAGAAGGATCCGACGAGTCGACCGCCGCTGGACCCATCGCCGTCAGCCGCTGCACGCGCCACCACGCGCCGCCTTCCAGACGTTTTTTTTTTCCGTCGCGACTTGCACAGACCTTCTCGCCGGCTTCTCCCCTTCCTGTTCCAGAGGTCAGATCAAAAGTTTACAAAACTTGATTTTTCATCAACGGTCAACCCTTCTCTTTTTATTCATGGCTTCCTCAAAACACTCTTTTTATTACCACGAGCAACCTCCTAAGGCCACTAGTCATGTGGTCCAGCAAGGTACAACTTTCCATGTTGATAGTCAAAATCATTGGATCCTTGATTCTGGAGCCTCTGATCATATGACAGGTAATCTTGGCTTGTTTTGTTCATACACTCCATATTCTGAACCTTCTCGGGTCAAGATCGCCGATGGCAGTTTTTCCCATATTGCGGGACACGGAACCATTAAACTTTCTGAGCTGATTACTTTGACATCAGTTCTTTATGTTCCTTCTCTGACTTGTAATCTCATTTCCATTAGCAAGCTCACCTCTGAGTTGCATTGCTTTGCTAAATTCTTTCCACATGGTTGTGTTTTTCAGGAACAGGACTCGGAGAGGATGATTGGCAGTGCTAGAGAGGATGGTGGACTTTACTACTTTGAGGAGGATGTGACTCATGAAGCTGTTTTCGTAGAAAAAAACTCTATGTTTCCTTTTGATTCATGTAATGATGTTATGCTGTGGCATCGTAGGCTAGGCCATCCAAATTTTATTTATCTTCAGAAGTTGTTGCCAAACTTATTTATTAATAAAAGTCCAAGTTTGTTTTCTTGTGATATTTGTCAACTTGCCAAGCATACTCGTGCTCATTATCCTTCTAAAGTTCACCATGACTCTTCCCCATTTTCCTTAATTCATAGCGACGTATGGGGTCCAGCCTGTGTTAAAAATATTTCAGGTACTCGATGGTTCATTACCTTCATTGATGACCATTCTCGAGTTTGTTGGGTGTATCTTCTAAAGGATAAGTCCGATGCTGCATCCGTGTTTAAAAAATTTCATGCCATGGTTCAAACCCAATTCCAAGTTGCTATACAAATTCTTCGTACAGATAATGGCAAAGAGTATTTTAACTCTATTCTTGGAGAATATCTTTCCCAACATGGCATCCTTCACCAAAGCTCGTGTCCTGACACACCCCAACAAAACGGAGTTGCGGAAAGAAAAAACCGACATCTCCTTGAAGTTGCTCGGGCTCTTATGTTTACCACGAGTGTTCCTAAATATCTTTGGGGAGAGGCAGTTCTCACTGCCTCGTATCTGATAAATCGAATGCCATCTCGCATTCTGAAATTTCAGTCTCCTCTTTCTAGTCTTGTTCGTATCTTCCCTTCCTTCCGAGGTGTCTCCTCCTTACCTCTCAAGTTATTTGGTTGTGTTGTATTTGTCCATATTCCCTCCCATCAACGGTCTAAGCTTGATCCTAAGTCTCTCCAGTGTGTCTTTATTGGTTATTCTCCTACTCAACGTGGCTATAAGTGTTATTCACCCTCTCTTCGTAAGGTCTTTGTCTCTATGGATGTCACTTTTTCTGAGAATGACCCTTTCTTCCCCTCGACTTCTCTTCAGGGGGAGTCTATAGGAGTAGATGAAGATCAGTCATGGGAACCTATTAATGCCACAGTATTACCTCTACTTTTAGAAACAGGGGGAGCTACAGAATCCTCACCATCAGGAGCCTCCTCAAAATGGGGACAAGTTTATAGCAGGCGAAAGCCTCCTCAAAGTGTGAATAACCCAGAGCCTCTACACTGCCAGGATTCTGAACCATGTTCTAGTTCCAGCACCCCAATACTTGAGTGTCATGGTGAAAATGATCTACACTTGCCCATTGCTCTCAGAAAAGGTACTCGATCTTGTACTACTCATCCTATTTCTAATCATATTTCATATGGAAAGTTGTCCCCAGGGTTTCGTGCTTTCAATACTATGTTGGATAGTACAAAGATACCGAGAAATATACATGAGGCTCTCAATGATAAAAAATGGAGGGATGCTGTCTTTGAAGAAATGAATGCTTTAGAAAGAAATGGAACTTGGGAGATAGTGACCCTACCCAAAGGAAAAAAGGCAGTAGGATGCAAATGGGTGTTTACAATAAAATTCAATGCAGATAATAGCATCAACAGATACAAGGCAAGATTGGTTGCAAAGGGTTTCACTCAGACTCATGGGATAGATTATCATGAGACTTTTGCTCCGGTTGCTAAAGTCAATACCATCCGAGTTCTCTTATCTCTTCCTGCCAATCTAGATTGGCCTCTGCAACAGTTAGATGTGAAGAATGCATTCCTAAATGGTGACTTACATGAAGAAGTCTATATGGATCCTCCACCTGGTTTTGAAAAGGGAAATGGATCAGTGTGTAAACTAAAAAAGTCTCTATATGGATTGAAACAGTCTCCCAGAGAATGGTTCGACAAATTCACACAAGCAGTCAAAAGAAGAGGCTTCATTCAAGCACAGACTGATCATACTCTCTTCCACAAACACTCTAAGGATGGTAAAATTGCTATTCTTATTGTATATGTAGATGATATAATTCTTACAGGTGATGATATTGAGGAATTGAACACCTTGAAGAAATTTCTAGCAGCTCAATTTGAACTCAAAGACCTTGGCACTCTCAAATATTTCCTTGGTATGGAAGTTGCTAGGAGCAAAACAGGTATCACTCTAACACAAAAGAAATATGTTCTAGATCTTTTGTTGGAAACAGGAATGTTAGGGTATAAACCTGCTGAGACACCTGTGGAACCTAATACCAAGTTAGGTATTGAAGATGGAAATGAGGTGGATAAAGAACAATATCAGCGATTGGTTGGTAAACTAATCTACTTATCTCATACGCGTCCTGACATTGCCTTTGCGGTGAGTATGATTAGTCAATTCATGCACTCACCCAAGGAGAAGCATCTTAGTGCAGTCTATAGGGTGCTTAGATACCTCAAGAATACTCCAGGAAGAGGATTATTCTTTAAAAAGGGGTATAAAAGGACAATTGAAATCTACACTGATGCAGATTGGGCAGGCTCATCAGTAGACAGAAGATCTACCTCAGGCTATTGCACCTATGTGTGGGGAAATCTTGTTACTTGGAGAAGCAAAAAGCAAACAGTGGTTGCAAGAAGTAGTGCTGAAGCAGAATTTCGAGCTTTAGCTCATGGAGTTTGTGAAGGAATCTGGTTGAGAAGACTTCTTCAAGAGTTGAAGATTTCATATTCCCTACCAATAAAACTATATTGTGACAACAAGGCAGCTGTTAGCATTGCTCAAAATCCTGTGCATCATGATCGAACAAAGCACGTGGAAGTTGATCGTCACTTCATCAAAGAAAAATTAGATGATGGAAGTGTGCATTTGATATATGTTCCAACCAAAGAGCAAACGGCAGATGTCCTTACCAAGGGCCTACACCGTCCAGCATTCGAAGACTTGATTGGCAAGTTGGGAATGATCAATATTTACCTCCCAACTTGAGGGGGAGTGTAGAAAATTAGAATTCAAACATGTTTCCGTTTTTATTTCCTATTAATTAGGATTGATTATGATTGATTAGGATTGATTATGATTGATTAGGATTAATTGTGATTGATTAGAATTGATTGTGATTAGGATTGTGATAGGATTGATTAGTCATCGCTTAGTCATTCTTAGCGATTCTTTCTTGTATAAATACTCACTCATGTAATTTATTCAAAATCAATATACAAAAACTTCTTTTCAATATAATAAGATTAACAACTACCAACAAATCATATTAGAAATAATTTGAGCGTTCGTTACTTCAATCCATGAACAAACCTCCAAAGCTCCTCTTGAACAAAGGAGCAAATATCAATATTACAGCCAAACTACATAACTAAATCCCTTTGCAAGCAGCTTGCATTTTATTTTATCAAAAGGATGCATCTAACACTTGACAGAGGAAGATCCATCTTGCTTTTTTTTTTTTTTTTTTTAAAGTGAAGGACCCAAGAAACTAGTGATGGGCTTCAGATCTCATCTCTAGAAGGCAGGTTTTCCAAATCGTGCCTATTCTTCATATGGATGAAGCTTAGGAAGAGATGCCAAGAAGGGTAGGAATTTGGAACTTGGTTCAGGTTCAGATGTCTTGGCTCTGAGTTTTCATGTACTCGGTCTATTATTCAAACAGACGTGCTAATAGCAGTGTGAAAAACTCAGGGGGGATGTCTAGCACTATTTTTAAATTCATTGGGTAACTCACACGGTAAATATAGTTGAAAGGGGTTTTTAAAATTTTTAAATTTTCTTACAGCTTTCTTGAAGGAAATGGTTTTTTAAATTTTCTTACAGTATTCTTGAAGGAAATTTAATTTGTAATGCTAATGATATCTTTCATGAAACCTTTATTTGTATCAACATAGATGCAGTTCATGTTCTAAAATCATCGCTTCACCCCATTATTATGATGACTGCCGATGGTGCTTACCTCCATTATTCAACAACGATTGCGTAGAAGATGTCACTCACTCTTAGCAATGAGAGGAAACATTAAAAAAAAAAAAAAAGTGAACCATTTTATGCATTTTTTTATTGGGTGTGAGATGATACCAAATATATCTAAAAATATTTTTGTAATTTAATTGCTCTCATTCAGAATATATTTGTTTTGATTTTTGCTGCATATTAGCTTGTTTTTCTTGTCATTGTTTATGTATATTGATTGTGGCCTTCAAGATAGTGACAGGCTGACAGCTTCTGGCATGATTTACATTTACCTTTAAAATTCTATTTCTTTATGTTACCATATTCACGGTCAGCACCTAGTAATAACATATATTTTCCCTCGTTGAGTGAACTTGAACTTAAACTGACCATGTTTGACTTCTCTTTCTCAGCTTTATTTTATACTTTTCCACTTTGTGCAATGATGCTGATGAAGGAAAGAAGTTACTAAAAGCAGCCATGAATGCTCTTCTTACACTGCCTGTATCTGAAAACCCTGAAAGTATTCCCATTGTTCAAAGTGATAGTGAAGATATAAAACCCATTGTGCTCTGGAGTGCATTTTATATTCAGAAATTAACTATGGTGCGCTTCTGATTCTGACTTGTTCACTGATTTCTTTCTTCCATGATGTTAATTTTTACCTGCATATTGTGTGTGCTCTTATTTCCTGCGTGATTTCTTTTGCTTCATCCATCACTATTTGAATGTCTGCTTTGTTTTGGTCATTATGGAGTCTATCCCCCCCCTCTCTTTCCCCCTCTCCCTCTCTCTCTCTATTTTTTTTTAAAAATCTTTGAGATTAAAGAAAGTATTAGGGTTCCTAAGGACACGTCTTACATTTTTTTATGTAACACAATCACTGGCCACTAGGCAGTGTTTTAAAAATTTTTAATGACAGATGTGATTCAAATATGTGTAACATTTATAATGACATCATTTTATTGACTTACAGATATACCGTTATTTCTATTTCAGAGTAAATTTGAATCTATCAGATCCACTCCTACACCGGATGGAAATCTAAACTACAATGACCTTTTAGATGCAACTGAGAAGGTATGTCTTTGGTATTCTTGGTTTCAGAATGATTTTTCGCTGTATGTCATCATAGCTAGACCCCTTACTTTTGAATAAGTTGCTCGCAATTTTTGTTCATGAAAAGTAGGCAAATGAATTGGGAAAACATTTGTGCACGGAAGCATTTACTTTGGCAAATTGAATATGTAAAGACCAAAAAAAAAGTTATGATCGTTAATTAACAATTAGCACCGTCACGGATGCTTACTAATTTGGTGGTGGTACTCTCACAGCTATTTGGTCAAATGTACCCGAATGAAGAATTCTTTCCAAAGACGACAGCACCTGAAGATACTATGGATGATGATAATGGGATAACTCTGGAGAGCTAATCGAGGTCAAAGTCAAAACTATCTGAGCATCTCATGTGAGAACTTCAACGTCAAGATCTGGGAGAAAGGGTGTTTTAAAATTATAAGCGCATGGAATGCCCCGAAGAATTGAAGATGTAGGCTTAATTTGTAATTAAGGAGGCGAAAGGTTCCAGTTCCTACTTTATGGGTGAAAAGAAACCAAAAGGGGGCCCAAGTGAAGTAGTAGTTACTGATTCTGAATTTTTGTCAAGCATACAGATATTGATTTGGTGTTGTATATCCCACCTATGAGCCACTTTCAAAAGATGTGGAATAGTGGAAGTTTCAAAGTTTTGGGGCTGAAGTATGGTGCTCAAGATCCTATATCTTCATCTGCAATTTGTATTTTGAAAACAATTTGATTTTATAATTTTATGAGGTTAGGACCTGTATGAATCTGTTGCAATATATTTGAAATATGGTGTATATGATAATCATTATGTTTCTGGCACGGTTTCTGAAAAGAAACAATTTTTTCTATTTTTAAGAATGAGAATTGTGTTTGATAATACAACAAATAATATAATAATTTTTTTTTTATTAAGCATAATTTTTTTTCGGATCATCATTTTCCTTAAAGCACGGTGGTGGTGGTAATGGTGGCGATAGTGGTGGTCAGTAAAGCACGGACATGCTCATCCAAAAAAAATTTGTGTGTCGGACACGTGTCTGACATGCGGTCAACATTTGGGGACACGCGGTCAACTCTCTGACACGTTTTTCCGACACGCGGTCAATGCTAGGACACGCTCGGACACGTTTTTTTTTTTTTTTTTTTTAAATCTTAATTTTATTTTGTTAACTAAATATAAAAGAAATAATTTATAAATTAATTTTTTTTTGTTATGAAATTTGACATGAAAAATTAACAAAGTACGAAAAATTATTTATATTTATATTAATGTTATGAAATTTAAATATTTGATTGGTTATATGACTTATTATGGACTTTTATATGTATTAAATATAAATTATATTGTATATATTAAAATTTTTATTTAATATCAAAACGTGTCCCAACGTGTCCAAATATGACATTTTTTAGAATTAACGTGTCCCGTGTCCGTGTCCGTGCATCATAAGTGGTGGTAGTGGTGGCAGTGGCTGCAGCTGATGGTGGTAATGGTGGCGATGGTGACATGGTGGTGGTGGTGGTGATGACATGGTGGTGTTGATGATGGCATGGTGATGGTGGTGATGGCAGTGGATGCGGCGATGATGGTAGTAGTTGGTGGGAATGGTGATGGCCGTGATGATGGAATGGTGATGGCATAGTGGTGGTGGTGATGGCAGTGACTGCGATGATGGTAGTGGTGGTGATGGCAATGGCAGGTTTTATCCATTTACGTTCCTGAGAACAAAAGTTAAAAGAAAAAAAAAAAAATTGATTCTAAGAAAATTGTTATGTACACACATGAACACCTGAAACATTGTAGGTTTTGGAGATATACCTGGGGAAAACTTGACTTCGTCTTGGAACGAATGAATCAAAAGCCCTTTCGTTTGCAGTTTGCTGGTGAATCTGGTGATATTCTTATTGAATTAAAATACTGTGTACATGATTTTTTTCGATTTAAGTTATGAAAACTTTTACAAAAAAATTATGCACTTTCTTTTCATTAAAAATTATCACTAGTTCTTCGACAATCTTATCTAATTTTTTTTAAAGAAAAATTACTTTTGGTTCCTTCGAGTGCAATTGTTTTTCTCATTTAACATGAGAATCTTATCTAATTCTTTTTTAAAGAAAAATTACTTTTGGTTTCGAGTGGAATTATTTTTTTCATTTAACATGAGATAAAATTATTTTACTAGACATACATATAAAGGTGAGAGGAGAGATAATAGAAGAGAGAGAAAAAAATATAAATAAGTCTCATTACTCCATATGCGTGTTTAAAAAATTTATTTTATCTTATGTTAAATTAGAAAATAATTCCCCGACCTATGTGTGCACTACATGAGACACGAGATATGATACGATACATTAATTTTTAAATATATTAGATTTCAACATGTTAGGACACATTTTGATATTAAATAATATTTTTAATTTATGTAGTGTATATTATATTTAATATTTAATAATTTAATAAAAAAATGAAGTTAAACTTATAATACCCATCAATTTTGCAAAAAAATATAAGATATCACAAATATTTATATTAAATTTAATAAAATGATAATTGTAATCCAACGAATCTAATAATTGGAATTAAAAACGCAACGTAACAACCTAAGTGTGGTGGCTCAGTTGGTAGCATGGGGACTGAGTGGTGGGAGAGGACCTCGGTTCGAATCCTACCAACACCATCTGGGGAGGGGCATAAGTACCGTAATCCTTGGACTCGCACCCGAACTCTGGATTAGTCCCATAGGCGGCTCAAAGAGTCAAACCCGTGGGGATACCAGGGAGTTCTGATTCACCTCAAAGAAGTAATTATGATCAGTTACCAAAAAAAAAATGCAACATAACATTTGAACCCTTTTTTGAGTCTCTGCAACGCATATTGAAGTGTTGGGGAGTGTCAAAAAATGTCGGATCGAGTATCACACGTCAAGGTTTTTGAAGTGTCATTACATCGTAACTCAAGACTATGATAGGATTTTAATATAATTTATTGTTATTAAATGATTAACCTGTCAACTCAATATGAAAGAATATAAACACAAATTATGTTAATTTTTTAAATTTTATTAGATTATTTACTCAATTATTAAAGCGTATTCATTTATGTAAAATTGTACACGAATTTAAAATTAAACAAATATGAAAGAATATAAACACAAATTGTGTTAATTTTTTAAATTTTATTAGATTATTTACTCAATTATTAAAGCGTATTCATTTATGTAAAATTGTACACGAATTTAAAATTAAACAAATGTATATATTTAAAACATATTTGCACCAAAAAAAAATATAAATTACAAACTAAAAATATATGAAAGAAAGGTGATTTTTTTATAATCTTTAAAATAACATAATAAAAGATTAAAAAAGAATAGCAAAATAATGGTATGCAAAGCACATGATGCAATGATTCCCTGTGCCATTCGGAAATATCTTCAATACTACGGGAGTATTGAAGACTCGGTGTATCATTTATTCATTTCCTGTGCCATTGGAAAATATCTTCAATATTACAGGAGTATTGAAAGAATATAAACACAAATTATCATTTATGTGAGGGGGTGTGTTAGAGAATAATATTTTTTCCTAAACCATCACCCTTTCTACTTTTAGTAAAGGAGTACATATTCTAATAGCACCAAAGATGTGCTCGTGTAATAGCACCAAAGATGTGTTTGTGCCATTGATACTTATTTTCGCCATTCTATATTTTTATTTTCCGCTTTAATTACTTAGTTTCAGTAAATATTTTGGAGAAAGAAAGCGCTGTCAGGAGCCTTGAGAAAATGCTCAATGAGCGTAATAATCCCATTATTATGTGCTTGATGTCAACGAATTTTTTTAAACATGAAATGTTTTTGTCCTTTCTTTATTGAATAATCTTCATATTTAATAGGGAACAAAAATAGACGCATCTAAATTGGTATACATGTTATAATGAAGGGTATAAAATTGTTGAGATTTTCAAACATTTTACTTTCTTCTTACCGTGACATTCCAAGCATGAATACCTACAATACTAAAATATCAAAATAATTACTTATGAATGAGATAACATTACCATGCCAAGCAATTTCTTAATTATATTTTCTCATTCAACACAAAAAATTAAAAATAAATAAAATCACAAAGCATCACAGTCACAATTGCAAGTAATAGTTAACTATCAATTAAATTGATTATATAGTGTTTACCCAAAAAAAAATAAAATTGATTATAATAGTTTTGTATAAAATGGCATTGATGCTTGCAAATGCAGAACACACTGTTCATTTGGTTGGAAGGGGCATCAAACATTAGACCACATATGAACAAGGCCTCCACACACAAAAAAGAAAGAAAAAAAAATGAAATCAGAGGAAGAAATTAACAGGAAAACTGTTCTCGTTCACAAATTAGTAAGAGTGATGATGGTAAGTATAATCTCCCCAAATTTTAAATTTAATTTGATTGACTTGATTTAAAAATTAAATATATTTGATTTGATATGATTTAGATTTCGAAAACATTCAAACCGAAGAGCAAACTCAAAATTTTTAAAAAGTCATGACCAATCAAGATACTTTTCCTGCAAATACCTCACTTAAAAATCAATGATCTTAACACCATTATGACTAAATTGATTTATCTTTCTCTCTCTTTTTGAGATTCTAATCTGATGGTGTTGGAGGGTGATAAGCAGAGTAGGCAGGTAGAATAACCTATCCCTTATATCAATTAGAATCAATAATCTTGATGCTACCTGAAATATGGTAACTTAATTTTAGGTTGAAATTAGGAACTTTGATATTAGCAAAGTTATTGTTCAACATTTTTTTTTACTTCTGTAAATTAAATTGGGAACAAATAGTTCTACCGTCAACAAAGGCTAGACCCATATAATGAAACTTCTTCTTTCTTTGATTTTTTATTTTTTAATGCAGTCCAATAATGGTGAGTCATTAGTATAAAACACATACCCTACTGGGTCTCATTGATCCTCACATCAACCAACTACTTCCTGGATCTTTCTTCACATGAATTGTAGTCATTTTCTCCCTACATTTAAGAGCTTCTTCCCATTTTCCCTCTCCAATGTAAATGTTTGAAAGAAGAATATAAGAAGCATGATCACTGGGATTCAATTCTATCATCTTCATTGCAGATTTTTCTCCAATTTTTGTGTTATTATGATTCCTACAGGCACTAAGTAATGTTCTCCATGCTGATTCACTTCCATCCTTTTGCACTATTTGATAAGCTTCTTCCAGCCTTCCAGCCCTACCATAGGCATCAACTAGGCACGAATAATGCTCAGATTCTGGCTTAATCTTGTATTTGTGAAGCATCAATGTAAAGAAATACGAAGTATCTTCTACATAACCTGCATGGCTACAAGCTGATAGCACAGCTAAGAAAGTTACATGATTGGGGGTCAAACCTTTCTTCTCTATCTTATTGAATACTTCTATGGCTTGCTGTGCTTTTCCATGATGTGCATATCCACAGATCATGGCATTATAAATTACTTCGTTTGGCTCTATTTGTTCACCAAAAACTTTCTCTGACTCCCCCATGTTTCCACATTTAGCGTACATATCTGTAATGGAACTTCCAACATAGACATCATGATTGTAACCACACTTAATAGCAAAAACATGCAATTGTTCACCCACACCTATAGCTGAAAGTTGTGAGCAAGCTGAAATACATAGTGGAAGGCTATAACTAGTAAAAGTGATTCCATCAGCCAACATGTCTTTGCATAGCTCTAATGCTTCTGATTCCATCCCATTTTGTTTATAAGTTCCAATAATAGAACTCCAAGAACTATCATCTTTGCAAACAATGTCATCAAAAGCTCTAAATGCATCACCAATTTGTCTACCCTCAGAGTACATGTGGACTAATGCATTGCCAACTAAAGTATGATGACCTACACTTGATTTCAGTATAAGTGAATGAATTTGTCTACCTGCAGGTAAATCTGATTTATTCTCACAAGACTTTAAAACAGCAATCAGAGTGGCACCTTGAATTTGCAAAAAGGTTGTTCGACGAAATTCTTGTAATAGTTGCATAGAGTGGCCAGATCCCTGCTCCAGCTGAGCATGAGCCAAGATCATAGAGTTCCATGCTACAATATCTTTATCATTAATCCTTCTGAACAACTTTTCCGCATCCATTAGTTCACCAAGACTGGCATAGAGAGTCAACAGCACACTTGCTACAAAACAATCTTTCTGATGCCCATTTTTTATCATTTGGCCATGCACTTGAACTCCTGTGTTCAAGTCCTCTATTTCAACACAAGCTTTCAATGTACTCGATAATACATGCTGATCTAGTTTCAATCTTTGTCTACACATGTCCTTGAAGAAATGCACAGCATCCTCTCCTCTATTATTTATGGTATAGCCTGAAATGATGGAACTCCAAACAAAATTATCCTTCTCCTCCATGGAATCAAAGATTTTCCTGCAAGAACTTAAGTCCCCACATTTGGCATACAAGTCAACCAAAGCACTGCCCACCACAACATCAACTTCAGCACCAAACTTGGATGCAAGCCCGTGAATTTGCTTCACCTCTTCCAACGAAGAACAGCACTTCAGGAAGCTACTAAGTGTACTATTATCGGGTTTCAAGCCTTGAATTTCCCACATTTCAGAAAACAACCTCTGAACCATGCTAAAATCGCCAACTTGAGCAAACCCAGAAATCATAACATTCCATGCAACAAGGTCTCTCTCCATCAAGTCATGAAAAACACGACATGCATCCCCGAGACCATTGCCACTGTTGAAGTACATATATACAAGAGAGCTCCCAGCAAACTTGTATCTCTCAAGCCCAGAACGAAGTAAGGTACCATGAATCTGCAAACCCATATCCCGCAAAGCAGGATAAGCACAAGCCCTAAGCAGAACAGAGAACGTGTACTCATTGGGTCTCTCATCCATTGCACGCATGTGATTGAACATCTCAAAGGCTTTTGGGAGAGACCCAGTTCGAAGATGCGCGGAAATTAAGGTTGTCCAGGTGACAACATTCCTGTGAGGCATTTGGTCGAACAGGAGGTGTGCATGGCGGAAGTGAGCAGATTTTGAGTACAAACTCAAAAGGGTGTTGGTTAAGTGGGTTTGTGAAATGCATTGAGAGACTATGAGCTTTGCATGGATTTGGTTACACTCTCTCAGCGTTCTGGGCTTTGAAGTCTTTGCCAGTGACAGCAAAAATGGTTCAATCGTTATTCTTCCAATAATTTGATTTGCGTTACACATGTCAAGCTAAAACAAACCCCCTTTTTTTTGAAGTTATGATTGTTGAATAGATTCCTTTTTTCCCTCACAACACATTCATGAAACAAGGGATAAGAAGATAGTAAGTTCATAAGAATTGGACGTGTAAAATAATATATGATGAATTTTAATCATATAAGGATAGATGGAAGATAGGAAGAGAGAAAAAAAAAAAAAAAAAGAACAAGAAGTTATAAGGTCATGTTAAATAAAATATGATAAGATTTAATTTCAAAAATCTTAATATTTTTTAATTAACAATGTTTAAATAAATTTAATTTTGACACTATTATTAACTCCAATATTAAAAAATGTCAACCCGAGTTGGAAATAATTTCAAGGGCAATCATGAGACATAAACTTTCCTGAAAAGAACAAAAAGGAAAAAGTGGGCGTTTCCCACTACAACGTTTTGTGAACTGAAATGAATGATAATGTCCTTTAGCATATAAACTGAGGCATGAATTTTCTTAACAAAAAGGGGGCGTTTTCACACTTTAAAGTTTTGTTAACTGAAACGAATGATTATGTCCTTTAGCATATAAACTTGATGTGAAGTCTGGATTGCTAGTTAAATCTCGGTTTTTTGGTTTCCATAAGAAAAAAAATCTCCCTCTTTTTTTAATCCTTGATTTTATTGTTAATGAAAAAGCTGGAATTTGTCAAACAAATTATATAATTATGAAAATTTAATTGCTCAAATTGTGCGTCGAATTTAAAGAGAAAAAAAAATGATAAAACACATCCACACAAAAGCAGAAACTGCCACGCATACCGTGTTTTGGAACTGAGAAGCTATTTGAGCACAATTGGAGTTAAAAAAAAAAAGGACGGAGAGGTTAAGGCAGTATAACAGTAACAGAGACCTGGCGTTTCAACAGTTCAAAAAGTATAAATAAATTAAAAGTTTAATGTTTATCGTATTATAAGAAATAAGAGAAAAGTTATAATTATAATTTTTTTTTACAACCTCTTACAATCATATCTTAATACTGTTGATTTTTGTTAATCAACAGTTATTATTTATTATGAATTAATAATTAATTAATGAGTTTAATTTATAAAAATAATAACTGTTAATTGACGGAAATCAACGGTGTTAAGATATAATTGTAAGAGATTGTAAAAAAAAGGTGATAAGTATAACCTTCCTCAAAAAATAAATTTATCTTTTATTTGCACATAATATTTTTTTATAATATGAGAAATATTAAATTTATAAAATAATTGCAACAAACATTTTCCAAAAAATATAAAATAATAATTACTGTAAACAGTATCGAGTTTGTTGAACGCATAATCATCTCCGTGTGCTTTCCGCAAAAAATACGGGGTTCTTTGAAATTGACGTCATTCAACGCAAACTTGTACGTGATCCCTCTAAAATAAAAAACAAAAAACAAATAAATACTTATTATTTAAAATTTATTAATAGTATATTTGGATTGGAAACCCATTAAATGTTTGTTCATAATTTGGAGGATTATAAAGAGGATTAGGATATAAAATATTTGTTCTTCAAAAAAAGGCGTCATCATGGTGTAATCATTTGTGGTTTTCTCAATTGTCCAGTTCTATTACTCGAAACAAATCCTTTTGTATTAACAAAAACACAAAAGAAACGTAATTAATGCAAATAAAACATTCAAACACGAATATTTAATGAAAACAAGTACAAGTAAGCAAAATGCTACGCTTGAATTGAAAACCGAATTGTTTCTCCGTTATATTTCGTTATTTACGGAACTGATGTGAATTTATAATTTGCGTTAGTGAAGTTAATGGTCTTATCATTATTATTATTTTTCTACACAAGTTAATGGTCTTTATTAGACTCATTTATTTGATTTTTTAATATGTTTTAAGTTACACTAAAAGAAATTTATTTTCATTATTTCAAACAAGTTAAATGTTAAATTATAATAATGATATAATATCTCAAAAACATATAATAAGTTAATAACAGTATATATATATATATATATATATATATATATATATATTATTAAAAATGTAAGTTTTCGTTTATTAATAAGATATGCAAATATTGCTCCGTTAATTAAATATTAGTATGCTGAATTTGACCTATATTATGAACAACTAATAATATAATTTTAAAGGCAAAACTAATGATGCAGTTATTACATTATACTAATTAACATGTGAAAGTTTTTGGATTATTGAATTAAAAAGATCTTGTATTTTTTTTTTTTGATAACAAAAGATCTTGTATTTTAAATTCATGAACTCAAAGACCAAAAAATATCTTTTATTAATAATCAGTAAATAGGTTGTCTCACTAAAACTTGGACGCGTCATAAGAAAAAGCTTTAGCGAAAACACGGTTGGATGTTTTCAATCGAGACAACTGCTTATATTATTTTATGTTAGTATATAAACAATTGTATTGCTTTTTGGTTGTATATAAGTAATTGTATTGATAAAAATTAAATTTATGGTTGCGCAATAAATTTCACCTGCACACAAAACAAAAATGGCGAAGAAAAATTAAAGGAAAAACAAAAGGGAAAGTAAGCAATGAAAAAGGAAAATAAAAAGAAAGAAAGAATACTACCATGTTTTGGAAATTGATCTTTTTATGTTTATACAAATGTAAATCAATGATAATAATTTTATAGTTATTTATTTTAATATTTTTTTATCATTATTAATTAATTTTTATATAGTTATAATTTCTCAAACAATAATTTTTGTTTATTTTAGCTAGACATGATTCGAAACTGATCCGAAACTAACGAAAAAAGCGGAAGATCATGCAAACTCACACTTAAAAAGCTGGTTTTGGCTCATTCTTTTCCTTTTTATTTGTCCACTCTTCATGTTTCCTAGTTTCTACTACTACCCATTACTCACGCTATCTTCAACTTCTTCATGGATTCCTCGCTGACCAACCTACTTGTCTTCAACAACACCATTCAAAGAGGTGACCCATACTTCAACCCCACCATGCCATCTCATTACCCAGAATTTTGTTTTCCATTTTTTACTTGTCATTTTCATCTAAAGCCTTTTTTTGAGAAAAAAAAAATGATCTTTTTTGGTGGGGATTGACAATTTTTTTCTTTCTTTCTTTTTTTTGGTATCTGTGTGTGTTTGTGTGAATTACAGAGTTGATCAGGAGCGTGCATGTGTACCGCGAATGTGATGGGGAGGAAAGGGAAGTTGAAAGAGAGTTTGCGTTTTCAGAGAGTGGTTCCTATGAGGAAATGCAGGCTACCCCAATTCTTAGATTGATGAAATTTCGTGTTTCTGAAGTTTATGAAGGGTACCAGAATGGAGTGTGGCTTTGTATCTTTGCATTTCACTTCGATCACACTCCTCAATTTTCTCACATTCCATCGCTATTGTTGGTCACGAGGTATATCTATCTATCTACTTACCCCCTATTTGTCCTTGTCATTAGTCCTTGTTTGTTAACCTTATTTGTTCCTTTCAATAATTGAATTAGAGGATCCCTCCCATCTACTGAATTGGGATTAGTCCATTTGATTCTATGATTTTGTATTTGGCTATTGGGTCCCACCAGGATTTCCACACCTTTAGAGAAGCTTAATATTGTAATTTGTGCAAATTGGATTAGTACACTTTTAACTGAAAGCTAATTTTGAGTTATAATTTTACAAGTTCTGGTAACGGATGTGGATCCTCTGTTTTTCCTCTGAGAACAAGAGAGAGTTTTCTTCTCTTGGGAGAATGAAAGATAAACTGTTTTGCCATAAAACTGGTGGACCCCAACACAACACAAGTAACCGTGGGTCACTCCCCCAATAAACAGTTTCTTTCCATCTCATAACATACCCTCTCATAGAAGATACAAGTAAACTTATAACAGTCCAAATTACTGGATTAGTGAACTGTGGTAGTGTTTCTAGTTTGCTTTATGTGGTGATTAGTAACTGATTATTCCAGAGCGTACTTTTGTTATGAGTTCTTTTTAACGGAAAGTTGAAATAAGGGAAAGTAGATTGACAATGGAATGATATTAATCATAACAAGTAGAACAAAAGTTAAGGCTTTAGACCTGAAAATGCTTTTGTCTTTACTGTTTATCATGGGAAATAAACGAAGGTTAGTGAGTGACAGCATTTTGAAACAACTGATATTTGCTTTTACAGGAAAGTATATCAAATGTGTTTTAAGGTGAAAACTAACAATGACCTTTACCCCAAATATCCACAAATAAGGAGATGCATTGATAGATAACTTATAACATTTGTCCTATGCCTTGTTGGAGATGCTTAACCTTAAACCCATTGGAGATTGCAGAGAAGTATTCTTCATATGAAGTTCCTGCTTTCTATCGTTAGCATTTTGTTGTCTTAATATCCAGAGTCACTGTAATATTTACTCTGAACCATTTTCTAATTTGGCGTTCTGATAAATATCTTTCCTGTAATAATCTTATGACAAGGAGCGGCTCCTGACAGGCTTCCAGCGGGGGGTTACATGCATGAATGAATCAAATCGACACCCGAAAGAGAGGAATTCCAAAGACTGTGCAGGTATGAGACTGCACGGTTTGGGATAGCTTATAAAAATTAATTGGTACTACCTATACTAACAAGATGCATCTGCTTTTCGGTAGCCTGGATCGGAAGAACTCCACAGTTAAGCGTGCTTGACTTGGAGCAATTCTGGGATAGGTGACCTCCTGGGAAGTTTTCCCGGGAAGTGTGCGAATGAGGAAAAAGCACACTGAAAAGTCTCGTGTTAGTATGTAGGGATAGTCATTGATTCTTGAAGCGGTCAGGGCGTTACAAGTGGAGTGGTATCAAAGCAGGGCCTCTCATCCAGTACGGTGTGGTTCGAGGACGAACCAAGCGGAAGCTGGTGGGCATGTAACATCCCGAGCGCTGACGAGGGCGGGGAGTGATCGCCGGTGCGAAAGGGCATGGACAAGGAGCGGCTCCTGACAGGCTTCCAGCGGGGGGTTACATGCATGAATGAATCGATCGACACCCGAAAGAGAGGGATTCCAAAGACTGTGCAGGTATGAGACTGCACGGTTTGGGATAGCTTATAAAAATTAATCGGTACTACCTATACTAACAAGATGCATTTGCTTTTCGGTAGCCTGGATCGGAAGAACTCCACAGTTAAGCGTGCTTGACTTGGAGCAATTCTGGGATGGGTGACCTCCTGGGAAGTTTTCCCAGGAAGTGTGCGAGTGAGGAAAAAGCACACTGAAAAGTCTCGTGTTAGTATGTAGGGATAGTCATTGATTCTTGAAGCGGTCAGGGCGTTACAAGTGGAGTGGTATCAAAGCAGGGCCTCTCATCCAGTACGGTGTGGTTCGAGGACGAACCAAGCGGAAACTGGTGGGCATGTACCATCCTGAGCGCTGACGAGGGCGGGGAGTGATCGTCGGTGCGAAAGGGCATGGACAAGGAGCGGCTCTTGACAGGCTTCCAGCGGGGGGTTACATGCATGAATGAATCGAATCGACACCCGAAAAAGAGGGATTCCAAAGACTGTGCAGGTATGAGACTGCACGGATTAGGATAGCTTATAAAAATTAATTGGTACTACCTATACTAACAAGTTGCATTTGCTTTTCGGTAGCCTGGATCGGAAGAACTCCACAGTTAAGCGTGCTTGACTTGGTGCAATTCTGGGATGGGTGACCTCCTGAGAAGTTTTCCCGGGAAGTGTGCGAGTGAGGAAAAAACACATTGAAAAGTCTCGTGTTAGTATGTAGGGATAGTTCTAAATTTTCTCAGCTTCTATATTTTTTTTCAAGTACTTCTACAAAGTAACTTATATCTAACTCCCTCTTTTAATTCCTTAATATACAGAAACCAGAAGCTTCAGACGATTCCAAATTTGCTTAATGATCTCCATATCATAAGCAAGTTGGACTCGAAGAATGAAGACAAGGATATACCACAAGACTCTGCAAGGGAAGAATGGCAAGGAAACAGCAATGGTTACCAACCATCACAAAAAGTCTTGCCTGTGTTTTATCAGGATCTCAATTGTCTTCCTTATGAAGAAGACGAGTCTGAATTACCAGACAATGAGACAGATGTTGAAAGCTTGCCAGGTTCAGACTCAATGCTCTCAGTTATCTAATAGACACAAACTATTTAGTACTAAATGATTAGGCACAGTTTACTCTGCAGCTTTGCTATTATATGGACATTGTAAATCTTTTAACTCACTTGATAAAACCTAGGAATTACAATATATCCAAGTTTTGACTATAATGACTATATTATTCTTGTAACTGAAGTCTATGGTTCTGAATGTAGAGCTTCAGAATTGCAGATCAAATGCAGGGAATCCTCTTTGATGATTGGCACATAAATGGAACTTCTTTTGTAGATTTTAAAATTCTAGATATTTCCCTCTTTTAAGGATTAATCTTATTAACTCAAATCCTGTATTCTGTGTAATTCCTAATTTTGAATGTCATTATCCATTTTGTTTCAGCAGCTGAGTCTTTGGCTTTATACACTTAATTTATTAAAAAGGAATACTATAAATTGTAATGCAGTAAATATGTTGCGAAATGATTTCTGCTTTGCCATCCTGTACATAAATTATCCTTCAACATGTGTGAAGCTTTCTTATGTTGAATTAATCATGTCATGTATAAATATTTATATCTAACAGGTAAGGTTAAAGTTTGCAGATTTGGTAGAGAAGAAAAAGAGAGCACCCAGTAACCATGTGGCAAAAATTTCTTTATCAGATTTGGTCAAGTACTTTGATATGCCAATTGTAGAAGCATCAAGAAATCTAAATGTTGGGCTTACTGTTCTCAAGAGAAAGTGCAGAGAATTTGGTATTCCCCGCTGGCCTCATAGGAAGATCAAATCACTTGATAGTCTCATTCATGATCTTCAGGTCCTTCTTACTCGACCTTTTTTTGTGTGATGACTTTACCACTCTCTTTAACTGGCTATATGCATATTAATTTGAGAAAAATGCTATCCATTTGCTGCTACCTCTTGAACTAATATTATCTTGTGAAATGCAATGAGGGAATAAGAGGTAACTTATTTGAAGTCAGCACAGTTGAATAATGGAATTATGCCATATACCATTCACTTGAAAGTACTGTCAATGATTGTTGAAAAGTTCTTTGAAGTCTAATGCATAGTGTTAGCTTTTACGTTTCAGGACATGGAAAAATATTTTGTAAAATTTGGGTCATTTTATAGGTCTTTTTCTGGGTTCATAATTGTCCAATTTCATTAAAATCTTGAAACAAGAAAAAGCAAAATGATTATGAAACATAAGAGGATTCGGCTAATGTTGCTTTTATAATCTAGTGAGCTGCAAACACTCAATTAGGACAATAAAGATGATGAATTAGAAGAAGATGAGGGAGATCATATATTTTATTTACCCTTTATTGGGCATAACTTTTTTAGTGTGTTGGTCATACGTGATACATTCAATCTTGAGTTCTGTCTTGCAGATTCTTTTAATAATATGGCTTGAAATTTAAACATGATGTATATAGTATTTGAGGCTTCCTTAGACAGGTAACCATTGACTTCAATGCTTGATTTTAAGTTCGTGTGTTTATTCATAGATCTTTCTGCATTTGCGTTGTCTATTTTCTGAAGGCTGTTGTATATGGTCTATTAAATCTTTTCCTTTTGCCTTTTATGTGGTAAAACTACTCCTTTGTAATCGAAATGTCACGGGTTCAAATCTGGAAAATATCCTCTTTGCAAATATATAAAGGTAAGACTGCGTATAAGAATTGCCCTCGACCTTACCCTTGTTGGTCGGAGTTTAATGGAGAGTGGGTTTTTTTTTTTTTTTTTTTTTTACCGAGCTTAAAATCGATTTTGAGTGAAAAATCGATTTTGACTACCTTTTAATCTCTAGTATATTAAAATTTGAACTCCTCCCACACATAAAAAACAATTTGGAGAACATTCACTGATTTATGAGAAGGATACCTGCAGGAAGAGGCAAAACACCAAGAATTGGAGGACAAGGTTGCGGCCATGGCGGTGACAATGAGGCAAAGAATGTTGGAGAATGAAAAGGAAAACATAGAGAAAAAACCCTTCATGGACATACAAAGTGAGACCAAGAGATTCAGGCAGGATGTTTTCAAGAGAAGGCACAAAGCTAGAGCTATTGAAAAACAGAGTTCTGAAGTTTCCAGCACTTAGTAACTTCAAAGAGTCAAAGACCAACAAAATCCAGAGTTTGCAAGTTGTAAATTAGACACTGAAACCTTTACACCATTGGTCATTTTGGCCTTTATAAATTTACTTTGACTTATATATGTGGATTGCAATATACTACTCAAGGGAATCATCTATAGTATATTTAGAGCTTAATTTTCTTGTTTTCTTTTCTTTTTCTCTGCATCATTGCTTCCTCTTCTAATACGCTTTGAGACTTGTGACTTCTTTATATTGATTGACTCAAAGTGAATCATGTCCAATTAGAAATTTATGAAGTCCCATGCATAAAATTTGATGGAATTCCCATATATATATATATATATATATATATATATATATATATATATATGGGAAATATAAGAATCATGTTGCAGGAATGGCACTGTTCATTCCTGCAACTAGGATCCGCGTCCGTATCTTAAGGATATGGCGTTGTATCCTGATTTTGGTTTGACTTTTTTTTTTTAAGCGTGAGACCCACACTTGATTTGTGTGCAGGAAAGTGCTCTAGTCATGTCACATGACAAAAAGCGAACCCTATATATATATACTATGATGCATGGACATTGACACGGAACACGGGACACGACACGCCAACACATTAATTCTAAAAAATGGCATATTTCGACACGTTGGGACACGTTTTGATATTAAATAATATTTTTAATATATATAATATAATTTATATTTAATATATATAACAGTCCATAATAAGTCATGTAACCAATCAAATATTCAAATTTTACAACATAAATATAACAATAAAAAAAATTCGTACCTTGTTAATTTTTCATGCCAAATTTCATAACAGAAAAAAATTGATTTATAAATGATTTTTTTTATTTTTAGTTAATAAAAAAAAATTAAGACTAAAAAAAAAAAAAACCGTGTCGGAGCGTTGATCACGTGTCAGAAAAAGTTGATTGTGTATCGGAAAAACGTGTCATAACGTGTCGGTGTCTGGCACGTGTCTGACACACATTTTTTCAAGAAAAACCCGTACATATATATATATATATATATATAGAGAGAGAGAGAGAGAGAGAGAGAGAGGTAGGATCCTTTGACACCACATCTGAGAGCCATTAGATAAAAAAAAGAAAGCAATGGTGTCACATGCTTACAAATCAGAGTCGTTGATCTTTTTTGATCTAATGGCTCTCAGATGAGGTGTCAAATTTGAAATTTGACACTGGTGTCAAAGGATCCTATCTCATATGGGGAGGGATCATTTGACTCTAGAGTAAGATTTAAAAGTCTTACTCCTCATCCCAACCCTTGATTTCCGTTCATCCAACGGTTAGCATTTATTTAAAATTAATAATTAATTAATTGTTGTAACTTATTAAATGTTAACCGTTGGATGAACGGAAATCAAGGGTTATGATGAAGAGTAAGAATTTTAAATCTTACTCTGGAGTCAAATGATCCCTCCCCATCTCATATATATATATATATATATATATATATATATATATAAGTAAAATTATTTCTGCAGCCGCTTTACGTATAGCAATGACAGGTGTATGGTTACGATTCCTCACATTTAATGCTTTCATCCTTTGTATGGTTATGATTTCCTGCATTTAATGCTTTCAAGTATATATATGGCAAATATTTGATTGCTGCACGTACAGCAGCTGCACAAATATAAACCCCATATATATAAAATGAGATTGTTGTTTCTAATATTGCAGGAGATAATTTTATCTCTTCACACACATAAAAATGTGTAGGACCTATACGAGACCATAACATTCTCTCTCTTCTTTTCACGTAATCCCACATGAGCTCCACACAATTTTATATGTGTGTAAGAGATAATTTTATCTCCTATAATATGAGAAACATTAATCACATATAAAATAGAATATTTCTAATGAAATATCTAATAAATCATATAGTATATAATAAAGTATTTATTCATTTTTTAGTAGTATTTTTATGTTATTCAAATTTATAAAATTTTGTTACATATATAATGATCTTATTTTATACTAATCTTATTATATAAGAATATTAGATATTTTTTTTTTTATTATTTAACTATAATAATCTTATTTTATTTGAAATGTTCGAATTGTCTGTCTCTCCCGTTTGCATCTATTAAAATTTGTTTCAAGCTCAATCCTGTTATGATATCACCACCAAACTAGCGACATCAAATTTAATTGGGGCTGGGGAAAAACTGGGATTATAATAAATTTACGAGGTGTATATTTGAAATTTGGGTTAATTGAACTGCAATAGGTTGAAAATGGTTTTGATTATGTCTGTAAAAGGAAGAAGTGATCATTTTGTGTTGGTTGAATGGGAACAATACTTACAGGGTTTATCAGTAAGAGAGAGAGAGAGAGAGACTTTCTCTGCTTATGGGTGTATTGGTTGCCATAGCAGTACCTGTATCCCAATCTGCAGAGATAATTGACGTGCGGTGTTTAAAAACCCGAATCTGATAGGTTAGGTTGACCCGGGTTTTGGTAATCCAATGAGAACACCGGTTTCGGTTTGAGCTGGCCATTAAATCAGTCATGCAGTTGAATAGATTTTGACCAGTTAACTTGGCCAAGTCTAGTAAGTCGCGGGTCAAATAAAATCCGGCGGATCAAGTTGTTTTCTCCCTTGAACCTCTTTTTTAAAAATTGAATAAAATATTCTATTTTTGACAATTGTTATGAGTCGAACTAGCCTACGAGAATGAGTGGCTGGGAATCGAATCTAACTTATGGGAGTGAGTAGTGTTACAACTTATCATTAGATTATCTTTAATTGTTGGTCAAAATATATCTTATAATATATTTGTTATATAATTTAATATAAATTTAATTAAATCGATTGAACCAATGATCCATTAGTTAAACCAATAACTCAATGATTCAATACTTTAACCAAGTCGATTACCTGACTGAGTTTTAAAACACTGTTTATGTGGGCTCACGCAAAGGATTTTTTGCGATATTCAGGAGACGTTTTTAAGTGCTCCTTGATTATTTTTTATTGGTGGAAAAGACCAATGAAAACATAAGACAAAAGAGAAAGCATAAGAGAAAGAAGAGAATTTTTTTTATTTTTTTAATTCACATGTCATCCTCTTAATGGAAGGAGCAAAAAGTCCCTGTGCACTCAAATTTTTTCCGAGTGCATTGTTATTTAACATATTTTAAATTGAAAAAAAAGTAAGGAGAGTAAGTTGTTTTTATGTTAGTTATTTAGAATTGAGTGGGTTGTCGGTACTAATTATCTATTGAGTAATATTAAGTAGTTAATGTTTTGTTTTCAATAATATACAATAAGATATTAACATTACACGTTCAATATGATAAAATATTTCAGAATTTTGTTTTTAATTTGAGATATTTTTTATATTTCAATTATATGTTAATGTTTTATTTATTAAGAATATTTTTAATATTTTATAAAATAAGGACAATATTTTACATTTAGGAGATTAGGCAATGGTATATGAAATGGGAGTGAAGTATGTAACTCTGTATGCATTCAGCATTGAAATTTTAAATTATTGTATGTAACTGAAAAGAATTGGTATTGTCCATGCTCAGTATTCCCATAAAGACTGTGTAAACGCAACCAAAGCTCATAGTCAGTGTGCCACTGTGCGTGCATCCTTATAAAGAATAAACGGTTTTAATTGTAACATTATCAGTCAAATTTCAGAATGTAAATCATGTAATGGCAGATTACTTTTTTTTTTTTAGACCATTTTATGTTTTATCATTTGTCTTATTTTTCTTTGACAACACTCTTACGTATTTTTTATACTCCTGCGCTTACACATATGAACAGGTTCGTGGTTTGCCACTTGGCAGAGAGAAACTTTAAGGTATTATGAGAGGAATACTTTCAACGACAGAGATTAATTTGAAATTTATTAAGTAGTATTTTAATTTTAATTCAACAGCATGCTCACTATGCAGTCCACATATGTTTTTTTTTTTTTCGGTAAACAATCCACATATGTTTTTCTATTGGACTCTCAAGTTACATAAAAAAAACTTCTTTAAAATAGTAAACTTCTTCTTCTCCTTCTTTTAAATAAATCATGACAGTTACATGTAATTGAATATTTTAAAATTTTAAAATATTGTTTCTATTGCTTGAACAATTAATATACCGAAGATGATCTTTTGGTCGTAATTCTTAACCATAGTCAAAATTCAACGTTTTTATATCATATAAAATCAAGGGCCACTATGGCAGTATGCAACTGATTCTATGATATTTACACAATATTTTTATGTTCATTATAATTCGCAACTATATCAAACTCACCAGAAATTATCATATAAATTCCACAGTAAACAGCTGTTTGCATTATTTTATTTGAACAAAATATGTGCGTTTTCTCTAAAATTTGATCACCTTGCATGAGCTTTATTTAAGTTACTATTTTGCAGTTTTGCTTCGACTATTTTACCACCAATTTTCTTTATTCAAGTCAATATTATATTAAATTAATAAGTGCAACCCAATAATTTTCAATAAATTATAATCATTAGATTAACGAAAATCAACGGTAATTAGATTGGTTATAAAGCGATAAATGTTTTTGGTGATAAGTATATCTTATACCTTATATTAAACTCAATCAAAATTGTTCAGTTTATAAGTTTATCCATGATACGCAAGTAATAATTTTATCTCATTGGTCTAGCCAAACACCTGGTTAGCCAAAGTCCAACCCGACTCTTACTATTGTATGACGGGTTGGGAAAAACCCATGGCGGGAGGACTACCACCAATGAATTAAGACTACATCTCTATATCAAGTAAATTTGACACTATATTTCAACCCAAAATCAAGGCACTAAATTCATGAGTCATCCCACTTATATAGACTTCCTTTAACATATTAATAACCAATATGAACACTTGAATCCTACAACTGGTCTTAAAGGTAGCTAATGTTCACACACTAAAATCAATTTGCCCTCTTCTTTGACAAGAGAAAGTGATTAAAATTGAATCAATTTGAATTACCCAATTTATATAAAGTGGCGTAACTTTGACTTAGTAATTGTGTTCCAATTCACCACTTAACTAATTACATAGTGGCTAATCCATTTTGAAAGACGCGTCTTACATACATTCACTTTATGAAAGTGCAAACATGGACAGATAATCATATACTTTTTTTTTTTTTTGTTTTGGAAATAATCATATACTTTTAATTGCACGCAAATGCAGAAGAGGGTAATTTGACTCTTTCTACACGGCTTCTAGAGACACACTTATGTTACAAGTTCTTGGATGATTCACACATATTTTAGAGTCTACATACGACGAAGAAACACAAAATTTAGAAGACTGAACGATCGAACTGCAATGACTTAGCCATCGTTTTCATTGATGCTATCAGCTACCATGGACCATACGGCAACAAAAGTCTACAAGCTAGCATTTCACGCTATAATGTTAAACAAGTCTTGTGCCACGCATATAATGATATATCACCCTCTTTTGAGATCAAAACACAGTTAACAAGTGAAGCTATGGCGTTTGCTTTGCATAACTATGCTCTTGCTATTTTGCTTTTGGTCATAATCCCATTTGAGGGCACGTATGGCTCCCATCACCACCAACACAAACACAAACACCAACACCTCAAATCCCTTCACTTCTCGTTGTTTCAACATGAAACCGTAAACAAAACAGGATATATTATAGTAAATGGCGTGGAAGGAGGGCCAAGAATCACAGCAACCACAGCCCCTTTTGGTACCATTTTTGTCTTTCAAGACCCTTTGACTGTCACAGCTAACAGATCCTCAAAAGTAGTTGGAATTGATGAAGGAACTACCTTCACCACTAGCAATGATGGGCTTCTCAGCCTTTCAATTGCCAAGTTAACTCTGCGTCTAAAGCATCACAAGGGGTCCATTTCCGTTGTTGGAGGCACAAATAACATCAAGGCTTCAAATCTTCCAGTAGTAGGAGGCACTGAAGATTTCTTGTTTGTGCAAGGCTATGTTACCGCTTCTCCAGTTGATCTAAAGGGTCTTGCAGTTGTCTACAAAGTTGAATTTCATCTTTACTGGCCTCCATATGCAACTCAAGCCTCTTAAAAGGGCACTGGCACCTTCCAATTGCAATGGATCATATCTTTTTTTCTTTTATTATTATTTTCTTACATTAGGCCACATTGCTTCTGTGTGAATTGAATTTCTTGCTAGCCAGTAACTTGTGGTTTCTGGGGTGTAGATTCATGTTGGTAAGGTGCCATCTTAGTAATTTTATTTTTTTAGTATTGATTAGAACTCTGTTTGTTCTTAGTTGAAAACTCATGTATTACAAAGCTTCCTTGGAGCAGTTTCTGAAATAAACATGACCTAGTATCAAATAGTTTTGGCAGAAAGAAGGATGAGAACTAGACTGTAGCAGTGTGGGCAAAGGCAGAGATAAATATGATCCTTCTTAAAGTTGTTAATGAGACAAGAAAGCAGACTATTAGGTTCAAATTAAAAGCAATGTATTCACACTCACGAGCAACCTAAATTTTCAATGAAAGATGGCACATAATCTTGACGACAGAATGCGGTGCCAAGCTTGACCCTGCTCTGCTTCCCAAATGTAGTAAAACTCACCAGCAATTATCATACGAATTTTATTTGTTTCAAGAGCTTAACTAAGGCAGTAAACAACTGTTTGCTTGATTTTACTAATTGACTATCATATGTTTTATTTCATGTAACTGTATGTCTTCGAGAAGTTTGACAAACTTACATAAGCTTTTTTTTTTTTTTTTTTTTTAAATGAAAAGTTTAATTTATTTATTTATCTTTTTATGTATGGACTAGGTCAAAACAAACCCGAAAGACAAAGCAAAAAGTAAAGATGACAAACTGATACTAATGGAAGAAAGTGGTGTCACGCTTGATCCTATGACCATGCTTTGTGAGAGAGCCAGAGCTTTTGCAAGCTGCTTTTTAAATCAAGGAATAATCCAAGTATATTTTCTAAAGAATAGTTAAGGTGGTGAAAATATCGCCTTATTTCAAGTTCAAGACATGTTATGCGACGTGCGAATCATCAACAAAACATAACTCCGTTTTTTGCTGACATTATTCAATCCTATTGAATTAGAGAGAAAAAAAATTAAAATATTATTATTTTAATAAAAATTTATAAAAATTTATCATTTTGAACCATTTTACCAATGAGCTTGTCTCGCCTAAATAAAGTGAGACCACTCTTGCCTAAATAAGGCGAGTTTGCCTCCATATTTGGGCGAGAGTGCTGAATTAATCACGTTATGTATATCTAAAAAAAAGGTAAGGTTAGAGTTTGCAGGTTTGGTAGAGAAGAAAAAAAGGGTGCCCAGTAACCGGCAAAAAAAATTAATTTATTGCTTTTTTAATAAATAATTACACAAATGTAGTCGTTTTGAAATTATTTACTCATGTATAGTAGTCAAACACGTCCACATGAGGCGTGATCCAATGGAAAGAGACACGCCCATGTGAGGCGTGACTTAATAAAGAGACACGCCCACATTGGGCGTGACCAGGAGAGAGACACGCCCAACACGAGCGTGACCTCCCTGGTCTAGTAATGGCTTTCTCTTTCAATTTCATGTATTGTGTATTTATGGAAATATTAAGATAAATGAGTTGTAGTCTCGTTCTGAAACTATTCATGTATTTTATTTACGGAAATAAATTTCTTCTCTTTCAATTACCAACCAAAGTAAATGAGCTTTGTCTCGGTTCTCAAATTTTTTTAAGATAAAAAGTACTTTTAGTAAAAGTTGTAGATTGGCAAAGGAAAAAGTTGTAGCCTTTATGAGTACGAGGAAAATTTGGGTAAGAAATTGGCAACCATCATTAATAGCACTAGTCATGTCCTATGCGACGTCCAAGTTCCAACAACTCACTACTACTTCCAACGCCTGATGCTATAGGTTAGGGGGTAGTGGTGTGACAATGACAGTGCAGAGAAGAGATGAATGTTGTCAAGAATAATAAAACATGCTTTTATATTAAGGGAGGTCACGCCCATGTTGGGCGTGTCTCTCTCCTGGTCATGCCTCACATGGACGTGTCTCTCTCTTAGGTTACGCTCCATATGGGCGTGTCTCTCTCTTAGGTCACGCCCCACATGGGCGTGTCTCTCTCCATTGGGTCACGCCCCATGTAAGCGTGTTTGACTGCTACACCTGTATAAATAATTTCAAAACGATTATATTTATGTAATTATTTATTAAAAAAACAATAAATTACTTTTTTTGCCCCCAGTAACCATGTAGCAAAAATTTCTATCAGATTTGGTCAAGTACTTTGATATGCTAATTATAGAAGCATCAAGAATTCTAAATGTTGAGCTTACTGTTCTCAAGAGAAAGTGCAGAGAATCTAGTATTCCCTGCTGGCGTCATAGGAAGATGAAATCACTTGATAGTCTCATTCATGATCTTCAGGTCCTTCTTACTCCACCTCTTTTTATTGTGATGATGACTTTACCACTCTCTCTAACTAGCTATATGCATATTAATTTTAAGAAAACTGCTATCCATTTGCAGCTACCTCTTGAACCAATATTTTAACCCACAGTATCAAATCATGTAATATCAAGTCATGTAACACCAAGTCATGTAATAACAAGTCATGTAAGCAAGAAATTAACAACTGTTCAAGAAATCAAGTGCTAATAAACCCGCTATAGCAGTTCTGTAGAAACCACACTAATAAGTAGTGTAAAGGGAATTTATGACAAGTTAATCATGGAATTATTATGACAATTTAAACAAGGATACAATTCATGTCAATCAAGTCATTTAGGGCCAAAAATTTAACTATGGGAAATTACATATGTCAAAGAGCAAATATGGTAAAGTTTATGACCAAATTGCAATTATGCAAAAGTTGGCCTAAACTCAATTATTATGGATAATATTATTTCTTAGGGAATTTCATGACACGGAAATTAGGGGTGATAATAAGGCCAGGGGCCCGTCAGGGGCCTTGGGCCTGGCCTCCATCTGCCCGGCCCGCCTTTGTAAGTTGTTGGGCTCAGATCTGTACTCATGTAAAAGCTCGATTAGTTAAAAGGCTTCAGGCTGTATATGAGAGGCTCGGCCTTAAAGCCTTCAAGGCCGGCCCGTTTACGTTAACCTTTTTTCCACCGTCCCTAACCCAGCAAACGCAGACCTAACATATTTGTCTCTATTTCGACCTTTCCTTGTTCGAGGCACTTTTCCTCAATGACCATGATTTGTGGTGATTGATGGCATTGTTAACATATTAGGATGGTTAATCCGCTTCAGGATAAAAATCTCATACATGAGACTCTCCTGCAACTTCTTGTTGAGGCGAAGCGTGGCGATCTCCTTTATCGCTACTTCGGTTCTGTGCACCTTGTGCCTACCGTGCCACACCACCGAGAACGACCCTGTGCCGATTTGCTTCCCGACGAAGTAGTCTTCGACCACCCTGCTCCTCCCCGTCTGCATCGCCATCGTCGAATTCGAAACCCTAGAAGTTGAAAAGAGAAAGAAGAAGAGGAATTCGAACCCGGAAAACCAGCTCTGAATACCCGACTCGTGAAAATGGATATTTAGGGAGATTCAGATGAAGGCCCCTTTTGATTTTGGAAATCTCTTTCTGTTTTTGATTGTTTGTTTTTTTGGTGAGGACTTTTTATTATTCAAGATGAACATTCCAGCGATGTAGAAAGATTAAACATGACCAAAAAAAAAGTAAGGTTGATGGTGGGGTTCAACCTAGAATGTGGACGAAAATGCTAGAAGGAAAAACAAGCGCAAAGTAAAGGTGGTGGTTGTTATTTTGAATTTTTAATATTAATATGTTTTTTTATTATAAAAGAAACAACTATTATTTTCTTACAAAAAATACATATCAGTGCTGATAGTGATAGTGCATGATTAATGGGTTAAATACTGCTCCAAATTGGAAGCTAAAGTTTTTATTTTTAATAAATAAACTAGGCCATAGGCTTAAGACAGACTTTTATTTTTTGTAAATAAATCAGGTCACAGACCAATATTATATTCGTAACAGGTAACAGGCCAAGGCCAGTCTGATACGTTTAAATATAGGCTTGGCTCGTTAAGATCAAAGCTCAGCTCAGCTCGGCCCGTTAACACCCCTAACAGAAATGATATTAGTTAAGTTGGATTAAGTGAAAAAACTTAGGTTTTAAATGAGTTAAACATAAGGATTTAATAGCATTTTTCGTAAGTTAAAGTCAAAGTCCACAAGTGACTTTATTTTAAAATACTTAAGTGACTTAAGTGTCACTATTCACTCATCTTCCTCCTTCATTCTCCAACCACCCCAAAATTGTGCCTCTCTTTCCCTCTCCTCTCCAAATTTTCATTTCTTCTTCACTCACTTTCAAGCCAAGCACTCAACATGAAACTTGTAGCCTAGGTCCTTGTGAACAAAACCCATAAGCCATTTCACCTTGAGAAGCTTGGAATCAAGAGATTTTCTCATCTTTCTCTTCATGGTATTATTCATGGCCGAACATAAATGATGATTTTTGGTTGATTCAAGGCTTGGAGATTGGTCTCTAGGAGGCTTAGGACTTGTTTCAAGTGAGAAACTCTATTTTGAATGGATGATTCTTTGAGTTTCAAGATTTAGGTTTCATGAACATTTTTTGACTTTTGGGGATGCACTTGAAGCATGAATAATTGATTATGTATTGATGAAATGTGTTCATGTATGATTTTAGTATGTATAAAAGCATGTAAATATTGTTGAAAGTTGAGAATTCTTCATGGATCACACTAGGTCATTTTCGACCATACCTTGATTAAGGGTTCAAGAAGTGTGTTTCATGACATGTTGATGATGGTTAATATACATAGGATTGTATAGTGTCAATTGAGGTATGAAATAGCAAATGAAAAGTTAGAAAATCATCATAAACCCTCTTTATGCATTTTCGGCCTTACGAAGGAAAAACAAGTGAAAAGTTGATTCAATTCAATTTCAATAATTGAGGATGATCCTTGAACATGATAAATAGGATTGAATCAATTGGTGGGTGAATATAAGTTTGAAAAATATGTTGAACCCCTTTAGGGTGTGATTTCGGCCTAGACATGAAGAATGTGTTGGAATCTTGTTTTAAATCATGATGGATAATGGTTGTTTGTCCTTAGGCATTGTAATGTTAAATGGACCAAGTATTGGCTTTTAAATGAAACTAAAGATCATGATGACCCCTAGGTACCTATTCGGCCAAGACATGGAAATTAGACCTAGGAGGTTTGTTAAATTCAAGTTGAGGTTGAAAGCAAATGTTAGGCATGTATCAAGTGATTTTAGAGTGTGAAAACCTAGCTTGGCCTAGAGTTCATGTAAATTAAGTAATATGTGAACTTAATCAAGAATTGTATGAAAAATCATGTATAATCGAGTAATTGGCTATGATTTATTTTGTGGCATGAATTGGCAAGGAAAAATGTAATATTAATAACCATGTGAATCACTATGTCCATTTTTGAGTTTTTATACAAATGTGTTGATTTCTTGCATTACAAGTAACATGTGTTTTGGTGGTTAATGGTGTTTTGATTTATGATATTAATGTTGAATCAAGGGACTTAACTTAGGAAGATCAAGTTCCAAATTAAGCAAGCATAAGAAGCGCTAGTTCTTGTTATTCAAGGATAGGGTGAGTTATGAAACCATAAGTTATTTGGTATTTTGAACATTAGGTCAACATATAATCATGTCAAGTATTCATGTTTCCTATATCCTAAGTGAAATAGGTGATTTCGGGATTACAAGGCGAGTGGAAAGTGGTGTGGATAGCTTTCTTGGTCTTCAAGCAAGTGTTCCCTTGGGAGCTTCAAAAGGTAAGCTCTTGGTTTAGGAGTCTTCTCCTACTTTGTTGTTCCACCAGGGGTCCATTGGAACTACGGTTTCACGTTACATGATTGATGAATATTAGATATTTGTATAGTTGCATTCATGCAAGATATATTCATGTCGTGATGTTATGTGATGTGATGTGTGGAATTAGGGTTCATGGCCAGTGAACGTATACATGTGTGTACCTTCTAACGAGATACATCCCTTGAGAGTGTATGGTTCGTAGGAACACCTCTCATGGACTATCATGTATGACTTCTTTACGGGATACATTCCCTATAAGTATTCGTTTGGACTTCTTTGCAGGATTCAATCCTTGGAAGTATGATCCTTAGGAACCAAGCCTTTGGATCACCATGTATGACCTCTTTGCGGAATACAGCCCCTAGAAGTATATGTTTAGACACTCTTTGCGGGATACAACCCCTGGAGGTCTTCAAGTATTCGTTGGACGCTCTTTGCAAGATTCAGCCCTTGAAAGTCTTTTGTATATCTTCCGTGAGGACTCATGTTCTCGAAAGTATTTATTTGAACTCTCTTTGCGGAATACATCCCTAGAGGTCTTTGGATATATTGTGAAATATATGATTTCTGCTATATCATGTCCTCTGACCTTTTATGCAGGAAGTGAATTCATGGGTGGAGAAACACTCCATAAACTCTGAGTTTACGATATTTTTATCTCATCCCGTTTAGGGATATGTTTCAAGGACTCCAATAGCAGGAGAGCCCTCTCAGGGCAAGAGGCACGTTCAGGGTGGCTAGAAGACTCAATTGGAGCATGCATGTAGTTTCTTTTTGGAAACTGAATACATATTTTTAGGCCATAATGTATGACCAATCACTGTTGTATATGGCCTGTTATTATTTTAATACATGATTAGACAATATGTATGTATATTCTGTCACTCGGACATGTACGCAATTACATGTTCAGTTATCAGCATGTATGATCATGTATGTATGTTGACAAGTCATGTGTATGATAAATGTAATGGCATAGAGCCATATTCAGTACATGTATGTTGGATTGGACTTTTCTGTATTTCAGGTGACAGGTTTACATGTGGGATTTTATCCTTAGATTAGTCCAATTTATAGTCGTTATGATGTCTGTTTGACTCTGTCTGAAATGGTACAAGTTATCATATCCAGATAGTCATCGACCATTGATTATGGTTACCAGGATTCAAGTGATGATTCTATACATGTATATGCAGTACAGTTCATAGAAATAATATAATTATTGTGTGCATGGCAATATGTAAGGATAAATAAAAAGGAAAAAGTTATCTCACAGAATTACCATGTGTTATAAACTTATAATGAGACTTTCATGAAGTCTTTCGCTAATTAATTAATATATGTTGCGCTTTATATACCATGTTGCATGTTAACAAATCGTGATTTTAAGACGGGGCGTTACAAACATCAGTGTAATTTTAAAGTGTGTACAACTAATATTGTCATGTGAAATGTAATGAGGGAATAAGTGGTAACTTATTTGAAGTCAGCACAGTTGAATAATGGAATTATAATTTATGCCATATACCATTCACTTGAAAGTACTGTCAATGATTGTTGAAAAGTTCTTTGAAGTCTAATGCATAGTGTTAGCATTTACGTTTAAGGACATGGAAAAATATTTTGTAAAATTTTTATAGGTCTTTTTAGGGGTTCATACTTATCCAATTTTATTAAAATCTTGAAACAAGCAAAAGCAAAGTGATTATGAAACAGAAGAGGATTTCGCCAACATTGCTTTTATAATCTAGTGAGCTGCAAACACTCAATTAGGAGAATAATGATGATGAATTAGAAGAAGAAGAGGGAGATAATATATTTTATTTACCCTTTATTGGGCATAATTTTTTTAATGTGTTGCCATGTTGATCATACGTGATACATTTAATCTTGAGTTCTGTCTTGCAGATTCCTCTAATAAAGGCTTGAAATTTCAACTTGATGTACATAGTATTTGAGGCTTCCTTAGATAGGTAACCATTAACTTCATTGCTTGATTTTAAGTTCGTATGTTAATTCATGGATCTTTCTGCATTTGTGTTGTCTATTTTCTGAAGGCTGTTGTATATGTTCTATTAAATCTTAGCCTTTTGCCCTTTCTGTGGTAAAACTATTTCTTTTGATCGAAAGGTTACGAGTTTGAATTTGGGAAACATCTTCTTTACAAATATATAAAGGCAAGACTGTCTATAAGGATTGTCCTCATTGTTTCCCCTTGTTGGTAAGGTTTAACGGAGAGTATTTTTTTTTTTACCTAGCTAAAAATAGATTTTCAGTGAAAAATCAATTTTGACAACCTTCTAATCTCTGGTATATTGAAATTTAAACTCCTCCCACACATAAAAAAACAATTTGGAGAACATTCACTGATTTATGAGAAGGACACCTGCAGGAAGAGGCAAAACACCAAGAATTGGAGGACAAGGTTGCTTCCATGGCGGTGACAATGAGGCAAAGAATGTTGGAGAATGAAAAGGAAAACATAGAGAAGAAACCCTTCATGGACATACAAAGTGAGACCAAGAGATTCAAGCAGGATGTTTTCAAGAGAAGGCACAAAGCTAGAGCTATTGAAATACAGAGTTCTGAAGTTTCCAGCACTTAGTAACTTCAAAGAGTCAAAGACCAACAAAATCCAGAGTTTGCTAGTTGTAAATTAGACACGGAAACCTTTACACCATTGGTCATTTTGGCCTTTATAAATTTACTTTGACTTATATTATATGTGGATTGCAATATACTACTCAAGGGAATCATCTATAGTTAGAGCTCAATTTTCTTGTTTTCTTTTCCTTTTTCTCTGCATCAATTTCTAAAGTCCCATGCATAAAATATGATGTATTTCCCATATATATAAAGGGTAATATTACTCTCATGTAACATGAGAGTAGTTCTCTCATGTTACAGAGAGAATCCAAATATGGCCCGCTATTTAAAAGCAAAAAAGAAAAAGAAAAAAAAAGGGACACGATTTTCGAAGTGAGAGAAAAGGAGATAACTACCTCATCTAAAATGAGAGTAGTATTTTCCATATATATAAAATAGAATATTTCTAATAAATTATATAATAAAATACGTATTCATTTTTTAGTAATTTTTTTTTTTGTTATTCAAATTTATCAAATTTTATTACATACATAATGATTTGATTTATATGAATTTTATTTAATTACAAATGATCTTATTTTATTTGAAGTGTTCAAAATTGTTTGTTTCTCTTATTTGCATCTATTAAAATTGGGATTATCATTTCTGCTTTAGGAGTAGATTTTTTTTTTCTGCCACTAAAGAAATGAGAGAGAAAATAATGATGGGTCATTCCTTTTTATATCTCAGTAGTAGGAAAAATGATAATCCCATTAAAATTTGTTTCAAGCTAAATCCTGATATGATATCACCACCAAACTAGCGACATTAAATTTAATTGGGGCTGGGGAAAAACTGGGATTATAATAAATTTACGAGTTGTATATTTGAAATTTGGGTTAATGGAACTGCAATAGGTTGGAAATGGTTTTGATTATGCCTCTTTAAGTTTCATTTTGTGTGGATTGGATGGGAACAAATAACAATACTTAGAGGGTTTATCATGCGCCTTTAATACCTCCTAAGAAAAAGAGAGTTGATGAGTAGGATTTTTTGCGGTCTGATTCAGATCAAGTGCGTTGTTATTTAATATATTTAATATTGAAAAATAGTAAGGAGACGCAATTTATTTAAGATTTGAGTGGGTTGTTGGTACTAATTATCCATTGAGTAATATTACACAGTTAATGTTTTGTTTTTAATATTATAAAATAAGATATTAAAATTACAATATTCGATAAGATAAAATATTTCAGAACTTTGTTTTCAATTTCAGATATTATTTACATTTCAATTATAATTTAATATTTTTTATTAAGGACAATGTTAATATGTGTAGCCTATATTTTACGTAATGAGATTGTGCAAGCTGTTCAAGCATCCTGCAAGTACAAATGGAGTGGAGTTCAAAGTTCAAACATCAAAAGGAGCCAAAGTTTAGTATGTTTTTTTTTTTTTTTGATACATACTATGGTGTTAATTCCAAGGATTGATGAGTGCCTGAAAAGAATTGGTATTGTCCATGCTCACTATTCCCGTAAAGACTATGTAAATGCAACCAAAGCTTGTAGTATTGTGCATCCTGCTAAAGAAAAATAAATGGTTTTAATTGTAACATTATCAGCCAGAATGTAAATTATGTAAGGGGAAATCACTTCTGCAGAAGTGATTTCCTTCTGCCATACACTCATCTACATTTTTTTTTTCTTTTTTTGTTTTATTTTTTAAAAATGGTGGAGCCACCATGTTTTTGTACTAGCTGCAAATTCTCAAATTTTGCAGTGAAAGGAGCGTTGCAAAACCCATTATGTAATGACAGAGATACTTTGTTTGTCACAAATACATTTTTATCAAGATCTATTGGTGAATTCTTATTTTATTTTTTAGAAAAAAACACGAGAATCGGTCGACCACAACTATAGAAAAAATGGAACCCTTTCTTTTTTGACCATTTTATGTTTTATCATTTTTCTTTGACAACACTCTTACATATTTCTTATACCCTTTGCGCGTACATACATAAACAGGTTCGCGGTTTGGAAGATCGATCAAAGTGTCACGCTTTGAAAAATATTTACCCAAATACTACGTAAGTAGTACTTTTTATCAGACTGTCACGTGATGTAATTTGCTACGACTGATATTCGTGAATGATTTTGTGACACGTGGCATATTTTCACATAAAAAAGCTAACTGAACATAATTCGCTACTAGTGGTAGCGAATTTGGTATGTAATGTGATCACGTGTCACGAAATCATTGGCAAACGTAATTGACTACCAGTCGTAACGAATTACATCGCGTGACAGTCTGATAAAAAATACTGTTTGCATGGTATTTAAATAAAAGATTTGTCAAACAATAACACTTTGAACACTGTTTCTCGTGGTTTGCCACCTGGCAGGGGCAGGGAGAAAGTATGAGGTATTATAAGAGTGATACTTTCAACAACTGGGATTAATTTAAAATTTATTGTACAGTATTTTAATATTAATTCAACAGCAAGCGTAGTATGCACTCGGCATAAACGGGGATTAAAATATCTGTTGTAACTTCAGATAAATATATCTGCTGTGCACTTAAACTACATCGTTTTTGGTTTTTTTTTTAATTAAAACGAATTACATTTCGTACTTCCCTCTTCGTTCACCTTCTCTGTTTCATCTCGAGGCGGTTGGCCACCGGTGGCTGCTCTCCAATGATGAAGCCACAACGGCGTTTCGTGAAACTCTGCCTAGGCTCTCCGCCGCCCCCGCTATCTCACTCGAACAAGAACAATCCTGGTGGTCGAGCATTTGCTTTCCCTATGCCAAATTGGACCCTCCTGTCTCCATCGCACCAAATGCAGTTTTCTACTCCAGTTGGAAATTCTAGAGCTGAGGTCGACCACAATTCAGCTGCAACATCTGAGGTACAAGCTGGTGGCAACTCTAATTATTTGATTCTCTAATTGAAGCCTAGAAATCCTTGTGTGTCCAGTGAGGCAGAGAACAATGATACTGAGTTGGGTTTTTAATGGGACGTTTTGATATGTAATTCGTTTTAATTAAAAAAAAATAAAAAACTGTGTAGTTTAAGTGCACAGCAGATATATTTATCTGAAGTTACAGCAGATACTTTAATCCCTATGTTTTTCTATTGGACTCTCAAATTACATAAGAAAACTTCTCGTAAACTACTTTTCTTCTCCTTCTTTTAAATAAATCATGACAGTTACATGTAATTGAATATTTTAAAATTTTAAGATATTGTTTCTATTGCGTGAACAATTAATATACCGAAGATGATCTTTTGGTCGTAATTCTTAACCACAGTCAAAATTCAACGTTTTTATATCATGTAAAATAAAGGGCCATTATGGACAGTATGCAACTGATTCTATGATATTTACACAATATTTTTATGTTCATTATAATTCGCAACTATAACAATCTCACCAGAAATTATCATATAAATTCCAGGGTCTTAACTAAGGCAGTAAACAAATGTTTGCATTATTTTATTGGCAAAAAAATTAAAATAATGTTTTTTAATTAAATAATTACGTATTTATTGTAATTTTAGGAAAAATTACGGATCTATTGCACACTGTGACGCCTCTTTGAGGCGTCTCACCCTAAGGGGAAGACGCCCAAATGGAGCGTCTCTCATGAGGTATTGACACGTGTCACTTTTTTTTCAAAAAAAAAATTAATTTAATCATAAAACTTTTAAAGGCCATAACTTTTGATTCGAGTATTTAAATCAGGTAATTCTTTTTTTGATTCCACATAACTTTTCGAGATCTACGCAATGATATATCATTTGACATATTTTATTTCTCACAAACACAATTTTAATTTGCAAGAATGGTATTATAAGAGCGGTTAAACCCAGAAGCCTCTAAGTTCTGGATTTGTGATTTAATATAAAAAATAAATAAAATTTTGATTTGTGATTTAAATTTTTTTATAATAATTTTTTTTATTATAACAAAAATTTGGTTTGTGATTTAAATTCAAAATAAAAATAAAAAATATTATTAATAAGGAAAACAAAATAAAGATTTGATTTGTGACTCAAACTAAAAAATCAATTTGAAAAATCTGTAGAAATAAAGGAAATAATTAAATAAATATTCTAAATTTCTAAGGAAGAAGGATATTATTTTTAAAATTAATGATTAATGCTATAAGCTTCTGGGTTATTATTTGTGGTCTGAAATTAATGATGGCTTATGAATGTTTTTCAAAAATAAAATTACCTAAATTAGGCGTGATTGTCTCTTGATTGAAATCCAATTTAGACGTGATTGGTGATGTGTTAGGTTTTGACACTTGTTGACACATGTCACATTTTTAAACTCAGAAGCCTCTGAGTTCTGCGTTTGTGATTTAATACAAAAAATAAATCAAGATTTGATTTGAGATTTAATTTAAAAAAATAAATTTTTTTATTTTTATTATAAAAACTTTGGTTTGTGATTTAAATTAAAAGTAACAATTATTATTAATAAGGAAAACAAAATAAAGATTTGATTTGTGATTTAAACTCAAAAATCAATTTGAAAAATCTGTATTAATAAAGGAAATAATTAAATAAATATTCTAAATATTTAAGGAAGAAAGATTACCTGATTTAAATTTAAATTATGTTGGTAAGAAATAAAATATATCAAATGAGACGCATTGTGTAGATCTCGAAAAATTATATGGAATCAAAAAAAGAATTACCTGATTTGGATACTCGAGTCAACAGTTATGGCCTTTAGAAGTTTTAGGATTAAATTAATGTTTTTTGGAGAAAAAAGTGACACGTGTTACCACCTCATAAGAGACGCCTCATTTGGGCGTCTTCCCCTTAGGGTGAGACGCCTCAATGGAGCGTCACATGTGACGCCTCATAGAAGCGTCACAGTGTGCAATAGATCCGTAATTTTTCCCAAAATTACAATAAATGCATAATTATTTAATTAAAAAACATTATTTTAATTTTTTTGCCTTATTTTATTTGAAGAAACTATGTGCGCTTTCTCTAAAATTTGATGAACGTAAGCTTTATCTAAGTTACTATTTTGCAGTTCTGTTTCGACTACTTTACCAACAATTTGCTTTATTCAAGTTAATATTAAATTAATCTCAATCAAAATTGGTAATATTTTATTTTCATAAGTAATAATTTGACCCCATTGGTCTGAAAGGTAGCTAATGTTCAGACAGTAGAATCCAATTTGCCCTCTCCTTTGACAAGAGAAAGTAATTAAAATTGAATCAATTTGAATTACGCGACAGGGAAGGATTCGTTTACAATTTTTTTTTACAAATACATTATGTTCTTCCGAGAGAACATAGTGTAACCAGTGTTCTCTCGGAAGAACATAACGTAATTTGTAAGAGTTTGTAAATAAAAAAGTTTTCAAATATAACCTTTTCCTTATCCAATTTATATAAAGTGGCAAAACTTTTGACTAATTGTGTTCCAGTTCACCACTCAACTAATTACATAGTGGCTAATCCATTTTGAAAGACGCGTCTTACCTACATTCACTTTATGAAAGTGCAAATATGGACAGATAATCATATACTTTTAATTGCACGCAAATGCAGCAGAGTAATTTGACTCTTTCTACATGGCTTCTAGAGACACACTTATACTCCAAGTTATTGGATGATTCACACAAACTTTACATACATATTAGGAAGAATCACAAAATTTAGAAGACTGAACGAACTTCAATGACTTAGCCATCGTTTTCATTGATGCTATCAGCTACCATGGACCATACGGCAACAAAAGTCTACAAGCTAGCTTTTCACACTATAATGTGAACCAAGTCTTGTGCCACGCATATAATGAGATATCACCCTCTTTTGCGATCAAAAAACAGGTGACAAGTGAAGCTATGGCGTTTGCTTTGCATAACTATGTTCTTGCTATTTTGCTTTTGGCCATAATCCCATTTGAGTGCACCTATGGCTCCCATCACCATCACCACCAACACCAACACCTCAAATCCCTTCACTTCTCGTTGTTTCAACATGAAACCATAAACAAAACAGGATATATTATAGTGAATGGTGTGGAAGGAGGGACAGGAATCACTGAAACCACAACCCCTTTTGGTACCATTTTTGTCTTTCAAGACCCTTTGACTGTCACAGCCAACAGATCCTCAAAACTAGTTGGAATTGCTGAAGGAACTTCCATCACCTCTAGCATGGATGGGCTTCTCAGCATTTCAATAGCCAAGCTAACTCTGCGTCTAAAGCATCACAAGGGGTCCGTTTCCATTGTTGGAGGCACAAATAATATCAAGGCTTCAGATCATCCAGTAGTAGGAGGCACTGAAGATTTCTTGTTTGTGCAAGGCTATGTTACCTCTTCTCCAGTTGATCTAAAGGGTCTTACAGTTGTTTACAAAATTGAATTTCATCTTTACTGGCCTCCATATGCAACTCATGCCTCTTAAAAGGGCACTGGCATGCACCATCAAAAAATACCCCAGTTGCAATGCATCACATCTTTTTTCTTTTCTTTTTATTTTCTTACATTATGCCACATTGCTTCAGTGTGAATTGAATTTCTTGCTAGTCAGTAACTTGTATGTTGGTAAGGTATCATTTGCTTGTCTACTGGTGCCATCTTAGTACTTTTTTTTTATTTTTTATTTTAGTATTAATTAGAACTCTGTTTGTTCTTAGTTGAAAACTCATGTATTACAAAGCTTCCTGGGAGCAGTTTCTGAATAAACATGACTTAGTATCAAATAGTTTTGGCAGAAAGAAGGATGAGAACTACACTGTAGCAGTGTGGGCAAAGGCCGAGATAAATATGATCATTCTCAAAATTGTTAATGAGACAAGAAAGCAGACTATTAGGTTCAAATTAAAAGCAATGTATTCACACTCACGAGCAACCTAAATTTTCAATGAAAGATGGAATCTTGACGAAAGAATGTGGTGCCAAGCTTGACCCTTTTTACCATTCGTACAAATTTTATTTGTTTCAAGAGCTTAACTAAGCCAGTAAACAACAGTTTGCTTGATTTTAGTTTTTGGCCATCATGATTTATTTGCGGTAATAGTATGTCTTCTCTAAAGTTTGACAAACTTACATAAGCTTCTTCTTTTTCAATTTAATTATTTTATGGATAGAGGGGGTCAAAACAAATCCAGAAGACAAGCAACAAGGAAAGATGACACCTGATCCTAATGGAAGAAAGTGGTGTCACGCTTGATCCTTTGACCATCCTTTGTGAGAGAGCCAGAGCATTTTGTGAGCCGCTTTTTAAATCAAGTATATTCCAAGTATATTTTCTAGCAATAGTTAAGGTAGTGAAAATATCGCCTTATTTCAAGTTCAGGATGTTATGCTACATGCGAATCATCAACATAACTCAACTCAACACCGTTTTTGCGGAAAAATTTACAAAATTTGAAGAAGAAAAATTGTTTAAACTTAGAGGTGGTTTTTTTTTTTTTTACCACACATTGTAGAGTAGTGATATTATTTAACATTTTCATCTTTAAGTATTTTATGGTAAGTGAAATAGAATGAAATAATACTCCATGTCATTATTTGAATATTTAATGATGAAATATATTTTTCCTATTTTATTATTTGAAACTTTTAGTTGGAGTGAATGAAATAAAAATACTTATATTTATTATTTCTAAAATGCCCTTATTGTCGCATCAAATATGCAGTAACCTGATTTCTGAAATCATAATTTAAAATCATTGCAGGAATCTTGAATTTGCTTAAAAGCATACAAAATAATATGCTTCCATCTTAAACACCGCACAAATAAAAATCAAATATACAAAGAGGGGACAATGCGCAAGAAACACCGATAAAGCAGCAATCACTCAGATGGGACATGATTGGACTATATGGAAGCTACAACGACCACAAATTTAGTAAGAAAGAATAAATATAATAAGCATCATGAGGGTGCCTCGTGTGGTGATAGAGTTCGTTAAAGTGATCCAGATGTAGAACTAAAGGCCCTGCCAGTGACTCCTGTTGCAGAAGCTGGACACTTCACTGAAAAATTTTAATTGCTAAAAGTGATTTGGATGAAGTTAACCCCGCGGCTTGTGTAGGCGAGGTCTGTTGCAGAAAACCCGACCGTTGGCCCTCACAAATGCTGCTATACCAACACTAATGCTTGCCCACATTAGCGAAAAGAAGAAGTGCCGAAAATCATATCGAACTGTTGAAACAATGAATAAAAGATTAATGCTTAAAAGCCATAAATTCCACACCATACGTGACATAGTTCATTAATCTAGCACTTGTAGAGAGTCATTGGCCTAACCGTATACAAGCAAAGTCTCCGTATATATCCAGTTAACCAAGACCATAGAAAAACTTCCTTAGATGCTGATCGAACTTTATAACAACTTAATAATTTAATGAGTACAGGCATACGTCTTTATATAACTGTGCAAACATGCCTGGAAAGAGGTAAAGGGCAGAAATTCTCAAAAAAATTCCCGTCACATTTTTGCTTTAAATATCTATAAACCCTGGGCAATCCAAGTAGGCAAAAAGACATCCCACCACTTTAAATTGCTTCTGACCACTTTGAATTGCTTCTGATTAAGCCCACTGGTTTATTTGAAAGATTTATACCTACCTAAACAAAGACATGTTTAACCTTCATAATATAATGGAAAGTAACGAAGAAGTCTAAAGTCTGAATTTTATTTCTGATGCCTCCGTCTGGTTGGAGTACGAAGAAGTAAAATGAGAGGGTTGATGGAAATAGGAAGCACGAATAAATGACTCCTCAATTTTATTGGTGGAACAGGAACATAAGGACGGGAAAAATGGGAACTACGTTGCCTCATGGTCTGCAATTTCAATCTTAATAACAATGAGAAAATGAAGGGAAGAAAAGAAAGATTTAACTACTACTGTTTTTCATGGGTCCACCAATAGATCACCTCCTCTTTGAATTTTCTAATCATTTCATAGTCTTCCCTTTGCTGTCCTTTATTTACCCCTTCCCCCATCCAAAAATATAAAACCTCCCCTTGCAAAAAAACCTAGGGGTAAATCACAATCCTGATTCATTAGAGGTTTGCATCTGGGTTGTATGGACTCGTGCCAAACATATACTAAGTGCCCTGTCCCTGAACACATTTGTTAAGTGACTATAATATACTCTACAGCAGTCATACCCCTCCTCTATATGAGAAAAGATCTATTTAATCCTCGTTAAGCCCCTTACGATCACGGCATATTGTTCTTTGACATTCTCGGGGAATCATGGTATATACTCAGTTTCTGCCCCAAACCGATTTGGAAAGATTTGTTTGACAGATCATGTTTGGTGGGACCCAAACCTGAATATATCAAACAGTTGTCACTTACTCTTGGTCCAATGTATAAACGATTTGATAAGTCACTTCCACCTAGGAATATAATCCCTATATCACAGTAGCTTTGTCAAGCATCCCTTGCTCTTAAATGATGTGAAACATTGTGGTAGTCTAAATTGATGGAGCACAGATAAAGGATAAACGGAAAGTGAAATAGGTTTTATCTTAAAGGGAAGGAGTATGAAATAGAAAAATTCATATGTAGTTATTAATTAGGATTATGGTCTATAATTAAAACAGGATAATGGATGTCAAGTGAAGGTTTTCCATTCTCGCTGCATTAACTAATAAGATTAAATTAGCTAGCCTATTCAAGATTCCAGAGTGTACCTCAGTTCTCAGCTTTGTGGTATTCCCTCCTATCCCTCTTTTCTCTCCCCCTTATTCTAAATCTCTCTAGACTTCCCCCTTATTCTCTATTTTCCCAGATTCTCTTCTCCCTTCTCTCCATTCTCTCTGCCTAATGTTGTTACTGCTCCAACTATAAAAAAGGTGAGACTGGGTTTGAAACGACAGGCCTCTAAAAGTAGTAGGTAGATTATATTCTTATATTATACGAACACACTTGTGTGTGCGTGCACGTGCCCATGTGAATGACAAATTAATCCTTAGTTTAGCCTTCAAGGTACTTGGTATCCTTTAAGCTTAACAAACAAAAGTCAACTCACCTTGCCTCAAGGACATGGTTGCAAAAAGGAATCCAGTCAAAACCAGACCCAAAGCCAGAGGAAATGACTGCAAAGATAAATGAAGTAATATTAATATCAATTTACATTAAATGCAGATGACTTTCTTAAGCATTCTATTAATGAACTACACACCAGTAAAACATGAATACAAAAAAATCACATTAAATCTTCAACACAGGAGGCAATGCTTTGATGTATTTTCTGGCAACATACTGACTTATACATTTCCTTGATCGCATAAATCTGGTTGCTCATTTGAATAACAAAGGCAGTTTTTTTAGTTCTCAGTAAATAAAGCATGAACCACTTGGTTTCATTGTGGCCCATTGTAACCCATCACTTTTATGTAGGGCTAGGATCAACATTTTGTAAACCTTGGAAGGAAAAATGTCTCGCAAAGCACTAAACAAAAAACGAAAAAATAAATAAGTACATATTTATCTTTTTTCTTGAGACATGGGTCAAGGGGAACCTTGGCACAACGGTTGGTGTTGTTGCCATGCAACCCAAAGGTCCCAGGTTTGATTCATGTAATCAGCCTCTTGCAAATGTAAGGCAAAGCTGCCTACTATAAACACACATAATGGGTCCAAGCCTTCTGTGGACCCTACGCATAGCGCGAGCTTTATAACACCACGTTGCCCTTTTTTATGAGACAGGCCGTATCCACAAAAAACAGATTTCAATTATTTAAAATATATTTGTAAATTGTGAGCTTTCTAAAATCTATTCTTCAACCGAAATCGTTGCCTCAAACTTCATTATGGTAAAGGCTTCCATGTAAATTGTACTCACAGCTATAGCTTCAAGGCCTCCTTTCTGAGAAGCAGCAGCAGTATCTCGGCTGACAGAAACTATATAATGTCCTTGCAGAAGATCAATTGCATCCTTCATATAATCAAAACATCACAAACAGCTTAAATCAGTTACAAATAACCTAATAAATTCTTTAAATTTACAAACTTAAAAAAGATAATAGACCCAGAAAAGCTTAAATCATAGTTTAACTTGAGATCTGTTCAGCCGAGGTAAAAGACATTGAATAAATTATCCTAAGAATATGGTCCACGGTAAGATATGTACATGAAAAATCAGTATCTCCTACAGCATAATTACTATATAGAGCAGCATACACTCCATCATGAGTTATGACCACATACTAGACACTTAGGGGGTGTTTGGTTCAAGTGAAATTTTTTTTTACTAGGGAAATGTAATTACTAGGGATCTGCAGGGAAAGTGAGTTAGATAGGAAAGTTTTAAAAAAGTTGTTTGGTTGGACAAAATTTTACCAGAAAAATTGAGTAAAATTCTTGGATGTGTGTTTGGTTGAAAATAAAATATTGATGGGGAAAATTATTGAAATTAAAAAATTATCCTTTTAAAAATAACACTTTACAATCCAAAGTCGGGTAATATTGTCACCGTTTTGTAACACATTATTAACTTATCCGGTTTTGATTTGAAATACCACCTTCCAAGTTGCATCCAGGAACAGTGCTTTGTCGATTTTTTAACATGCAATTCAAGAAAGCTAGGCAACTGGCATTCATGGGTAAAAATCATGAGATCCGTGAACCAAACGTGGAGATCAGTTAAAGCCGGAATCACTTCGCCAGGAAAATTTTCAAAACTCCTCAAGGAAACACCCCCCTAAGGAATTCTACATTATAGCGAGAGTATCCATACAAATAATGAGAAATGAGCTCCACAAACCTGCTTTGTTCCATCACAAAAATTATTCAAATAATATCGTAGAAGAGCATTCACACCATCTTTTATTATCCCTTGAATTGTGCGGTGCCCACATCTGAATCCCACCAAAAAATTTAATTAAAGAAGGCACGAAGGTTAAATTCTAAATCATTATAGCAGCATATTTGAAACTTCAGAGATGTTGAATCTCATCAGAAAGTCACGCAGTGAAGTTATTCAACCTTAAGGTACAAAACAATTGCATAATTTCATTATAATTTTTTTGCTACTGCCAAGTTTTGTGATTCTAATTGAATATAACAGTTGCTGTAATTAAAGCAGGCAATAGACAAAAGAGCAACAGACTAACCTGGAAAAATCAAAATGCATAAAAATTTCACAATTCCCAGGTTCCTACTATGGTAAAATGAGAAACCATGAAGCAATAGATTAAATTCCAACCCTAATACTACTTTCAAGAGTCATACACTACTGGTTTGGACAATACAATTAGAGCCAGCATAGAAAATGAGCCATTCCAACGATGGCTTAAAATTATTCCAGGCCATTGTAATTTCAAAATAGAAAAAACCTTTATGAATTTCTTCATATACTTTATATGAGAGGAAGATGAAAAGCTTTGGAAAGATTCAAGGGAAAATACCTGACAAAGTCTCCTTTTAGAGCAGGAGTTCCAGAATATTGAACACTTATATCATCCCCATGATTAGCCCACACTGGTCATAGAGAATCAGTTAGAAATAGAATCTTGGTTTCAAGTGCTATGAAACAATGAATATTTGAATGTATCAAATGAAGATAACTTCATAATAAAGCAATATATATATATATATATAGGCTTAGGATCATTTTACATCAGTCTAAATTACACTCTCAATCTTGGCCATTGATCTCACACCTATCTAACGGCTCTAATTTTTTAGTTATGTGAGTGATTGGATACAAGTGGATTAATGGTCAAGAATGAGTGTAAAACTTCTTATTCTTATACCAATATAAAAATAACATGCCCCATTTATATATTTCAACGCAAATAATGTGAAAATTAATAATACACTTACAGATCTTAAAGTTTTCATCTAGATTTGGATGAGAACTAATGGTTTCTTCAGCACCAAAGACACCGAGTCTTCTGAGCTGGTATTCCAACATATTTCGGCCAATCATGCTCTGCAATTTTAACACTATTAAGCAGGAGCATGATGTCACAAACACAGAGAGGGACACAAAATATAGCTACGCAAAAAAAATTATGGTTATTACAGTTGTGGATGTGTACTTGTATACGTACATATGTCCAATGTGGAGAGCTCTTTTATTATTTTCCAAGCATTAAGTCCAGCATAGATAATGACAGAAGAATGGAGTGTTTTTGTAGAGGGGGAAAAAAAGAAATATTTACTATTCATCTGGTAAGGCACAGAACACTTGCCATGATAGAAATCAACTAACCTGAGTTACATTTGTACGGTCTAGACAATCAATACAATTGGTCCTAACAACTCCAAGTTGCTCCTTCATTTTCTCTCCCTTTTCATTCAACAGAAGATATCTAAGATTCCAACAGAGAATAGCATCTCGAGTCAATTTTTTTGAAAAAGAAAAAATGCTTTGGTTAGAATTGTACAAAATTTTATTAGAAAACAGTATTACATAGTTAAGGCCATTTTCAAGGAAAAATAGCTTCATATATTTGTTTCAGCCCATGACATTATGCTTGAAAATTTTCCAAGATAGTGTAGCAGATAGTTCCAAATTACGCAACATAACAAACATAGTATCATTAATTGTTGGAATTTGTTGAAAGATTAGCAGTTCATATAGCACCCTGCTTGGATGAATCCCATCAATGTAGTAACAATAGCATCATCTTCGTCCCAAACTAGTTGGGACCGGCAAAATTCAATGCAAGTGTGAATCAAATTAGTAACTAAATTCTTAAGAAAGCTCATATCTAATAGCTTAACCGATAAAAAATTCCATACCCATTTCTCTCAAGAAAATCTGAAATTTGATCATAAAGGATTGAGAGACGATCGAAATGAATGTGCCCACAGACATGATGAAAATCAAAGTGCAGATATCTACAGAAAAATAAATAAGTAGCATGGTTAACCAAAAAGAAGCCAAAAGAATGTACGTTTGTCAATTTAAAAGTTAGCTGAAAGAGACTTCTACCTTACTTCATCACTAGCCACATGCTGCATTGTACTTCCAAATTTTTCACACAGCCGCCCTTCTCCTCCATGCTGATAAAATACCAAGAATAAAAAAGATGACTCAAATATATTCATGCCGATATATACCAACTCCGTACACATTACCACACATTCTCAGGAACATTTACAGCACATATCCATTGTATTTTGGTTGGTACATATAGATTGCATGCATTCTTTACAGTTGTCTACAAAATTTACTATGCAATTACATACACTAGTATCATTGGGTAACATTGTCAATCATCATATAAGCATTCTCAGTTTGTTATGCAATGAAAGAATATTCACCTTGTTAACAAGATCAACAGCCAATACTGCTCCATATTTTTTTCTTAAATCTAAAATATGCCTCTCTAGGACTCTTGGCTGCATCTTAAGCAAAGAAATGGCAGTGAGATACACAGAGAACAATATATGTAAACCCAGAAATACAACAATCAACAAGCACTTACAGATTCCTCAAGTTTCAATAACTCAAACTTTGGTTTATATGTTAAGTCGACAATTTGCTGCCAGAGCAGTGGTATCGAACCACGAACCTGTAAAAGCTCAACCAAGATGGCTCCTAAGCGATATGAAATGAAATACATGTTTAATTGACACAATATTGGTGCTAAAAATACAATTATAGTTCATCCACAAAACTGAAAGCAAGCATTCTAGCTCCCCCTTGTTCTGGCTTTATCAAACAATCACATGTTTCCAGATCATACAATGGCATGAAACACCAATTTTCACTATAAACTAAGAGAGTAGCAGTGGTCTCCACGAGAATCCCGGTAATAGTATTTTACATTCGACTATCACAATTGCTACATTCAAATAAGTGTCCAGTTCAGCTAGTTAGATATCAATTGTTTATTAGTTATGCTGCTGTTAAGCTGCCTATAACTGCAAAAGGTTATGTTCAACATATTTCAAAACAATGACAATTCCTTAGGATTAGGACAACAACTCTGAATCAAGTTGTCAGAACCTTCCAATCTTGTACGGAAATCCCACCATATAATTGTTTCATGATGATAGAAAGCAATACCTGAACAAATGAAGCGGTATAACCATTAAACTGCATTATTTGCTCTGTTTCCACAAAATTCGCGACATACCCGTCAGGATCAGCTCCTCTTCTCCACATCCGAGTTCCTTTCAAGAAATGAAATTGTATTTGTATTATCAGCCAACCAATCAATAAAAGATGATGATAGCCTTCTTTAAGCAGCCACAAATGACAACCCCAAGTTTCCTCATACAAAAACTTTTTAGATTGTAGTCTATAGAGATAGTTATAAATATCAGATATAATAAATCAAACTATTAACATAAAAACAAACACACAAAAATTATGCATGTTGTGATATATTTTCCAACAGTGTTTTCCTCTGCCCAAGCTGTGTAGTTCTTCATAAATAAAACGATGGAAGATAAATGGGCACAATAAAGTTAAAGTATTGCTGTTTATTTCCTAAAAAGGATAATTATAGATGCAGCAGCCAGTTACACCTAGAACAAAATGCCTTTTGTTTCTCCTCCTCAATAATTGCTATTAATTATTTTTTTATTGGTTCATCCAAGGCATGAGGCCTGTTTAATCACCAATATTAAGTTCAACTAGTTGAGATACATTATTTACTCTCCATTGCTTATAATTGTTTGTTACCCACTAAAACACACCTTTCACACCTCAAATTAATCTAGTTCAGTTATACAAGGGCACCTTTCCATCATCTTTTCCTCTATTGTCAAATACCAAAATAGTCATCAATCTCTTAGGTGTCCTAGCCTAAACCATTAGTAAATAAAGCAAATATTATTTCTTTTCTAACGTCCAATTTTACCATTAAGTGCAACATAGATCAGCATACGCTCCTCAAAGACAACTATAAAGTAGTGCAAACAAATCTAGCAATCTTCCATGATTGCTTTCATCATCATCACCAAATTAACCACTGCATTAATTTCATGGCCTATAAGATATTGATTCTTACATATACACATTTTTGTGATGGATGGAAATAAATAGAAATTTATCCAAAAGCTTTAAATACCATTTCTTCTTGTGCATCTCCTGGCAATCAAAGTGATGTCAATAATATCTTTCCCAATGGCTGCTTGAAAGTGATGAAAGCCTAAGTATTTGTTAAGGATAGCCTTCAAAAGAAATGGTTACGTGATCACACAATAACTGTGCAAATAGTTAAATGAACCAAAAAAAAAAAATTGTGTATAACAACCATAAAATGATGATATAACATAGAGATAATCAGATAAGGATACTGCCTTGGACTACAGGGAGTAAGTATGGGTCAAGCTGGCAAGCACAAGATCACACACTTATTAGTTAGTAATATAAAAATACCAAGTATTGAAGAAATCGAACAGGCAAAAAAAATTGCCACAAACCTACCTTGTTATCTATGAGCACTTCTAACATATAATTGTTCCATAAAAATCGAGGCTCTGCCTGTGATCAAGCAATTGGTATCATAAGCAGAATTAATAGGGGAAACCAAAAACTGCAGAATGAATCAATTCAGAGTGGTGGACATTGTTTGTATAGACATCAGGAGTATCACACTATCACTCAGGAATAATATTAAGAACAAACTAATTTTTTTTTTCCTAGCATGGCATCAGCACTCAATATATATATAGGGCAGGATCCTTTGACACTGGTGTCAAATTTAAAATTTGACATCAAATCCTATTCGTTGATTTCCGCTAATCAATGGTTATCATTTTTGGGAATCAATAGTAATTAATAAGTTTGATTCCCAATAAATAATAACCTTTGATTGGCGGAAATCAAAGGTTAGGATTTGGAGTCAAATTGCAAAATTTGACGCTGGTGTCAAAGAATTCTATCCCTATATATATATATATATATATATATATATAGCAGGATTGTGGTAAAACAAAAGGCAATACATACCTGTCTCCAAAGAGGAAGCAATCTAGACTCATCACCCAGGTCATTCAATCGCTGTGCGCTGCAGAACAAAACATTAGCATTGTATCAATAGATACAATTTCACATTTTATTTTGAGTCTCAATATCTATCTATCTATCCCTACACACACACACACACATATATATATATATTGTTTTAATCTTATATTATTAGAAAAGTTTCCAAAATAATTTTCATTAGGAGTAGTAAGGAAACATGAAGAATTATTTATATAATATCAAAATGACTTAAATCTCCCAATTTATTAGCAGCCCCAATTTGTTAATGGCTATTTTCTAGAAAAGGTTTTGTCAGAATTCAGCACTCATTAGTCCCCGATTGTCAAACTCAACAGATCAGTTAAGCAATCATAATCCTCATTACAAAAATGTCATTTACATAAAGGAGTTGTATATGTGTGGCAGAAGCATACTTATTAATCTCAGATAGCGGCGCGTAGCGGCTAACCCTCCAAACTGCTATAGCGCTATAGCGGGTAGCGCTACAACGTTACTGTGCAAAGTGTACCTAAGTGATACACTAAATTGTACTCCACAAATATAAAACTTAAAATATGAAAATGTGACATAAAAAACAAATTTGAAGGATCAAACTCAAACAATAATTTAAATCATAAGCAAATTGAAGGAATTAAAGTCTCAAATAATGTAACACAACAAAATAAAGTAGCAAAATTAGTCAAAATTAGAACTGCCACGTAAGTGAAATGTCAAAATCAAAGAACTTAAGGAACTAATCATAATTGAAATCATAAACATCTAAATCTTCCATCTTCACTTTCACTTGTATCTAAGTTGTAAATCTCTTCCTTCTACGACGAGAACACTTGTGCAGAAATTACTATAGCGGCGCAACAGCGCTGCAATTCAGCCGCAATAGCGGCCGCTACATCCGCTACACTTCACCTGACAGTCGCGGCTGGCCGCTGCACCGTTACGCAACTCCGCTATAGCGCGCTAAAGCGGGGCTATTCACAAGTATGGGCATAAGCAACACTTGTGTACTTTCTTTTCCTACTACAGCATGCACTCAACTTCCATTAATAATTTGGCTGTTAAAATATCAAAGAATGATGCAATGCCATCATAAATGCAATGCTATCATAAACGCCATGCTAAAAGTTGTACATACTACAATAAATGAAAGAAGGGGAGGAGAGGGGGGGCTGCATTTTCTATAGGTTTACAGGTTGCATGATTGCACCTGCTAATCAAAGTGAGGATGTAAGGGCAGTTTCATCTCTGTAGATATTTATATATGTATGATTGTAAGGCAGGGAATTATAGAATCAAAATAGAACCATATCATGTTCCAGTCACAAATACAAATAAAAGACGGCTAAAAATATCCAAAGAAGTTCACCTCAGAGTTAAATTAGTTTCATATGAGAAGAACAGACCAGAGGTTTTCTCAGCAACATTTAGCAGCCCGAAAAATTCCATCTCAGTCTTCTTCTGCCAAATGTGGTACAACAATTATGAGTTCGAAACTTGTAGTGGACATATAATTAAATGTGAAGAACCAATTCACCCCAAAAGCTTAAGCTGTTGGGTGAGGCTACTATAATGGTTTTATATTTTTCTAACATTAAATAAGAAACAAGTGAAGTTGTAGCAAACATACCTGCTCAGCAGGGGTACTTTTAAGAGAAATATCACATGGAAAAACCTTCATGGATGAAATTTTGAAAATTGGATGCCCCAAGTAAGACCCAACACATTCACGCTCAGTTATAACCATCAAATATGATCCTAAGGGCATATTAAAATTTAGCAACATCAAAAAGATTGCTCAAATTGAAGTCTACTGTTGAAAAATAATGCATTATCTGTACTCTGAAGAGGAAGTCAGGTATGTAAACTAGATGTACAAAAACAGATACCAATATCAAAATCACAAGTAAAAGCAATTAAAAAAATGGGTAGTAGTGACCTGCTGCATAAGCCATAAAGATAAATGAACTAAAAGGAATTTATATAAATGTAAAATTGTAAAGCTAGCATGATCCTTGAATCCACTGCCTTCATGTTAAAAAATAAATAAAGAAAAGAAAAAACACTACATAATTTTATTCATTTTTTGCTTTCATTCATGTACCAAGATCAATCATCATCTATCACTAGTCGAATATCCCGATTCCCAACTATTACCTCTCTCCCCCAAAAATAAAAAACAAAAAATCCCTAATGTACTTACTTCGCATTATATCACAATCATATAAATAAGGATGAACACCGACAAAATCTTTCCAATGTCAGGAAATAAAAACTTAATGCATAATACAAACAGAGACATAGAATAATCACTTATATCTAAAATATCAATTAAAAAAATGGCCAAGTGTCTCTTAAGATTCCTCACCAGCCAAAAGCCTCAACATCCCAACTACACCAAAAATTGTAAAAATCTTAGGAACTCGAAGGGAGTTGCATTCTGGAACTTCATCTGTCAAAACAAGACAACGGAGGAGAAAAATACATCAAACGAATAAAAAAAGGGATCGACCATGGATAAGCGTTATCTATGCTAAGCAAAGCACCAAGACGAAGCAACGGAAGCAGCTAACCGATGAGCTTCATGGAGCCATCCATTCGACTAACAGCCAAAGAAGAACCAGAAGAGCCATCCGTTGGCTCAATCACATACTGATCCGGAAATTCCCAGAGTCGCATGCGTGTGTACAGCTTCTGCACAGAATCTGCTCTCTCCATCATTATTGAAACTCCACCTCACTGAAAACAACACAGACTATTCATTCAAATAAGCAAGAAATATTACATTAACGATCACTAGGAATCATCAAAGATTCAAATCTCAAATTATCGTTTCAGTTTTCTAGGGTTTCACAGATCAAGCGGAGAAGGAAGACTTAGTTCAAATCACGAAAAAAACTAGTTAAGTTTGATCTAATCTGAATTGAAGAACCAGTTTCCCGCTAAAACCGGGAAGTGAAGTTGGATTCTGGAATTTTCTCGCAATTTCTGAGCGAAGAAAATGAGAAATAAGTGTACCTAGTTCCCAGGATCGAAGAACAGAGTGAAGATTAAGATCCAAATTCGAATTCGCTTTGGGCTCTTAGCGCTTTAAGTGTGTGACTGCAACGACATGGGAATGATGCTGCAACATGTTAATATTCCTTTTTTCTTTTAAAGCTAAGGGCGTGTTTGGTTGCTTCGGTATGGAATAGGATTGCGATGGGCTAAATCCGAGTTCGGATTCGCGGTTTCCAAATACGGCTTTAGGTCGGAAACTTCGACCGGTTCCGCTGAAATGGTGCCGGGGCGAGTGTGCTATCTGTACACGTGGAGGTTTTTTAGAGGTCCGTGAGACCGCAGCCTACTACCATGGAGAAACCTATGACGTGGTCAATAAATGAGCACCTTTGAGATTATCATCCTCTCTGTTCGATCCGAATACATGAAGCTCGAATGCACAGTCCACTACTTTGGTGGCACCGTTTAATTTTTCTCTTTTGCAAACTTTACGCTTACAAAAGTAATTTTCAATTGATGATTTATTAAAATATGAATAAATTATGACTCAATTATGGAATTTTTAAATTTAGTTATTTTAGAGTCCTACGCAATTACATTATGAAAATTTTGTCATTGATAAATAATTCACACCATAACAAAAACCACAATATATAATAAGGATTTGTTTTGCAGGTTGGGTGAAAAATATAAATATAAAAGGCTTTTTTATAATAGATTACGGGTTTTATGAATATAATGTTACATGATATTTCTTTGTGTCATATTATAGACATATAAATATTGTAGATCCCATTGTATAGAATAGGGGAAATTAGAGTGGGTCCACACCTTTTTGAATGAGTAGGAAAAAGAAATTATGTCATATAATATGACACTTCTATTTCCCATAGATCAAACATCTTATCATTCACAAAGACATTAAAAAACTTAAATGTACTTGATCTGACCAGTCCAAGTTGAAGATGGGCCAAATTACACTCGGTTGAAAGTTGAAGACTTCGGGCCAAGAATTGAATCAAGTGGGCTTGAATCTGTATCTGTTATGTGTTTCTTCTTGTAAGTTACTGTTGAATGATCCTAGCGCAATGGAAGAGGCTGGGGGTACTTGCAATGACACTCCAACGCTCAAGTCAGTATCAATGCTAGGTTTATGTTATATTTAATTAGAATCAAATTCTCATACTTGGATTTGTACCATTCATGTTTATAACAAGCTTTGTGTTGTCTTTTGTAAGCGGTATACTTTCCTATTGGTTGTTGTGAGCTGCTGCCTTTCTGTCTCAGTTGGTGCCTTTCTAGCTATTTTCTTGGTAAGCAAGTCTATCTTACTCGTGTTGGCCCTTATATGCACGGTGGAACTTAGCTTATTACTAAGACTTTCCTTAGTCTTTAAGTTTATATAATGCGGCTTTACATGGGAGTCCGCGCAATGTTTGGTGTGTGTATTTCGCGCAATGGGATCATTGCGCCTTCAAGGGCCCTTTTTAGGCTCTAAACCTTATGGGCTTATATATTATCCAGATCAGTACTTAACACCTAAAATATTCATTAGTTTCAAATAATACTTAAATTCACATATCATAGGGGGGAAAGTAAACACCAATAATATCATAATGTTCTCACTAAATGGTAGTTTATTCTAATTTGCATTATTGTTAAGAACCTTAAGGTTACCACCCCAAAAGCTAGCTTAAAAGGTGGGAGTGCCCAAGGCCTTATAAACCTCACATTAGTTACCCATACAACCAATGTGGAACTATATTTCTCAACACGCTCCCTCACACGAGAGCCCACTGGGCTTGAAGGGTGGACAACATACAAGCCCACCTACATGTGGAAATTCCACTACAAAGATAGTGGGAGGCGGTGAGTTTTCGAACGCTCTGATACAATGTTAAGAACCTTGAGGTCACCACCCCAAAAGCTAGCTCAAAGGGTGGAGTGCCCAAGGCCTTATAAACCTCACATTAGGTGCCCATACAACCGATGTGGGACTATATTTCTCAATAATTATACTACATTTTTTGTAGACATTGGATGATAATTATATATTTTGTTGACGTTAATAAATGATTTTTCTGAGTTTGGATGATGGTGATGAAAAGGAAGCATGTCAGAAGAATGTGACAAGATGGAAAATGATAAGACAAACTACGCAACCCTGGTAACAGATGCAACGTCTCCTTTTTATTGCTGCAAATGGGGTAACGAGGTAAGAAAAAACCGTAAACTCCTTAATAGTTACAACATCACTGCCTTTGTCAATGGTCCCAACATGCTAACAGTTAAATAGTTGAAATTAAGGGATAATGTGCTTGGAACTAGAAGTGATGTATGGTCTTATGATACAACCATACAGATATTGAGAAGAAAGAAGTTGGATAGTTAGGTGGTTAGAAACAAGTTGTCCTATTGGACTATTTGTTAGTATTCAGCTGTTAGGTTATTATTAAGTAATCTTTAGCAATAAGGCATGCTTATATACCCCATATATATATATATATATATATATGCTCATTCATTCATACAAATTGTTGGGTTTCCTCCTTCAATACTAAGCCCAAACTCATTGAGGGGTTTCCTAAAACACTAAACCCTAGATTCCACCTCCTCTACATATTCATTAGTTATGGGTAGATGCTAGGTTAAAATATAACTTAAGAGACTCTTGAGTGACATTGAGAGATTTGTGAGTAAAGCTTTGATCTTTGCATTTGAGAGCACCTCTAGAGAAAGTTTGAGTGAAACATCTCTAGAGAAGTTTGATTATCACCACTGTTGGAGAGATTGAGTGAACCATCACTTTAGTGAAGGTTGATTCTTTGTACCCATTATTATCATAGTGGACGTTTGAACTGAACTAGGTCCCGTGGATTTTTACTTCTTCATATTGAGGAAGGTTTTCCTATGTTAAACATATTTGTGTGTGATTTTCTTTCTCTCTTTCTCCTTCGTATTTTTGCATTTTCTATTTCTGCTAGCCAAAGGCCGACCTGGTAAAGTTCATTCCAAGTTCGTATTGCCGAGATCCGAGATCCAGGATCTTGTTGATTGACTTCCGGAAGAAGGCTGTAGAGGGACTGACCCGTCCCAACCGAGTTGAGGGAACTAAGTTCCCAATACAAATCAGTAATCAAGTTTCCAACTCCTTTCTTCCCAATACCCTTATGCCCATATCATCTTATCATATAATTAATAGGAGAAAGGATATTGATATAAAGTTATGTATAGTATGTGATATAAAAAAGTGTGATACGATTTGATTAAACTATCAGGTGAATGTGTACTAAATATCTGATAAGGTCTTATAGTATTAGCTTATACTATCTTCTTTCCTTCTTATATCATACACGAAAATGCAACCTAATTTTCTAATTTTTTTGATAAATGTCAATTGGTATCCGAAGCCTTAACAGGCTCAATTAATCCAGTTTTGGATTTAAGTCTATCGATTCTCTCTAGGAGTTACTATTCCTAGGAATCGAATTCACTATCCTTTAAGTATGTCAAATCCGAGGGTCTAGCTTTTTTCCTAACTAGAGTGTTACTAAATATAGGAGCTAGATTAGGCAAAAGCGTTGTACTGCTAATTTTTTAGTAAAAATTTATTCGCTTCAAAGCACATTTGAAAAGTTTGGCCAAAGTAGAGTAGTCAAATGCGTCAATTGGCATGATGGATTCAGTCCCGTCAATAAACATGACGCGACTTGGTTTCATATCAACAACCTGGAGCAGCTTCATGCCACGTGGCATATTATACTTTAGTCCTGTAACATATGTGACAAGACTACTTGAGTCCCGTCAACATATGTGACAAGACTATCGCGTCAAATAAATTAACGCCACGTGGCTGATCGCAAAAAATAATAGATATATACTACTTATAATTAATATTTTATTATTTCATTACTACTTCATTATTTTCTTAATTATGGGGGCTATATTATAATTAATATTTAATCATTTCTATACTAATTCAAAGTTTCATAATTCAGTTTCCCAAAAAAAAATATCATAAATTATTTTTATTATTCAGCCTAAACACTAATTATAATTACTTAGTAATTATTGCATTACTAATTAATTTTTTTAGTTAATGGTTTTCTATCCTAGGTTAATATTTAATTAAAATAATAATTATATACTAATTATAATTAATATTTTATTATTTAATTACTACTTCATTATTTTCTTAATTACGTTTTCTAAATTATAATTAATATTTAATCATTTCTATTCTAATTCAAAGTTTCATAATTTAGTTTTCTAAAAAAAAAAATATTTGAAACTTCTATTCTATTATAACTAATTATAATTAATGATGAAGGTGAGATAGAATGATGAAAGCGCTACCTAAGAAGAAAAGAAGGCATAGCTTAAGGAACAACTTCTACCCAACATGAGCTAGCAGCAGCGAAAGATATTCTCTTGAAACTGAGTCCAGGAGCACAGAAAGAAAAGACTTGGATAATCTAGATTCTAGCCTAAAAGCAAAGTCCTACTTTTCCTCTTTCAATTCTTCAACCTAAACATATATAGCGAAGCTCTGCCCTTTAAGCAAGGAATGACCAGTAGTGGATGGCTATAAATAAAGAACCTTTGACGTACGTAGAGATCTTGCAAGAATATATATATATATATATATAAGGAAAAGTAAATCTTATGTTGTAAGAGAATTCAAATCTCATGTCATAGATACATTAAGTGTGGGACCCATCTATTTAAAAAAAATAAAAAACAAAAAAAATGAGTGGCACACATTTTTATGGTGTGTGTAGGAAGGGTTTGTTTTCTCATGCAACATGAGAAAAACAAACCCCATATATATATATATATATATATTCACAAGAGATAAAGTTATTTTTAATGAGCACAAAATAACATGGTTTTGGAATTGTAAGATTAAAAAATTAGACTGATAAAGATTAATATAACTCTTAATATATAAATTATAATTACAAAAATATTTTGATTTTCGCCACAAAACAATGTCGTGTTGAGCTCACCGGAAATAATTGATCTCTATTGACTTGAGAAATCCTTTACCCACTTAATGTGATCTCCTGTCTCGAAAGGATTAGTCTTCCACTGTCGGCCGGAGAATACTTTGGAAACCAAAAAAAGAAATCATATATATATATATATAGGGATAGAATCCGTTTACAATTTTTTTTTGCAATTACACTAATGTAGGACCGGTCGTACACTGTGTGATTAATGTAAGACCGGTCCTACATAATGTAATTTGTAAACAAAAAAGTTTGTAAATATAACCTGACTGTATATATCAAATTCAGGAACGAAAATTTTCCATCAAAATTGACCACACTTCTGTCGGAGTCATAATCATCGATGGACTTTTCCACCATAGCAAGTCCGTTGAAGATATCATCATCAGAAGCAATAATTCAACGGCCACAACAAAGTAACAATATCATAATATAATATTCAAATTTAAATAACATCCATAATCAATTTAAACATGAGGGGAGCCTCCTATTCTTCCTTCAACCATTGTGCCTCTTCATATTCTTCATCTCCATCGTCTTCATTATGTCATTCTCATCCATAGTTTCATCATCTTCATATATATATATAGTTAGCGTTGTGGTCCATCATCTCCTCATCCTCATCATTAAACAGTTTCTCGTAATCAGTAGATTCAGTATCCCCATACTATATCATGCTTTTATTTTTCGTCCAAATTCTGCTTCTTCAGTTTTCTAGTGTCGGCCTTTAAAGAAGCAGGGTTGTGCATAATATTGTCAATCCAATTTCTTCTCTTCTTCACCCTCACTGGTCTCATTTTCAGACAACACATCTTATTCTTATATGTCCTCTTCCTCGTCACTGTTGTACACAAAGCTGAGTCATGGTACTTAGGTCTCTTCATGATTTTTCAGAAGGTTTATTTGCTAGAGGGGGGAAGTGTTCAAAAAAAAAAAAAAAAAGTTTCGAGAAAGGGAATACCCAAAGGTCTTGATTAATGACCCTTGGGAAGTTTACATACACAGAGTGTAGGGGAAATGAAGGGTTCCATCGATTCAAGCATGGCAATTGTACCCACATACATTTCCATTAATTAAACGGTCATACATTTAATGCAACATTAATAGTGACGTTTCCCGCGCAAATAGAATTTATTACGCCGCATTCATTCGGGGACAATTGGTTCATTGCCTCAATTAAAATCTAGAACCCTAAATCCCAATTATTCAAATTTCAACATTTATATAATGCAAACATAACACTTAAGAGAGCACTAAAAAGAACAAAATAAAATTGACCAAAAAACATGCATTGAACAGTTACCGATCGATAATCCCTAATACAAAATGGGTTGAAACCATAATATAAACATTACATTTTTATTGTCAATGAAATCATCATCAGAAATAGGCCTTATGTGTATTTTGATGGTTTCACAGACGGGTCCAATCACTGATGCGAGTTAGTCAGAAAGGTCATTGAAAAAATTGTTAAGTGAGACGATACGCCACCAAATTTATCTTGGATAAACATTGGATAGCATTTTCATTTTTGGAAACACGGGAAGGAGGATGCATCGTGAATATTTATAGTAGCTAGTTAAACCCTTTTAGCTTGGTTGGTAACAATGGTAAAAATTATGTATCTTAATCTGTTAACAATAAGATTGTACACAACAAATCAAGAAACTTAAAAATAAAAATAATAACTAAACGCCAAAAATTATAAAATCGACAAGGTGCTTTTAAACATCACACCTATATATAATATAAGGGTTTTATTATTCTCCTTCAACATAAGATAAATATCTTATGTTGTAGAGATAAAATAGGTGGGTCCCACCATTACAAGAAAAAAGAAAAAAAAAGAAAAAAGTGAGGTGCGAAAATCGAAGTGAGAGAGTAGGAGAGAAGTAATCTTATGTAAAAGGAAAGTAATATTTCCCATAATATAAAACACATCCATTCTTGCCCAACAAAAGACAGGAAGAGATAAGAGAAACATAGGCAAAAAGAGATGAGGAGTACCATAGGGCAAGAGAGATAATAATAAATCTATTTTGTTAATAAAACTATAGAATTAGTGTTTATATAAGTACATGGAATTCGTTTTAGTCAAAACTACAGTTTTTTACAGAGAGAGAACAGTTACACAATAAAAAATCATAGTGAAAGAAATTGAGATATATTTTTTTTAGTTTAAATATTAAATAAAAAGGACGAATATTTTTTTCCTAAAAATGTATACGTATATCCTAACATCTTGGGCGCTAATATTCTCTTTTTTCATCTTCATCGGGATCCGGCAACTTATTCAAGTCCAAATCTAACTGATTGCCCTCGTCAAAAATGTCTCCTTCAGAAGGAGAGGCAGGAGCTTCGTTTCTCCCTTCAGCATGATCACAAGATTCGGCTTCTTCAATTGGTTTGTTCAAATCAAATACAAGCCGTCGAAGGGGTAATGCAGACCCTTTCTCCCTGCTCTTTTCCTTAGCAATACTACTCTCTTCACCATCACCTATCAATAACCACATAATAATTAAAATACACATTCATATATTACCAAACACAAACACAAAAACACACACGGTCATGTTAAGTACCAGTTTGGATGAGCTTTTATTTTTCTCTAAAAGCTTTTTTTTTTTCAAAAAAAAAAAGCACTTCTCATTTTAAGTTCGTTTGGATGTCTGCTTTTAAAAGAAACCAAAGTCACAAAAAAATTCGCTTTTTTTAGAAACTAAAAAATTTAGCTTCTAAAAAAAATAGAACTGAAAAGTCAAATATTTTTTTCAAAAATTAAATATTTTTATAAAAATATAAATAACTTTAACTTTTATATAAAACACTTTTAAAATAAGGAAAAGAACAAAATTATTTTTTTCAGAAGTCCAAACAAACCGGCTTAAGTGTGTTTTAGTTTTTAGTTTTTACCCTTATTAAGTGGCTCTCTGGTTGTGGATGGGGATTCAAAATGAGGAGGCTTGAAGAAACCTCGATAATTACGATCAGGGTGTTTACGCATGTGGCCAAACGCACCCTTCCATGTCAAGAACTCTCTATGGCAAATAGGGCAAGCGGGTGTTCCACTTGGAGGGTCTCTTACATCTGAAGGCTTTCTCTTTTTCCCACGTCCTTCACTCAAAACAGGCCCTTCCATCACCATTATTGAACCACCAACTTCCATAGCCACAGGGACCCCACTTTGGCTCACTTCGTCACCAAGGATATCACTACCAGCATTAAGTTCCTCTAGCACTTGCTGCGGGGTTTTCAGGTTTAATTCTGATCCCTCCTCCGTTGGATTAACTACTGTATCAACATCATCGGAGGGAGGAGGAGGTTGTTGAGGGGAAGAGGATGATGGAGACTTACGATCAGTGTTGGAATCCTCGGAATTATGTTTAGGGTTCTGCATATGTGTATATGTAGAAAATGAAAAACAATGATAAAAGGTAAGGTGATCAATGAATGAAAACCTAAGAAGAAATTGCCAATGGCCTGAAGCTAGAAGGTGTGTTTTATTTAGAAGAGATTGTGTTGTATTTATTAGGATGTTTGGTGCAATGTTTTGAGTAACGTTATTAACATAACATTGTGTGTTTATTGTGTACTTACCTATTTGCGAAACGATGCGACCCAAATTCATGCCTTTTGCGGAGGAAAGGTGACCGAAGGTATATATAGAATTAATTTTATAAGCATTAATGATATTTCTTAATTGTATATTGACTATTAATGGAAATATATTATTGAATATATTAATTATTAAATTTTCTTTGAGAAATTTTGTATATTAATTGAATTATTAACTATTAAATAGAATTTCTTAATTAAAATGTATGAAATTCTTTATAATAATTTTAATTAATCATCAAAATTTACATATATATATATATATATATATATATATATATATATATATATATTATAAGCATGAGCTAGGATCCTTTGACACTAGTGTCAAATTTGAAATTTGACACCTCATCTGAGAGTTATTAGATCAATAAAGATCAACGACTCTGATTTGTAAGCATGTGACATCATTGATCTTTTTTGATCTAACGGCTATCAGATAAGGTGTCAAATTTTAAATTTGACACTGATGTCAAAGAATTCTACCTCTTATAGCCTCATATGACTTATTCATAGCCCACGTGTGATGATGATAACTATGTTTAAAATTTAAGCAAAAAGTTATCAAATATAAAACTGAATTAAAAATTATTAATAATTGATAAGAGAAAATAATAAATAAAAATTATATAAACTTTTCAAGTCATAAAACTTTCAGATGACATGATGAAATAATAATTTATACTACTTCACACACAACCTGCATGTAAGTAATTAAATATTAAGTTACGTGTATAAACTAAATAAAAAATACACACAAATTTTTTTTGTTTTATAAGAATACACACAAAATTTTAACTAACTAAAAAACGATATAAAATTAACTCATATAATTATTTAATTTTGAATAGATATATTTATTACACTTTATAAGTCTATTTAGATTCATTTATTGTATATTTTGAATAGATATATTTATTATACTTCATAAGTATATTTAGATTCATTTATTTTATATTTGAAAACTTTCATTTGATTTTTTTTTAATTCTAGCAATAAAAATTATAAAATCAACTCACCTGAAATATGTGTGTTTTATGGATTTAATGCTTTTGTGTTTTCTTCATTCATGCATATACGAAGATTTTTTTCAAACATAATCCAGATAAGATTGCACACACGAGAAACTAGGAATATAAGGAGAAACTAGGAATTAAATCTGTTCACGAACAACATATTGGGTTTGTCTAGCAGTCCCATCATCTCACTCCCACTAAATGATAAAGAACCTATTTACACTTAATTTCCCCCAATTCTCACTCTCTCTTTTTTGGATTTTATAATTATCTTCTCTCTCTTCTTAAGATATTTCAATCGATTCATCGTTTCGTTATTAATTTGATTCGGGGTGAGTTCCGGGATTAAGCTTTAAACCCATCCAAAAATACTATTCAAAAGGATTGAAAACATTTTCTTACCCTTCAGTTTCCTAAAGCCAATTATTGAACTACCATGTATGATTTTATAATTCTAATTATCCATTTAAAGCAAGTCAGGTCCTTCAAATTTCCATGACTCGGGCAAAGAAAGAGACCTGCACAGGTATGAGATTACTCTCAAATCTAGCGAATTAAAAATTATCCAGGTCCAACCCCAAAGGTCTTCCTTAGATTCAAACCCTTGCTCTTTTTGAAGTTCATCCATCTTGGGGCTCATTTTGCCACTTGAGCCAATCCTTGAGGTTATTTCCCCTCACTTTCCTTGCACCCGGCCGTGGAGTCATACTGCCTCACGTACACCATTGTGCGGCTTAGTTATAAGGTAAAACAGTTTTTGGCACTCTCCCTCCCATGCTAAAGAAATCTTCCTCACGCTATATGTATATGTGTTGAACTTCCTCCTTCAATGCTAAGCCCAAACCCGTTGAGGGGTTTCCTAAAAACTCTAACCCTAGATCTCACCTCCTCTATATATTCATTAGTTGTGGGTGGAGGCTAGGTTAAGAAATGCGAGAGAAAATTTGAGAGATAATTATTTTGATTGTTTGAGCAAAGCTTTATGCTTTGCATTTGAGAGATCTCTAGAGAGAGTTTGAGTGAAACATCTCTAGGGAGGTTTGATTATCATCATTGTTGGAGAGGTTGAGTTAACCACCACATTGGTGATTCTGATCATTTGCAACCATTATTTCCATAGTGGATTTTTGATCTGGACTAGATCCCGTGGGTTTTTACTTCATCATTGGAGAAGGTTTCCCTACGTTAAACATTGCTTGTGTTCTCTCTCTCTTCTTCTCCTCTCTCTCCTGTTTTTCGTTTTGATTTTCCGCTGCGCTGCCCGACCTGGTGAAATTTAGGCCGAGGTATTGCCCGAGATCTGAGATCGAGGATCTCATTGACTGACTTCCGCAAAGGATCCTGAGCCTATCTGAGGGAACCTAGTTCCCAACAGTGGTATCAGAGCCCGAGTTCGACGGGTTCTGAAGGAGACGAGATGGAGACCAGTGGCATAACCAATGATGGAGACATGTTCAAGTTGACCGCATATAATTTCACCTATTGGAGACCGATGATGGAAGATCATCTCTACTGCAAAGATTTACATGAGCCCATATCCTTGATGAGAGATCGGCAGGCAAAACTGATAAGGAGTGGGAGATCCTGAGTCGGAAGGCGGTAGCCACGATCAGGAAATATATTGATAAAAGCCTCTTTGAGCACGTGTCTGAGTTCACGAACGCGTATGAGTTGTGGACTAAGCTGGAGTCCATGATTTAGAAGAAGACTCCCAAGAATAAAGCATACCTGGTTCGCCGACTTGTGAAGCTTGAATACAAGGACGACATGAGCATGATTGAACACCTCAACACCTATAAAGGTATTGTGAATCAGCTGTCAAAAGCTGAGATGAAAATTGATGATGAGATGCAGGCTTTGCTGCTGCTGAGCTCGCTGCCAGAAAGCTGGGATACTCTGGTGGTGACTTTAAGTAATTCAGCTCCAGAAGGAAAGTTGAATATGGATGTCGTGACAGACAGCCTCCTGAGCGAATAAGTCAGGAGAAGAGAACGAGGTGTTTCAAGCACGTCTGAGGCCAACATTGCTGAGAACAAAGGAAAATCTGACTCCCAGGGTAGAAGCAAAAGTCGGGGTCGAGATTGTGACAGAAGAGGAAAGTCCAGAGGTCGGTCAAAGCCGAAATATGAGTTGAAGTGTTTTTATTGTGGAAATACAGGTCATAAGAAGCCAGACTGCTGGACACTGCAGAATGATGAGAAGAACGGCTCTGTGAAGCCGGATCAGATTATTCCCAAGAAGAGGGAAGACAAGAGCACCACTGCGGTGGCTGCCAACTCGAATGCTGAGATATTCCTCCTTGGTGAGGATAATTATTTGAATGTTGCATATGATGACTGCACTTGGATTGTTGACTCCGGTGCCTCCTTCCATGTTACTCCACACAAAGGTTTTTTCTCCTCTTACCGAGGTGGTGATTTTGGAGTCGTGAAGATGGGAAATCAAGTGACCAGCAAGATTGTTGGTGTCGATGATGTAACTCTGACCACAGATGTCGGATGCCGACTTGTGTTGAAAGATGTAAGGCGTGTTCCTAACATGCGTTTGAACCTAATCTCGGTAGGCAAACTTGATGATGCTGGGTTAGTGAACTACTTCGGTAGTGTTAGATGGAAGCTGGCCAAGGGAAACTTGGTCGTGGCCCGAGGTAAGAATGAAGGCTCCTTGTACGTGATGCAAGGAAAGATCAATGGCGGAGAAGCCAATTCTATTCGAGATGAACCTAGCTTGGAGCTATGGCACAAGCGCCTCGGCCACATGAGCGAGAAAGGGCTCCAGATCCTGAACAAAAAAAGATTACTGACCGGGTTGAAAGGCCAAGCGTTGGAGAGTTGCACGCACTGCCTAGCTGGAAAGCAGCACCGGGTTTCTTTTGTGAGACCGGATCAACCCAGACGACGCATGTATATTCTTGACCTCGTCCATACTGATGTCTGCTCCATGTCGGAAAGATCCCTTGGAGGAGCTCAGTACTTTGTTTCATTTATTGATGACCATTCCCGCAAAGTGTGGGTATATTTGTTGAAGTCTAAAGACCAGGTACTCCAATCCTTTAAAGAATTCCATGCAATGGTTGAAAGGGAGACTAGCAAGAAATTGAAGGTGGTCCGATCTGATAATGGTGGTGAGTATTGCGGCTCATTTGATGCATACTGTAGAGCGGCCAGGATTCGACTTGCGAAAACGCCCCTCCAAGACTCCACAGTTGAATGGACTTGCTGAGAGGATGAATAGAATTATTGAAGAGAAGGTCCGAAGCATGTTATCCAATATCGGATTGTCGAAATCATTCTGGGGAGAAGCCGTCAAAACAGCTGTTGACTTGATCAACCTCTCACCATCATGGCCACTTGAAGGAGAAATTCCAGAAGAAGTCTGGACAGGTCGGAAAGCGGCCTATAATCAATTGAAGGTGTTTGGATGCCGAGCTTTCGTGCATATTCCCTAAAAATGAAAGGGCTAAACTTGATGCAAAGACCAAAGAATGCATTTATCTTGGTTCAACGAGATGTGAGTTCGGGTTCCGACTTTGGGATCCAATCAATAAGAAGATCGTGAGAAGCCGAGATGTGGTCTTCCATGAGCATGAGAACATTCATGACTTCTCGAAGCCCAAAGTCCGATTTACTGTCAGACAAGAAGAACCCATCCTTCCTGTCCGAGCTGAAGCAGGGGGAGAAAGTCAAGAGAATGAAGAAATTGATGACCAGCAACAAGCTGAAGATGACCAAGACATTAAGGTCCGAGTTGATGATGAGATCCGGGA